AGCTCTTACCCTTTTTGAGTTATCTTGAAAAAGCCCTTTGTTTTATCTTTTTCCACCCTTGGCCGGGGGTTGAACAAAAAATTACTCTCACTTATTGTTATAATATACCTTAAACTAACTCATATCAAAAATTCAGCGATGTTGGCAAAATTTCGATTTAAAGGCTTAGTTAATTGGACTATAAATACGTCTACACAAGTAGTATTTTTATATCTACTTTATTTTTAGAGATACGATGATTGTCGACCACCCTGTTTTAACATTTTTAGAAAGACAGATTTCACCGATTACAATGATATAGGGTTTGGCGGGTTTACGATTCATTGATTTTTTAGATGTCGAATAAAATAAAGAGTAAAATTTTATTTAATGAAAATGAAATTTGTTATTGCAAAATATGGAGCACTTGAATATTAAAGGTTAGGAATTTTTTTCGGCCGAAGCGTACCCTAACGGAAAAGATACGCGAGACATTATAGTTTTTTGAATTCTAAGAAGAAAATGTTTAATTTGTAGAAACTACAGGTACATTCGTTTGTTGCAGACCCGTCGGCTGACTCGCATCGGCAATGATCAAGAACGATATGGATCCATACTACTCGCTGTACGAAGATATGAGGTAGATGGACATTGTCTACCGGGATGATATCTCTATTTCTGTCTGTACCGCTCACGTTGATCTCTGTAGTCGGACTCGTCATTAACGGATACATTTTGATTGTCGTCATTTTGTCTAGACAGGTACGTATACGAGGGCGATGCAGTTAGTTGTTCACGAATTTGAAAAAAGCACTTTTGTCACAGAAGGCCTCTTAAGTTGGTACTTAACACTTTTTTATTTTGTATTTCATGTACAACAAAAATATGAAAATGTCACAACCAGTAAACTCTGTTTTTAAATAAAACAATTCGTACTCAAAACTGGTTCAGTCTTTGGGAATTATTGCTCTAAAGCTAAAGCGTGGTTGAAAGCTGGCGAAGAATTTGATTTTGTTTAAAAATTTTTTGTATGTGGGACTTTTTCACAACTCCCTAAGTATTCTGAGCGTCTTCTTATTGACATCGTATGATATTCATTCACTGACTGTAGAACTAGCCTGCACATGCACACCTGGGTATTTTTTGTTAAATTCTTGCGTTAGATACCAACTTGGCGATAAATGTTATCGCTTTTACCGCACCACTGTAGTAGATGCATGTGCTGCAAAGTTAATATTTTTGCGATAATTACTATCAGTTTTTTTAAACAGAATTTAGTGTTCCAGTAAGTGTAAAATAAAATATTATTTCCGTCACAACCTACTCGCTAAAGTAAAATGAAGTAACGTCAAAGATTAAATAAATATTGTATTAAGTCGCAAGCAAGATTTTCTGTAAAAAAATATTTCTTTCCCATATCGGAAGGAAAGTTTTTTATCACGCATCTTTTAATAAAAAAAAGTGTACCAATTTTGCCATAACTTGGAATTCTGTCATATCTTTTTTCGTACTTAAAACGTCGTCGACAATAATAAATAATAAATAAAAATTGTAACATTTTTAGTTCTTTCGCATGTTCCCAGTTCACACCCTATTCACTCTAACCGTGGATATATATTTTTGTCAAAGTGATTTTTTTTCGAGAGTAAAAATTAAATTAGTTTGGTGTTATATTTTCAAATTGTTTAATTTTTTGTATACCCAGTACATGAAACGTTAATTTTCTCAATGACAACCTCATTTTAAATACAAGAAAAGTTTTTTTTCAAGTGTCCTTTCATTCACTCTAAGCGTAGACATAATTGTATACAGTCCAATCAAATTAGGTTTTTACGTGTCAAAATTTAGTTCAATAAACAAAGACTCGTAAAAATTAGGAAAAATTCCGAAGAATTGAATGAACTCCTTTACCTCAGCTGAATGTTAGGGCTCCGTTTTCAAAATGGCGTCGAAAGTACGAAAAAAAACAGTTTTTTTCATTTAAAAAAATTAAACATTTTAGAAAAAAATATTTTAGACAAAAGTTGTAGAACTTGTTATAATAAAAATTTTGAGCCCAGGCCGATGGCAATTGATAAACAAACGTATTAGTTATTGCAAAAAAGCGGCTAAAAATCGCATTTTTTAAAAACATATTTAAAACGAAAAAAGATTTTTTTTGAAACTTTCAGAATATGTAGAGTTCTTGGCAAGTAGAATAAGTGTATTTTTGTAAAATTGCAAAATATTTGATTGTTTTTCGAAAAAAACATATTTTTTTTCAAGATTCAATTAATCATACAGAAATTCATTTACGTGACTCATTTTGGGCTTAAAATTTCCCTAAGAATTGTACTTTCCTGTGCAAATTATGCGCGTATTGCAAAATAATTAGAAATATGCGAAAAATCTACCGAAACTTTAACTTCCTTTTTCGGGTCGAAAAACGTAAATCTTTTTCTTATCGTTGAAATATAATCAGAACGGCCCTTATTTTTTATTATTATTTTTAAAAAATGCTTTTAGCTTTCAATTGACAATAATGCCATTCCGATTTTTTAAGATAAGAAAAAGATCTACATTTTTCGACCTGGAAAAAGAAATCAAATTTTCGGTAGATTTTTCGCATATTTCCAATTATTTTGCAATACGCGCACAATTTGCACAGGAAAATATCTCTTAGAGAAAATCTGAAGCCCAAAATGGGTCACGTAAGTGCATTACTGTATGATTTATTGACAATGAAACTTGAAAAAATGTTTTTTTTCAAAAAACTCGATTTTTGCAAAAACTATATCAAATATTTAACAATTTTACAAAAATTCACCTATTTCTACTTGCCAAGAACTACATATTTAGAAAGTTTCGTAAAAAAATCTTTTTTCGTTTTAAAAATATAGAAGTTAAAAAAAATCGATTTTTAGCCGTTTTTTACAATAACTAATACATTTGTTTATCAATTGACATCGGACTGGGCTCAAAATTTTTGTTATAATAAGTTCTACAACTTTTGTCTAAAATATTTTTTTCTAAATTGTTCAGTTTTTTTTTAAATTAAAAAAAGTATTTTTGCGAACTTTGGACGCCATTTTCAAAATGAAGCCCTAACATTCAACTGAGGTAAAATGGTTCATTCAATTATACGGAGTTTTTTTCTAATTTTTACCTGCCTTTGATTACTGAACTAAATTTTGGCAAAAAACGTGGTATTTTCCATAATTTGACTGGACTATAATTCACTTTGTTACTTAGGTGTCACATTATTAATAGACGTAGGTAGGTACAATATTAATATCTGAGTTTTTGACTATGTTCATTTTGTCACACGACACGTCTGGTTATTACCAACGCTCCCCTTCACCTAACCATTAATTTTATAAGCCGCGATCTGATGTATCTAACGAAGCAACTAATAGACCAAAACCCACGTCAAATATCTCATCCCGACGATCCTGACAGGTTGACACCCTTAATCAAGACGTCAGAACGGCCAGTTGCGCGGTCTGTCGGCGGTTCTGCACCCTTCCCTTTGTCCTATCCTCCAGACACAGGTGCAGACGATTTTACCCCACCTGGAAATCATTCCGAATCCGCAGAATTCGAACCGCACGTGCCGCGTGTGTCGCGAGTGGAGTTTGCGATAAGTTTATTAGCAATTGAAACTCTCCATACCGGAAAACCGTTAATGCAAGGCGATGCGCCCGCCTCGCGCAGGAATCCCACTGATAACAGGCAGTTCGAGTTAAGTGCAGTCAGTTTCGGGAACTGCAATTACCAGACAAAAGCAGACGGTGTAATCTCATTAAGCGGTAATTTCGAGCTACTACGGGCGACAGTTGTGTTCGAATATTTCGATAAACTCGTAGAGGAAGCCGTAAACGAGCGTCGTGTTCGGATCACCTGCGCATTCGCCATAATTTAGAAAATGATTTATTATTGAGGGAATTATTAGAGACGTATTTCGGAGTCTTTCAACTTCAAAAGCAATTAGAAAACATATAAATCAATCGGTAGGATGTACGGGATCTTAAATGAGACGTTTTATTGGATAGTATTAGCGCATGAAGAGAAATCGAGTCTAGAGAACATCACTATCAATATATTGGGCGCAAACTTGATTGTACGAACCTAATATTGAAACTTTTGAACTAAGAAGATTTATCTATAGCATCTACGATCTGTAAAAAAATATTAGGCGCGGTTACTATACATATATATTAGAAAAAATATTGGCCCTAGCCCTAGCTTCGAGAAACAAATTTTGATTTAAAAGTCGACAAAGAGAAATCGCTGGAAATAGACATTAAATTACCAAAACAAAATGCGTTTGAAACAGAATCTACCTAAACACGCAACGAATGATAAATTCCTGCATTGAAAATAATGGTATATGCATTTAGAGCATTTATAAATATCTTTACTTTTGTTAAAATTTAATTGTTCTTTCTTTACGTAACATCAATATCTGTTTGTTATTATTTTTGTTATTATTTTCAAGACTGTTATTGACTCACTCACTTGCGTGGCAAGCCAAATTTTTGACGCCCCTGTATATGTGTCAGAACCTCAGTGGTATTGTGATCCCATTAAAAATCAGCCTTTGTTGGTTTTGTCGCGACTATAAAGCAGTAAAGTTTTTAATTTTCTACAGAAGTAACGGAATTAATAAAGCGACCGCTCGAAATTAAATTATTTTCACAATTAGCGCCTCCAAGTCGTCTCAGTTATTAAAAATGTACATCGTAATTTGCATTGTAGATTGTAGAAACTCGATCACCAACAGAGTTTTCATTAATAAGATGAGGGTGAAAATAAAAAAGAACGTATTATATTAGTACGAATATACAGGGTGTCCGTTTAAAGAATGGGCCAAACTTTTCCACTAGATTCTACGATGAAAATAAATTAAAATAATGTTGTTCATAAGCGTTAATATCGCGTAAAATAGTCAAACTATTTTTTTTATTTCGTTTTAATTTTTAAAGTATAACATGCATGTTAACAATTGACAGACCTTCTTGTCCTTTTTATGTAATGGTTCTATTTTATTTGATTTGTGCAAATGCTTTGTATATTGCGGCGCCAATAAAGAAACTAAACTTAACCTGACAATTCATATCACTTCAATTTATATCATCTACGCTTCTTTCAAAAAACAGAAGGTTTGGAACGCTGAACTTTTTACCAATTTTTTTCTACATTTTAAAACACTACGACACGAAAAAAAATAGCAAGCACAACTAGCGCGAAACGTGACAGTGTCTTTCGAAGTCTGAGATACTAGCTGTGAAACACTCTATAATAGTTACAGCGGAGGCAACGTAATTTGAACAATCAAAGATGCCGTCGCATTTGCACACGATAAAAACCTAATCCTGTTCCAGACTCAATTTTACATTATTTGGTTTTATTTTCATATCATACCTACATAATGTTTAAATATGGACGGTAGGGATATTAAATGTTGGTTCAGCGTTCATCATAACGCCGAATTATAAAAGTAAAATAAATTAACGTTCACTGTTTCTACAACGTAATACGATCTTTCTAATACCAGAAGCAAAGAGGAAAGATATAAATTAATTTGTGTAGGGTTCACGAAGGTATTATTCTCTTTCGCTAAGAAGCAATTTAATTTCACATTCAGCGAAATTGGGCGATAAGCCGCTGCAATCAGGTTAATAAAAGATTTCCCTTAATTAAACTTTAGCCGTATTTAAATAATTTCAGAACAGATCCGGCTTTACGGCTGCTCATAAAAAGAACACTTTTTTGTTTGTCGTCTAAGTTTGGCAGTCGAATTAATGGGCGTCTTGTATACACAGCAAAAAAAATTAAGAAAAAATAAAACATTTTTGAGATGAAAATTTTTTTTGTGCATCGCTCTCGGCGTAATCAAAGGAAATACATAATTGCAAAAATGTGCGCATGAACTCTTTTTATGGAAAAAAATTGTTTGGGTTATTTTTCTGTTTCGCGTTAAATCAGAGAACACTGTACAACTGTTCTCTGGTTAAATATCAAATATCAAAAAAAAAATTCGATTTTGCATTATTTTTTCCACTATTTCATATTTAATGCTTATCAAATATCGAAAAAGAAAGTTATTAAAATTTAAGAGTATTTTTTTAATGAAAAAAATTGGTAGTTTTGAAAAGAGACTGTTTTTTAAAGGCATGAAAATTTTCGAAAAAAAGATCAATAATCGTTTGCAATGCAATTAATTCTAACTCCATGAAATACAGCATGTGAAAAAAAATGGCATCAAAACTAAACAGAAAATTATTCAGTATAATTTTCTGAATATTTGGAAATCAAAAAAAAATAAATTTCAAAATTTCAATTTTTTTTTTTAATTTCAACATTTGGACATTTGAAATATTCAGTGTGAAACTGAAAAAAGATTACGCAAATATATTTCGAAAAATTTATTTTTTTTACAAAATTTTTCTTTATTATTTTTGTCACAATTTCAATTTCAAAACGAGTTCTTTTTCTCGACATTTGAAATATTCAATGTAAAATTGTAAAATAAAGAATGCAAAAAAAATTAAAAAATTTGAAAAATTTAATTTTTTTCAAAATTATTATTTTTTTTTTCGATATTTGATGAGTAATTAATTTTATTTATTTTATTTATTTATTTATTTATTTATTTATTTATTTAGAAATTACAATATCCAACGGGACAAAGTCCCAATTATAGGATAAGGTAAAACAGAAAACCTTAACTAAATTTTAAAAGAAAAAGACAAACTAACATTAAATATAAAAATATAAATACTACATAACATAGAGCAATCAAAATATAAAATCCAGACAAAAAACTTAAGGATAAACAATAACAGACAGATAAAACAAATAAGCTAACAAACATATACAAGATAAGGATTACATTTACTAGACAAACAATTTTTTTATGTCATTCATACAATGAAAAAATATATCAAGTCGATCTTCATACTTCTGGTAATTGGAAATCATTTGATATAGGGGAGATGCTATTAGTAAGTTGGTACGAGGTGTGGGTAATTGTAAAACGGAGTGAAATCTAGAATTAAGTCTAGGAACATGATATAAAATCCTTGAGACTAACGAGTCTGCATTTAACGTGTTATTTATGATTTTAAAAAGGAATATAATTGAAAACATAATTCGCCTACGACAGAGACTATTAAAATTAAAACAAGAAAGCAATAAATCTTGAGGTGTACCACGAGGAGGATAAAATCCATAACTAATAAAATGAATAGTCTTTAAAAATCTCCGTTGTACTTTCTCTAAATGAATATTATAGATATTATAAATGGGACTCCAAACAACCGATGCATATTCAAGTTTGCAACGCACAAATGCTGCATACAATATATTTAGAATCTTTACGTTCTGAAAGTCCTTAGAATTACGCAAAATAAAGCCTAAATTCCTATAAGCAGATTTGGTTACTAAACTAATGTGGTCGTCAAACGATAATCTGGTATCGAAAGTAACACCAAGGTCAGTAAATTGCGTAACTCTATTTAAAAAAGATTCACCAATTTTATAATCAAAATCTAGATTAGTTTTGCGTCGACTGTAAGTCATAAATTTACATTTACTTACATTCAGAGGTAGATTATTACATGAACACCAATTGTGTAATCTGTCAAGATTATCTTGTAATGTAGTACAGTCAGTAGATGATTTAACTTCCAAGAATAACTTCAGGTCGTCCGCATATAGTAAATAGTTGACATCGAGGCATTCAGTTAAGTCATTAATAAAAATAATAAATAACAGTGGTCCCAGAATTGACCCTTGCGGAACTCCTGAAGATTGATGGAATTTACATGATTGAAAGCCTCGATACTGCACAAATTGGTACCTATTACTAAAATAGGATTTAAACAGAGTTAATAGAGCAGAAGATATACCATAAGACTCCAATTTCAAGCTTTGGAAAAGTCGGTATACAATTAACGCGAAATTGTGAGAAAAATAAATCAAAAAAATTTCTTTTCACCTTAATCGTGATTAATTGATATTTAAAAATATCAGATGTGCAGTTTTGAAAAAAAAATTGTAAATTGTTTGCCTTGCATTATTTCTTTTATTTATTTATTTATTTATTTATTTATTTATTTATTTATTTATTTAGTTTATTTTGCTTATATGACATTACAACAATGACTGCAATCACTGACAGCAATGACTGCGCCTGTTCAAAAAAAATTTTCATCTCAAAATTTCAAAACTAGAATTTGCAAGCTTTAAAATGCTCCTTTTTCTCGATACGACTATTATTTACGAAGTTACAGTCTTTCAAATATCACTAAAAAAAATTTGAAAATTTTTCCGCTCCCTTAATTTTTTTGCCGAGTTTAATTTTAAGTTCAATTAGGTTTTAAAATATACAGTTCTAGTTAGTAAATGCAGGTGATTTGAAACTGGTTGAAATTTCCGATTCAGTTGCTTCGTAAAATATATATTTTTTTTGTTATTCTCTGTTATAATATATAATATAATATTGGATTTAATTCTGAAATTTCAGCCTGATTTTATTTAATTTTTTACATTTATCATTTTTACGGCATCGTCACCTTTTTGGTGTAGCTATTTCCCTCAGTGTGTTTTCTGCGTGCCTTTTACAGCCCATTCAAAGACCTATATCAACAGCGAAAGAGTAAAATGTAATAAAAAGAGAATTATGGACCACCCCGTACGTCCCTTATCATAATTAGTTGCGTGTGCGTCCACGCGTTCCAAATTGAAACACACACCGCTCAAAGAGCCGCGCTAATTAACGTATTATCCGCTTTAATCTCGTCCCCAGATCAGAACTGCCAACAACATCCTCCTGTTCCACCTTGGCACCGTGGACATCCTCCTCGGCGTTCTGTTCCTGATCTTTACCGCGCCCGGAAAGAGGGGCAGCGACTGGTCGATCGGGGGCGCCCCCTGCGTTCTCCACGGTTTTCTGTTCACGCTGCTACACCCCCTGGCGCTGTGGACGATATGCGGGCTCAACTGTGACAGGTACTACGTCATCGCGGCCCCCCTGCACTACAGCCACATCGTCAGCCCGAAAAAGGTAAGCGGCGGTGCTCTTTTAATTTCATTAATTCCCATTTTTTTACAAATGTTTTGTGCGAAAAAGAGGTACAAGGTCATCACTCGAAAATGTTGAATCCGATCGTGTTTTTGTTGCCTTTGAAAATTTCGGGAACGTATAATACGGGGTGTTTCCAAAGTAGTTTAAAAAATTTAAAAAATGTGTTTCTTAATTGCCAGTTTTAATTTATCTTCGTAAACGAAATTATGTAAAAATTATAAATTTGTATAAATTTAGTTGGACCATTTAAAAACTCGTTAAATTTTCTACAACTTATTCCTTAGGCTTGTAGTTTAAAATTAAAAAATGTTATTAAATGCAACCCATTTCTCTGTGGATTGTCTGCGGGAATTGAGAAATAAATACGAAACAATTAAGAGACAATCAAGAAACAGTTAAAATAATTAGGAAGCATTAAGAACTAAGTAAGGAACGTTTAGAAAACAATAAACAATTAAGAAACAGTTGATAAGCTAAGAAACAAGTAGGAAACAATTTAGTTGGTACATTTAAAAACTTGGTAAATTTTCTACAGCTTATTCCTTAGGTTTTGTAATTTAAAATAAAAAAAAAATTAAATGCAACCCATTTCTCTGTGGATTGTCTGTGTGAATTGAGAAATAAATACGAAACAATTAAGAAACAATCAAGAAACAGTTAAAACAATTAGGAAGCATTAAGAACTAAGTAAGGAACGTTTAGGAAACAATTAGGGAACAAGAAACAATGAAGAAACAATTGTTAAGCTAAGAAACAAGTAGGAAACAATTAAGAAACAAGTAGGGAACAAGAAACAATTAAGAAACAATTGATAAGCTAAGAAACAAGTAGGAAACAATTTAGTTGTTACATTTAAAAACTTGGTAAATTTTCTACAACTTATTTCTTAGGTTTTGTAATTTAAAATTAAAAAATGTTATTAAATGCAACCCATTTCTCTGTGGATTGTCTGCGGGAATTAAAAAATAAATTCGAAACAATTAAAAAACAATCAAGAAACAGTTAAAACAATTAGGAAGCATTAAGAACTAAGTAAGGAACGTTTAGGAAACAATTAGGGAACAAGAAACAATTAAGAAACAGTTGATAAGCTAAGAAACAAGTAGGAAACAATTAAGAAACAATTGATAAGCTAAGAAACAAGTAAGAAACAATTAAGTTGGTACATTTAAAAACTTGGTAAATTTTCTACAGCTTATTCCTTGGGTTTTGTAATTTAAAATTAAAAAATGTTATTAAAAGCAACCCATTTCTCTGTGGATTGTCTGCGTGAATTGAGAAATAAATACGAAACAATTAAGAAACAATCAAGAAACAGTTAAAACAATTAGGAAGCATTAAGAACTAAGTAAGGAACGTTTAGGAAATTAGGGAACAAGAAACAATTAAGAAACAGTTGTTAAGCTAAGAAACAAGTAGGAAACAATTAAGAAACAAGTAGGGAACAAGAAACAATTAAGAAACAATTGATAAGCTTAGAAACAAGTAGGAAACAATTTAGTTGGTAAATTAAAAACTTGGTAAATTTTCTACAACTTATTCCTTGGGTTTTTTAATTAAAATTAAAAAATGTTATTAAATGTAACCCATTTCTCTGTGGATTGTCTGCGGGAATTAAAAAATAAATTCGAAACAATTAAAAAACAATCAAGAAACAGTTAAAAACAATTAGGAAGAATTAAGAATTAAGTAGGGAACGTTTAGGAAACAATTAAGAAACAAGTAGGAAACAAGAAACAATTAATAAGCTAAGATACAAGTAGGAAACAATTAAGAAACAATTAAATAAGAAACAATTAGGCAACAATTCAGAAACAAGTGGCAAGCAATTAACAAACAAGCAGGAAACAACAAAGAAACAGTTAACATCTTTTGTCAATTCTCCATTCTCCCTTTTATACGTACCTATGACTTTTAAATCAATTTAAGAACGAATCTTTTGATAACGAAAACAGTATTTTCCAAGCATAAACTGTGTAGTGTATTATAGTGACTATGGTATCGTGAGAATTATCCATTTTTTAGTGTGAGTTTGAGAATACAATAAGCGTAATGGAAGAGATTGCTGTTAGTTGCCCAGCAATTAGCAACAAATCAAATTTTCTAATCTTTCTAACATTACTGTGTTTACGGTTGATTCTTATTTAACCCTGTTTATAAGTAATTTATGTTTATATGTATAACATTAAACAAACTTTCGCTGGTGGAAATAACCTTATAGTTTTATATTATAATTTTCATGTCAGAATAATTACTCGGTATAATCTCATAATAATCATTTATAGAGCGTAAGCTCTTCTTAAAAACCTTAACAATGAAATATTGCTTCAAAGGGGGTAAAGGATTATATCAGAGAATAAACAGCTGTAAGTTCCATTTCTTCTGTTCTTGAATTTCAATTTTGTCTGCTTTGTCTTAGCTAATTTCGGATTTAAAAGAAGTGCAAACAAATCGTTCCTTTTTGGTAGTCTTGACGGAAAAGAAAGTACCTATGTACTTACTTTATACAAAATTGTCTTTGGAAGGTTTGTGACGTGATATTAAGCCTGTTTTTTTTTTAAACGAAGTTATTTCGTGCAAAAATTGAGAGGAAATGGAATTATTGACACTGAAAGCCGTTATTTTGTACCATAGACAAAAAAGTTAATTTATCTCCGGTACTCTAACTATAGACAAACAGAAACCAAGCGATTCCCTTTACTTATAACGAATGAAATAAATGTTTTGTTATCTCGTTAATCCTCGTTCCGAAAACAATGACAGTCTTCTCATTTATACCAATAAACAAGAGAGCTGTAAACTTACCCATCAGCGTAGGAATTACATTAAGTTCTTTATTACTGAGCATCACACCGAGTGGATTTCCTAGTCCTACGTAAATAAATTTAAGTAAATAGAAGTTAGATTTAACCGAATCATAAAAGACTGGGAAATTTTACGAGTTCTACGAGGTTTTCATCTCTGAGCCGAACAATAAGACTCTTCTACGATCCACAGTAACTGGATGGCATTTAAGCTTTGTTAAGTAGAAATGTTTGAGATAAGATTTGAGGAATGCACTAGAGGACTTCTTTAACTAACAACTTGTTAAATTCATTGTTTTTAAACAGCTTTTGTTATTCTTTAGATAACTACATTGAATAAAAACAGTAATAGAGATTTTAGGCACATTTAAAAAAGCAACGCAGATATACAAAGTGTTTAGAAATTCAAATAGTTGGACGAGCGATTATACACGTGAGAATATGAAAAAATCTTACATACGTGAGAGTAATTCGTGAACGAGAGGTGTAAGTATGGTAACAAAATTCCCGCACACCCAGTAAGCAAATACAAGGCTTTAGAACCTGTAAAGGCGCCATAAAAAGTGGGCTATTTCAAAACTAATCGCGTGAATACCCCTCGTTTTGGAAATAGCCCATTTGAGAGTACCCTGCAGTCGACAGACGAAACGGTGATTACAACTTACAAGCATTATTATCTCTAATAAGATGGGCAGCACGTATCTCTCAATTTCACGTTTCAAATGCCACCGACATCCTTAGCATTCTCGGAGTATTGAACCTCGAAGGGGAAGACAATTAGTGTTTTGGACAGCCATTCTTCTTAGAAGGCAATACCGTATCTTATATGACCCTTACCCTTGAATAAATATAAACATTTAATTAACTTAACAACCGATATTCGCCAATTTAAAATTAAATATACAGGGTGTTAATTAAGTATCTTAATTGTTGCCGGCAAACCGTTATAATTATTAGAGCACAAATAACTATTGCTATTAACTAAACATTCTTTCATTTCAACAATCGTCAATATTATTCATTTTTTTTTTGATAACGTCTTCATCTTCTTTTTATTTGCTACAACGAATTTTTTGTCATTTCACAGGTCCTAGCTGGTCTAGGATGCGGCTGGGCCATAGCAATTCTTCTATGCATTCCACCACTATTCACGGTAGCTCCTTATAGCTACATACCAGGGTTGGGGGCGTGCGGACCCGATTTTTCCGCAGGCGGAGGAACCTTGTGGTACTCCACCTTGTATACGGCCTTTACGTTACTGCTACCCGCCACCGTCATCATATGTTGCAACTTAAAAGTGAGTTTTGCTCAAATACCCTTTAGAGCCTAATAAATTCCGCCCAGTAAATTGTTGTTTGTTCAAGTATATACGAAGGCATGTTTGGCTCAATCCCTATATTTTGACGTTAACAATCTGCCATTAAGCTGTGTACCATTATTAATGACTCACCCTATATAACTAGATCTTGACTAATTAATCAGAAACTGTGGCTTCACTTCCAATCTTTTATAGGTCTTAGATCACTCACTTCCAATCTTTGAAAAGTTTAAGGAAATCAAACTTGTTAAAATCAAATCGTTAATAAAAAATCTGGATACGTTTCAGATCCTCATGATAGCCCGCTACCACCGCCACCGAATCGCCTCCGCCATCTACGAGGTCACCCTGTCCGCCCAGGTAACCATCACCCACCAAAGAAACCCCTTCTTCGTCCCGACGGTCACGACGCCATCCTCCGGCGGCCCCAAGTTCCGCGGCCGCAGCGCCATCTACAGCGTATTCCAATTGCTCGGCTCCTTCCTGCTCCTCTACGTCCCCTACTACGTCATAATCCTGTGGGAGGCCACGCTGGGCTCCATGACCTCCACCAGCAACAAGATGGTGTACGACGGCAAGCTCCACCCCCACTTCTACACCCTGGCGTCGACCCTACTGATATCCACCCTGCCGATAAACGGTTTCCTGTACGGGGTCAAGAGCAAGACCCTGAGGAAGACATTCCAAAACTACTGGAGGAAGAAACAGACCAAGAGCGAGGTGAATCAGGAGATCCAGGCTAGGACACCGTCGACGTGCGGGTCCAGGAGGCCCTCTTTAACGCCCTTGGGGTTCCTAAACAGACCTACCATACAGAGGAGGCTTTCGGAGACGTTGTTCGACGTTAACAAGGCCATGAGGAGCCCGAGCAGGAGCAGTAAGATCAAGAGGATAGCGTCGGAGATCACCTGGAGGCCCGCTTCTGCTAACAGCCTGGATTTGTCCCCGAAAGAAGAGTATATCAGGCAAATCAAACAGACTAGCAGCTGTAACACCTTGCAAGTAAGTTTTTATATAAATTGAGGTGCTTTCCAACTTTTTAACTACGACACGAAAAGAAAATGGGTTAAAAATGGGGAGAGTTGTATTTTTTCTTTCTTATTTTGACGTCATTTAAGTCCTGAATAAAACTAAAATTTTCGGATCCAACGTCAAATGTAGTAATTTTTAGCATATTTTGGTCTATTGTGGTAGCAACATGCACAAGAAAATAGATAATAGCGCAATAAGTCATCGGGTCGAGCCAGTCGAGTGGTGTGATGTCACAAATGATCTTCGAACGACTCGGATTGTTTCAAATTTTTAAGAATTAGAAATTATTTATTGTGGTTAAGCTGTCGACATGATTTTTCAACATTTATTTAAGGAGGTTTATCTGATTTGGAATTGACAAACAAATATTCATAAAAAATTAATATAAGCTTATTAATATGAAGAAAATCCTCAAACAAAATTATAACTAGTTTGAATACCTAAGAGACGAGATACTAATAAAATAATTTTTCACGATTTAGTACGAAGTCTTATGAGAATGCAATGAGAATACATAATTTATCATAATTCTCCTTCAAATTGCTGTCGTTGACTAACTTATCCTCCATATGCGTGATAGCGACAACGCCGCGGTCTCGACGTTGCGTATTATTTGAAATTTGCAGGTGTCCAAGCAAACAGAATGATCGAACGCGAGCGAGCGAACGCCGAGGCGAGCGAGCCAGCCAAGTTCAACGTTGACAGATCTAAAGGCTTACTACTTTAGTCAATAGCGAATCTACAGAAACTCTCGTTAGACTTTAGATGTACCTCCGTACCCGATAAACCTCCTTAAGGAAAGTGCTTATGAAAAATTTAAGAACAAGTTATAAATTAATTATTACTGCACAAGCCAATTATCGAAGATGTGAAAATATAGAATTATAGAACCTTACTCAAAAAAAAAAACGGTGTATTAACATACGTTAACAGTTATACCACCCCAACAGGGTACCAATAGACATTTAGCAATATTTTATATATTGCTAATTTCAATTAATTAATTTCTTCAAAATTTTTTTTTAATTAAGTAATTGACATTGCCATTTTCTTTGCGGTTGAAGGAAATTACCTCATTAAAAAATTGTAACATTAATTTTAAACAGTTGACAATTTCCATTATTTTTTCCACACTATTGTACTTATATCCGTATTTTGCAGCGTATGTCGTCTGTTCAATCGGATTGTCCGAAATTGGTAAATTATCACACCTTCCACCCCTATTTTTGAAAATCAATTTACACTACTTTACACACCCTTTTTATATTGCACTGTTCTATACTATTTCAAACTGTATAGATGCACTAAATATCCTTTGCATTATGCTTATAACATGCTCCTGTAAATTAAGTTTGTTTGTTAAGTTTGTATCAGATTTATGTGCTCTTATTTAAATTCGAAGGGGACCTACTGAGCTAATTTACAGTAAGTCTGAAAATTTTCCAAAATTCTAAGCCGATGAAGTATATCAAAAAGTAACTTGTTTTTAAGGACATGCAAAACAGCGTTACAAAGAAATTGTCCCAGGGTCAGGCAAAAGCCGCTCGGGAATTCGCTCTTTTTGCATTAAATTAGACCTTATTTTTACGGTAATTTAAAAAAAAATTCCTAAGCCTCTTCGTTCCCGAGATAACTTTTTTATATAACGTTAATTGTTAATTAATTATTGGACGTATCGGACCGGGATTTTAGAGACAATTAAAGAAAGCGTTAAACTTTTATTTCCAAAGAGTTTTACATTGATAGTTCATGTAATAAACGCGCTAGTAACAGTAAAAGTTGACGATAATGAACGACTTGCACGCGGAAGGAGCGCCGGGCCCGCGCATGCGCATGAACACCGCCCTCGTTGCGCGTGAAATTTTTTAACCAAATTTGAGACGTTCAAGTAAAAAATCTGACAAAAAGGCATTCACGCTCAAGCGCGGGCCCGGCGCTCCTGATCCCTTTTACAGGCTGTTCATTATCGTCAACTTTTACTGATGCATATGTGATTACTACATGAACTATCAATGTAAAACTTTTTGAAAGTAAAAGTTTAACCCTTTATTTAATTGTTTCTAAGCTATCTTGCGAACAAAGAGAAAAAAGGAGCTCTACTTAATACAAAAAGAGCAAATTCCCGAGCGGCTTTTGCCTGACCCTGGAACAATTTGTTTATAACGCTGTTTTGCAAGTCTTACTTTGTTAATTGTAAAGGGCTATACTTAATTTCAACTGTTTGAAATTTTTCTTTTTCGGTACGTTTGTTTGGATCAATTAGAACCTACATCTACGACATTAACTTCTAAACTTGACGTTTAGTTAATTAAACAATTAGTTGCAAAAAACAAGTTTGAAGTTTCTAGGTTTATGATCTAATTCGACTGGAGTATTAGACAAATTTTTAGAGTTGATTTGAATTAATTTAAATTGAAGTGAAACTTAAGTTTGGCTAAAATGTTGACTACCCTCGTATTATAGCAGACATAACTCCTGGTGTAATGAAGAAAAAAAACCTTTCACACAAATGATTGTGTGTCGGTCGAAAGTTATATGTTTTCCAGTTGCGCATTACTTTGCCGTACATCTCCTTTAAACTGTGAGCTCAAATTATATTATGTAAATCGTATTACCCACCTCAGAGGCCCAAACCTAATTGAAAGCGAACTCCAAATACCCAACAACAGACTACACAGAACTCGAGACAGGATACCAGTGACATTTAGTATGATATTAAAATATATTTTTCACGATTTTCGACGTACCAAAATTAAAACTAAAAAAGATACATATATACTTGTGCGCTTACTTAACATTTTCTCCATTTTATTATATTACCTTTTTCGACCCTATATTTAAATCAATTTGTTTTGATTAAAGTTCGGGGACTCGTGGTTCCTAACAGAACCGGACTTGCTTTACAAATGTGAAAATGAACACCTTCTCAGAAAATAACCAGTTAGAACTTTCTATAAGTGCCATGTGTCCCGAACTTTCATTATGATAAAAAGAAGTGCATTGTTATTTGCCATCCTAATCTTCCCTGACATTTATCCCCTTTTTCTTATATTCGATTTAATTTCCTATAAATTTTACCGATAACTAAGACAAAGAAAATTCCCCAGGTGCCGACTAACAACCAGGAAGTGGCGACGATCACAGAGGACGAGATCTACATCAAGCTGAAGAAACAGGGCAAAACGTCGCCGACGAAATCGAGCCCGACCAACATCCTCCTGACCAAATTGTTCAGCTTCGAGCACGACAAGCTCTCGAAAAAGACCGCCGCCGTGCAGGACGTGCTGGAGAGCACCCCCAGGAAATCGCCCAAGATACTGATAACGCGAGCCTTCTCCGAGGAGAGCGACAAGAACTCGAACCCCAACACCCCCAGCAGGGAGATCACCAAGAAGCACAGCACCTCAGCTTCGACTCTGATAGAGAGGAAATGGCGCCAGCTGAGATACAAGGTACAGGGCATTTTTCTCTAGCAGACGCACGACTTACACGCACACACAGGCGCGGGGTGTCCTTCGTTTTAGTGTGTTCTGTTTGCCACTGCAACTCTGGTCTTGCTAAATGTTCTTTTCTACTGACAGAGATAAAAGTTGTACTTTAACTCTAGTGGAACGTCTTTTCAATGCTGCTGTTTGTATGTGGATGTTGTTGTAGACTACATAAGTGTTTTTACAGGGGAGAGGTAAGTTTTGGGCTTGAAAGAATAAGTAGAGGATGCACAAATGCTATTTGGAACCTTCTTTCTCTACAAATTACACAGCTGCTCAAAAAAATAGGCTCTATTAGACCAGACATTTGATTGTAAATACATTCGAATTCAGGGTCTTATTGCACTATAACCCCGTAACAGCATAACCCAATAACCCCATCACCTTGGGTCACCTGGGTTTTTTTTTTTTTTCAAAAAGATATAACATCTTGACAATACCTTGACTGTACAATCAGCGATCGTGAGTTTTTGCGACCAAAATCATTCAAATAACAACATGGGGTTGCGAGGTTATGTGGTTGTGGGGTTGCAGAGTTATAGGGTTCCGGGTTATAAGGTTATGGTGCAATGAGATCATCAATTTGTGTATTCTTAATTATGACCGAGTTGTAGAAAAAATAAATTTAAGGTGTACATTGAATATACGAACTACAATCAGCAAAAAAATTAAAGGAGCGGAAAAATTTCTAAATTTTTTAGTGATTCTAAAGTTTTTAGTGAAAGCTTGTTTGTAACTTCGGTCGGTGAAATCAAAAGAAATTATGCAAGGCAAAAATTTTAAAATTTTATTTTTTTTCAAAACTGCACATGGGCTCAGAAATGTTTTTTCTGATTTAATCAATGCTAGAGTCCATTGGCCTGATTCATCAACTTCAATTACTTAATTTCAAATTAAATTTTCTGCTATTTTCGAAAATCAACAACTACTTTGCAAATTCTGCAAAAAGTTCCAATGTTTGTAGGTTTTTTTTAGCTCAATATAGATCATAAAGCCTGTAAATTTTGAAATCGATCGACCGAACCGTTTTTCTTTCCTAAATCGTCAAAGTTTTATAAAAAATTAAAGGAGCAGTTTATTGCTCCTCAAACATGAATTTATTAATGATTAAGATGAAACAAATTTTTTTTACTTCATTTTTCTCACTATTTCGCGTTAAATAATCTTGATATAGCAAAAAAAAATTCAAAATTATGAAAAAAAATCAATTTAAAAAAAAATTTAAATTTTCAAAATTTAAAAAAAAATGTTTGCGTCCTCTAATTACTATTTTCAATGTTCAAAATTATGAAAAAAAATCAAGTTTAAAGAAATAATTAAGTTTTTCATATTTAAAAAAAAAATATCCTCAAGTTACTATTTTCAAAATTTAAAATTATGAAAAAAATTCAATTTTAAAGAAAAAATTAAATTTTTCAAATTTAGAAAAAAATGTCCTTGCGTCCTTTAATTACTATTTTCAAAATTCAAAATTATGAAAAAAAAATTAATTTTAAAGAAAACTAAATTTTTCAAAATTTTTTAAAACATTTTTGCGTTCTCTAATTACTATTTTCAAAATTCAAAATTATGAAAAAAAAACAAGTTTAAAGAAAAAATTGTTTTTCATATTTATAAAAAAAAAAATTTATCGAAAAAAAAATCAAATTTAAAGAAATAATTGTTTTTCAAAATTAAAAAAAAATGTTTGCGTCCTCTAAATACTATTTTCAAAATTCAAAATTATGAAAAAAATTCAATTTTAAAGAAAAAATTAAATTTTTCAAATTTAGAAAAAAATGTTTGCGTCCTTAATTATTATTTTCAAAATTCAAAATTATGAAAAAAAATAAATTTTAAAGAAATGAACTAAATTTTTCAAAATTTAAAAAAAATTTTTTTTCTCTAATTACTATTTTCAAAATTCAAAATTATGAAAAAAAAATCAAATTTACAGACAAAATTGATTTTCATATTTAAAAAAAAATTTATCGTCTAATTACTATTTTCAAATTTCAAAATTATGAAAAAAAATTCAATTTTAAAGAAAAAATTAAATTTTTCAAAATTTAAAGAAAAATGTTTGCGTCCTGTATATTACTATTTTCAAAATTCAAAATAATGAAAAAAAAAATCAAATTTAAAGAAATAATTGTTTTTGAAAATTAAAAAAAATGTTTGCGTCCCCTAATTACTATTTTCAAAATTTAAAATTATGAAAAAAATTAAATCTTAAAGAAAATACTAAAATTTTCAAAATTTTTTAAAAAAATTTTGCGTTCTCTAATTACTAATTTCAAAATTCAAAATTATGAAAAAAAATCAAATTAAAAAAGTTTTTCAAAATAAAAAAAAAATTGCGTCTAATTACTATTTTCAAAATTCAAAATTATAAAAAAAATCAATTTTAAAGAAATAATAAAAATTTTTGCGTCCTGTATTTTACTATTTTACATTGTTTCAAATGTCGAAAAAAAAATTTACGAAATGTAAACAAAATTCAAAATTTAATTTTATTTTTTTCGATATTTAATGAGTATTTAACTCATAATTATGAAAAAAATCACACAAAAATTTGGAAATTTTTCTGCTCATTTAATTTTTTTGCCGTTTAATTAAAAAAAAAATAAATTGTCAAAGTATTGTTCTCAAAAAATATAAAGAGAAGAGATTTTCTTCAAGGGAGAAGGTTCTAAAAGGAAGTAGACGCACGCCTTATAGGGGAAGTAGTATTTTAATGTATTATGCTCGATGCTTTAACCTGTTCTCTTAAAAATTTCATGTGCTTGCAAATTTGATAAAAAGTATTGTAATATTCCAAACTGACAATTCTTTAACCAAACAGTTGATTTATTTATGAGATACCTACAGAGTGATACATTTTTATGATCGTTATTTTAATGAACAATGCCCAAAACAAATACAAAAAATTAACGAGATCGAAATGTTAAAGTTTAAAACAAATAAATCTGATTTTCAGAAGAAAAATCGGTATTGTTGCAACAAAAAAACGGAAGGGCCAAAGGATCAAACAAAGTTCAATATGTTGAATTAAATCAATTGGTTAAAATACAAAATTTCAATTCCATCCGCTGATAATTGGTGTAATTTTTCACATTTTACTCAACTAATCTCGATTGTAGACGCAACGGTTTGTCATTGTTCAACAATTTTGTACTTAAAAAACATGAATTTTCACATTTTCACATTTCTCAAGTATTCCAGGTATTGGGTGCTCTGAAATGTAACATTTTTTTTTGTCACGCTTTTCATTTCACGTTTTTAAGGACGAAGACAGCGACTGCGACGGCCAGAAGTCCTACTACAACACAACGAAGCCCCTCCTAGACAACAGCTCGCTGGACAATAGGTCCAGCGACTCCTCCGAGAATTCGGAAACGTCCAGCGGACGGCTGTGCCTGGCCCTGGACCAGAGCCACCTGACCGACGGCGAAGCCGAGGCGGCCGAGGACCAGCTCCTCCTCTCGTGGAACACCCACAAAAAGTACAAGGGCGACGACATCCGGAAGCCCCGGCCGAATCTACTGAGACAGACTCTAGTCAACGTGCAATCACCCGAGATAGTACTTTAGTGATATTATAGCCGTTATGGTTTCCGTTCTCCTAGCCGTTTAAGTTCTCGATGTGATGTCTACATGTGATAAGCGACTTGTTCTGGGGTCTCCCTTTTGAACGGTACACTTTATTTGTATTTCGTAGCGGTGCCAGGTGGGTAACCTGGAAAATACCCACGCAGGTGTCAAAAACTTATTAATTTGCTGAAAAACAACTAGGAATCTTCGAAGGACCTTCGAACTTGATCTCTAGGTCATAGTCAAGGTCATCATCGAATGATCCCAGCAAACTATAAAACTTTCAATCAGAGTCCGTCGTAGAAAATATCCCAAAATCGTATTCTGAACCTTATTTGACCTTAAAATAACTCAAACATTGACATAAAGACATATCTGAACGTAACATCTATCTCTCCACATCTATCCATTTCCTGTGTCAGAAATACATCTGCCACATCTAAAAATCCAAGTTGACCTTCAGATGACCTCTACGGTTGACCTTCGTGCCAAGATCAAGGTCACCATCGAATGTCCCCCTCAGAAACCTACAACTTTTGTTTAAAAAGTTTCTCTTGAAAGTCCTTCCCTAATACGAGTATTGCAATCCGTTATTTAAAATGGAACACTCTGTATAACAGACAACAACCAACAGTGGTAAAGAAATTAACTTTCTTTAATGCTACAAGTTAATTATAGATGTTTAAAATTATGTAAATATTTAAATTTTGTCACGTGATCAATTAATTGTGACGTCATTTAGTGCGGCAGAAAACAATTGCATTGTCGACGAGATGCTTGTTGTCTTATGCTGTCTGGATGTTCTGCATGGTCAATTTTTTACCCATCTTTCCCATGTAGCGAGCAATCTCAAAAATTAACCTCCTGTCCCTGTGAATGATCTCGATCACACTAAATGACGTTTTGGAGTCAGCGTGGTAGCAAACAATTGTTTAAATTTTTAATTAACAACCTCTAAGAGATTTCTAATATTTTTGCTACATGATTATGTCTATTACTCAATTATTTCTAGATATTTAAAAAATATATGAAAGTTAATTTAAAAAATAGTCTGAAATCCCTAGACATCATTCTAGATTCTCAAATTTGAAATATTTTCCCCTAGAACTAGGGAAAATCAGAAAATCACCAAATTTGGCATCACCAGTATTAGCACTAAGGCATAAAAGTCAGATTAAACTGGGTATACTAGGTGTCCTGATGCGGCTGATTAATCTCAGGGTTATGCAAATTGTATATAACAAAACAATAACATTTTGGGATGTTCTGCAAGCAGTTTTTTGTTTTATGTGGGATCCAGCCAAGAATGGATATGAACTAGTCGCGAACGAGTGGTATGACGTCACAACATGGCTGCCGTTCGTTTCTCCAACCTCCAAATTCATTATTTATTTTGAGGGAGAAATCGTTGAAAAATAATTTAAATTTTTTACCCATTAACTTTAAAATATAAATTAAAATGAGCAATGTGGATTTATAACTGACGATAGCTACTTCTTTTTTAAAAATTTTCATGCTCAATAATTTTGTGTATATTGTCATAATTTACATTTTAGATTTTATTTTTTTGCGTTTACGCTAGTCAATAAGCATTTTAATGTAGATAACATTAAAGTTTTATAAGGAGAATATGACACCGTGATAAAAAAATAAGATGTCGTATAAATACCTACTAATAAAATCTTATTACTTATTAGTACGGATTAAATAAAAGTAATCCTAATTTGTACACGATATACAGGATGTAACAGCGAGTGTTTTGATTAAAGACTTCATTGCATATAAGTTTAATTTTAGATTATACAGGGTGATTCAGAATGTATATAAAAAAAGAAATTTTAAATGTACTCCTACAAATACAATTTTGTAAAAAAAATCAAAAAGGTCAGTTCGAAAATGATTTAGAAATACACTTCTGCACGGCACTGGAAACTGGTCCACTGTAAAACCTGACCTGCGCAAGGCACAGCACGCAGTCGGCGACTGGCACGGCGGCAAAAAACGGGCAAAAAATGTAAAGATTTTCTTTCCCAAGGAAAGAAATAAATAAAATTTTAGGTATAACACCTATTTTATATCAACAAATTCAACTGCTTTTGCCGCTATTGTAATTATTAATTAATAAAATGAATTTGAGATTCATTTGATAAACATGGCTTATCCAGTTTTTACGAACTAACACAAATGTTGTCTTGCTTCACCATAAATTAAAACGATATCGATCAACTTTGAGTTGCTATACACGTAAGATATTTTTGAAACTTGAAAAACTAATGTAAACATTATCGCAAAGACGTTTTAATACTAAAATCGAATTTCAGTATTCGGGATCGCACAACGCGAATGACGCTAGAGACCACAGTAGCCCAGCAATGTAAGTGTTGAAAAGGCTACAACTTCAATCATTTTTCTCTCGGAAACTGTAAGGATTTTACAATTTTTTTTTTACGATATTGACTCGTTGAATTGTGAATCACCCTGTATAGGAATATACAAATAAAGTGTACCATCATAGAAGATATGCACCAAAATAGATAAATATAATATACCAAAAAAATTATATGTATATATTGAAACAGCTACGCCAAAAGAAATGGAAGATCACAATTATTAGAATATTCGTCTCACAATAAAAAAAAATAAATAAAAACAGTTGAAGAACCATCCATTTCCATTTGCCTAGCTAATTAGTTAGTGTATTTTCTTATACAGATTTTGATCGAAATTACTCAAGATTAGGTTTTACCGTAACTTTATATACAGTGTGTACAGCCGCGATTGTGTTCTGGAGAAGAAAAACTTTTTGTATTTTAAATTTATGAAAAATATTTCATTTTTTATAAAAATTTCTGCTTGTTCTCTCAAACTCTTGAAAAAAAATTTTTCCTCATCAGAACGTGAGTAACACTGTATAAACTCTACCACGCGTTTTAAATAACAATGAATTAATTAGTAGAGACCTCGAAGACAGTTACGGCCCAACCTAGTGTTGGTTTTCGAATTTTTTCTGTGACCGCCATCTACGTCTAGGCAACAAGTTAAATACAATCGATTATTGAGTGTTGCTTACAAGCAGAAATGGTTGTGCAAGAGATCAGCTTGCTACAACACACCTGTTAATACGCAATTTTAGACGATTTAAAAATGTTAAAACATTAATGCAAAATTTATCGATAGTTATGTAAGTAGTGAATACCAAAAGATATGAAAAAATATATTTTTAAAGAACATTCCACTTATCGTTAGGATGAAATATATCTGAATTTGTTGCCGAAAAAAAAAAAACAATCTCATTCTAAATACCAATTTTGTTTTGGAGGCGGTAAAAATTAATGAGGTGCGCTGAAAATATATTTCATCATGGAAAAGTTACTGTATAATATTACAGGGTAAAAAAAACAATCGTTTTGTAAAAACAAATATCAACATATCCTAAAATGAGTAAAACCAATCAGTATTAGCGTAGAACTTTGCTCCAGAGTAATAATTATTGTTATTGTTTTTATTATTATTACTAATAGATGTACAAGAGAAATTAAGAATCTAGTCAAATGAATGTGAAAGTCGCCGATACCGCCGCGCGCCGGCGAGACTTGTATCTAAATAGAGATTATTACTAAGTGGTACCTAGAAGTCGTTTTAGATTATATCCGTCGTTTCTTTTGCAAAGAGTTCTAGATTATTAAATTATGTAAATGTGTCAAAGGAAATGTAATTTTGTTAAATAAATGTTACTATAAAGGTGTGGCTCGTTTAATTTCACAACACTGTTTATGTTTATTGAGAAACATGCCTGGTATGCGTAAATAATAACAGATGTTTATTTCCGAAAAAAAAAAAAAAAAAAACATGAGGAAACAAATTGTGTTCCTGAATGAGAAAAGTAATTTCCGTAACTGATATTCATCTGGAATTAATTTTGGATTTGATTTTCAAAATAAATAAATATTTTATGTGGAGATGTGGAAAATATTGGAGAAACCAGAATATTGTGTACAGGGTGTAGATTTGAATGGGAGTCGTATTTGTATGTTACTCCTATCAAAAAAAATGTTTCAGATAAAAATCATTGGATATCAAGAAACCAATTTGTTGGTGACCTTGGCTTGACCTTAAATTTCAAGGTCAAACAAAAGTCAAATTGAAAATATTAAAGGGAACACTTCATTTTTCATACGAGCAATTGATAGGGCACCAAATTTTACCTCTGAATATACCTAGAATCAGAAAAAATTTTCTCTATGTCCTTGGAGGTCATTTAGAGGTCAAACTCATTTTTCTTTGAATAACTGGACAGAAGAAAATGTAGGATTTTGAGTGACAATGATGGTGACCTTGGATTTGGCCTTCACCGCAACATGCAAGGTCAAATAAAGGTCAACTTAAAAATACTAAACGGAATACATTATTTTTCATGCTAAATTATTTCAAATATTTGCAGGATTTTGAGTTACATATTAGATGATGACCTTGGATTTGACCGAACAGTAGATTAGATACTCTACAAAATGGCCTATCGTTAAATAATATTAATTATTATTCTAACAATGCATTAAGTTTTAAAATTCAAGATCACACTAATAGTTTTAGTTAAATTAAATTCTATTTTATATCCATTATTTTTCATGAAAAATTAGTTTGACCTTCAAATCAAGGGCAAAAAATCTGTAATCCTAATTCTGACAAAATTTGTCGCTGAATCAGTTGCTCACAAAAAAATAACGTATTCCATTTGATAATAAGTTGACCTTAGTTTGACCTTGCAACTTGCGGTGTTTAACCTCCAAGGACATACAGAAAACAATTTCTGATCTTATATTCAGAAGTAAAATTTGGTGCTTTATCGGTTGTTGGCGTAAAAATAGAGTGTACCTACCTGATTAGTGTTTTTATTTATTTTTTATTACATCAAAATATTCGGATTTTTTTTTAATATCCGGCGCATCGTTTGCTTTAAAAAGGCAACAGTCAACAGCCGAGCTCGGGAACTGTCCAGTAATGGCGTAGACAAGAGTTCAAATAAATTATGTACAGGGTGTTTGTAAATAACTGCGAAATATTTTAGGGGGCAGTTGCCGAAGTTATTTTGTGAAAACAAGTTTATATAAAAGGAGGTCGAAATATGCTTAGTTTACAACATACAGAGTATTTAAATTTTAATTTATTATTTATTTTTATTAATTATTTCAGAGTTTTAAATATATTGGCTGGAAATTTGAAAAACGCTTTAGAGGGATAACTGTGCGTTTTTCGGGGTGATCCGAATATATCTACTTGTACCAGTGGCGTTCGTGCTAGAATGCCACGACCTTTTTTAATACAAAAAAATGATACGCCACTGACTTTTTCCCGTTTTCAAATTATTTTAGAATTCCGCCATCAATTCTGAATGAAATTGGTCTCTTCAATTTTTTTCGTAGGATGCACCGTTTTTGAGGAAAAAATAAAACATATTTTACTGCAAGTTGAGTATTTTTAATTTCTGTTGATACATTATCTAGTAGGTTGCTGTCAATATTTCAATATTTCTAAATAAAATACAAATATCAAATTTCGAGTCAATATATTTATAACTGAAATAATTAATAAAAATTAATAAAAAATTAAAATGTAAACACTGTATCTCAGAAACGAAGCATCGCGAATCATATTCCGACCTATGTTTACAAAATAACTTCGGTAACTACCCCCTAAAATATTTCGCACATGCAAAAAAATACAAATACATCTGCTTTGAAGTTAAATAATCTGTAGATATAGACGGTGTTTCTTAAGTAGAGGTCAAAAATCGGTTTGGAATACAAAAAAGTGTAAAGACACAAAAAGTGAAGATAACACGATGGCGCATATGATGACTTATTTTATTTGTAATATTGTACAGATTAATATATTTTTTTGGCAAAATAATGATCGATGATACCCACACCTCCGCCACTGGTAAGTTTCCAAAGCTGGTAATTTTTTGTTTCATACCTACTGTCATATTAAATATGCAAACCGAATTTGGTTAAATTATCTCTAGCGGTTTAGAAATTAAAAATTAAAAACTGATTTTTTTCTTTTAATTTTTGACACGCTGTAGCTGGACAATGTCTGCCTTAAGACCAAACATTTATATAACAAATAACCCTTATTTTTAGCCACAAAATGCGAACCTGGATTTTTGACCTCTGCTTAAGAAACACCCTGTATAATAATAGACAATTCTGTTAATTTTGATTTAGGTATGTATGTATGTACAAGCACTCAAGATGACATACGATTTTAATGTTTCGGAAGATCTAAATTAATAAGGACGATATGGCCAATTAATTTTTCCACCGATAATACGACCTCTGCCCCCGGTTAATTTTCGAACAAACAGTATCAATTGAAACAATTAAACTTTTATTGGATGACTTGCAATCAATAATTATTTGGATATTCGAAAATCATTAGTATTCTACGATTCTTTCTTTTGTTACCTATCGGTATATCGCATAAAATAACATCACGAGATACTAAAAATAAGTCGACATAAAGTCAAAGGTGTTCAAATTCAGTAACCGTTCGATTCGCTCGATAAATAAAATGTCCCTGAAGGATATTAACAATAATATTTATAAGCAAACAACGCTGTTAACAATAGAAAATAAACTCCTACAAAGAAATGGCCTCCTCAGCGCGGAAACGCAATGCCATTTTTTTAAATAAAAGGTTTTTACCGGCACTTTCGATTTGGTACAATTCTCAGTTGTCACGGACTCGTACACTTTGGAAAGAGTGAAGTACAGCATGTTCTTGTTCTTTCACCGTTTCGTATCATTTAAAACTTTATGTAACTCGGACAAACAATTTAAAAAACGATAAATATTCAAAGGTTAAACGAAATGCATTTCCAGTCACTGATCCGCACATTCATCCTGCCTACCACTTATTGTGGGATATTTTCGCTTAAATTTGAATAACAAACACGTCCGAGAACGTACACGTATTTTTCGATTACTCAACCGTCTTAACCTTGATAACCCACTAGTACACATACCTAACCTACAACCGCGTATAATAAAACTAATAACGTTAATAGTTACTACAATCTGTGACTCACCCATGGTTGCGATATTCCCTTGGTCAGTTCCTTTGCCGTTCCTTTGGTTCGTTCTGGGGCGATTTTCTCCGGTATCCTAAAAACGACATGAATTTGCGAATTACTTGTACGCCACAACACGTGATGTTACTGCTGAGCCGATTGAATTTTTACTATACATAAATTTTCTGTTAAAAACGCCGCTGAACGAGAAAGTAACCCTGCTGGATATGGAACAATACCTGCTAAATTGCCAGACGGTTGTACGGTTTATCTTCGAGTTTTTACAGCTAATGCAAATAAATTGCAGAAAATTCCAGACTACTTTAAACACAGACGATAAAGGTGCCTTGCGTGCTTTTTAATTTCTCTTTCGTACCGTACTGGTAATCCAATTAACCATAACTTTTCAATGTTTATTTAAAAAAGTAAATAACAGTTATCATACTTCAATGTTTAAATTAAATTGTAATAAGTCACAAAGACAAGTGGACTAAATTGCTAATATCAACTTTATCGGTTTTTCTTTTAATAATAATAACGTAATATTTTCGACATAATTTACATTTTCGTAGTTTGTAAGTATGTATAACTAATTTAAAATTATGGAGCCATTATTGGAACAAATCATGTACAGGATGTTTCAAAACTCTTGTTTTTAAAGTGCCTATAATAATTTGTAACATACTTCACACTCTTTATGAAATAAAGAACAGTACACATTGACATACAACCAAATATTTTTTTTAATTATTTACAAATTTAGACGAGTGAATTTCAGGTTACGTCGAAGTACTTTTGTTAATAAAAAAAAAAACATTAACTGCTCTTTGAATCGTACAAGAGGTCTTGTAGAGCATAATAACCGCTTTAGTGGCCATACGCTTCATTAAAATGATAAACTTATTATATTGTTCGATTATTTATAGTGTATTAAAATATCCACAACAAGAAAGAGTAAATCTTGTATATAAGTGTAGACACAAAATTCACTCGAGCCCATTCACAGCGATCTAGATTCAATAATCATTATTATTAACGAGAATAATCGTCAAGGTGAAGTAAGAAGAAGGTAGGCTCATTGTAGGAATGTCACGAAGATGTCTTACCTATACATATTGATTACATATAGTGCATGTTTAAATAAAGTGTATAACTTCTATTTATGGTTTTAGATATGATCATTGTACTTTATTTTAAATATGTATATTAAGCTTATTCAAATAAATTCAAATTTTAAAATCATTAAATAATGATCATGTCACCAAATCACTGCGATAGATAGATCTTAGCTGTTTCTGGACTTAAAGGGTTGCTTTTTCAAGTGGCCTTCTTATAAATGGATTTAATAAATATATAACTAAATTTAGAAAACTTTTAGAAATAACTCAATGTTGCACAAAATAGTTGTTTTCCGCAATATCATCGGTTAAAATTCTTGTTTATTAGGTTAGATATAGGGTGTAAGTAATAACAGAATAAATTTAATATGATATATTAACCAAGAAAACTATAATATTTTACTAAAGAACCCCGCACAAAGCTCATAGATTTCAGTTCCAGATGGATTTGTCTGGGTTTTTAATAGTATGTACTTGATATCCTCCTGATCAAGTGTCGATGGACAAAAAGTTAAAAAATAGTTTTCGGGATACCGAGGAGCACAGTCCCCTAAAATTAAACATTTCTCGGGACCGCATAGTAATTAGATATACGATTTTGGATCATATACCTACAGGGTGTTCCATTTTAAATTATGTACATGAATACCTCATCAGAGAAGCCACTAGTCCGAAAATAACCCTTATTGGTTCGGAGAGAGACATCGGAAGGTGTTCTTCAATTTGACCTTGACAATGACCTTCAAGGTTATGTGAAGGTCAAATTTAATTTTTTAAATAGGAACCTCTATTTTTGACCCCGGATTCGGAAAGAGCGTAAAATATTACGTTTAGATAAGTACTTAAGGCTCTTCTTTGGAATGACTTTTAAAGGTTATTTCAAGGACAAAATATTTTAAATTGCGCACTTGAATATTTCGTCAGGGGAGCTACCAATCCGAAAATAACCCTTATTGGTTAGGAGGGGAACATCGGACGGTGTCCTTCAATTTGACCTTGACGAAGAAGAAGAGCCTTAAGTACTTATCTAAACGTAAATGAACGTATCTGTCTAAACTTAAACGAGCCATAAGTACTTATCTACTCTAAAAATGTTGCGCTCTTTCTCAATCTGGGGTCAAAAATAGAGGTTCCCATTTTCAAAAATAGATTTGCTCTTCAAATGATCTTGAAGGTCAATGTCGAAGTAAGTTAATTTAAGGTTTGTGCGGGGTCCTGTAAAATTATTATGTACTTTCAAACATATTTCTGGATAGGCAGAACTAAATTTATGAAATCAACCGCTCGACTGATCATTTTTGGCACAAGGGGAGCGCAAGGGATTATCTAATTAACTTTTTCTTTTCGTTGTAGCAGAATCAAATAAAAAGAGACCAGGTTAAGTTGTTTTTGTTAGTTTAATGTCATTTACGAACGTATAGTTTTATTTTGTATATAATTTTTTCCATTTTCACACGAGCAAAATGTATCTTTTGGTTACGTGGCAATTGTCAATGGCTGAACAATTGCCACGTCATCAGTTTAGGCTTCTTGACATTTCAGTTTCGGTTTATTCTGAAGAAGAAAGCGATATGTTTCGAGACGTCAAGTATACATTTTTAAAAATTTATCATATACTAAATGTATTTTTTAGCAAACCCCTCAATCATACTCGTGTGACGTCACGTGACACTGTACGAGATTAAATCAAAAGTTGTTATCTATCATCTCAATGTGACTACAACGTATCCTGTCGAGAATAAATGATCGACCTGCACGAAATTCCGCCAAATTTAAATAATATTACCGAGAACGACCAAGAAGAATAGTTGCATTAGCGTTATAAAATAATACTCGGCGACAGTCACTCTCGGATCGGCCCCACCTTTCCGGCAGCGCCGCCTTGGCCAAATTTAACGTGTTACTCGGCGACTCAGGTGCAATTTGCAGATTTATTTAACATTATAACCTCTCACAGTGCACAGTGCTCCCATCCACACAGCCATGAGGTCAGCCACGAACACCACTAACTGAAAACCGTACGTACCGCTTTGATTTGGGACCGCCCGTGTGTGATTGAATCCGTTCGCGGCCACGCGGAGCCCCTGCGGGCTCTTCCGTTTTCGAATAGTGACTTCTGGAATAGTTGGCCGTTCTTTTGCCGTTTGTTTTGTCGTCCGCGTAATCGTTTTGTGAAAGTCGGAGCCTCGCTCGATAGGTCCGGCGAAATCGCTCGGGTCTGAATGTGAGCGGTAGGCAGTGACTGACGCGCCTTAAAAACGAAATTTCAGTTGTAGATACGTTTTTGACGGGGAAAAAGCCAAAATCCGTCATTTTCTTGTTTTTTACATGCACCGCCTCGCGGCTCATTATTTTAATTGCATATCTCATATCATTAAAACTAACTCATAATTATTCAGGTATTAATAATATTGACAGTTGATAATATTGTTTATTGTTAACGCTAGCAGCCTTTTTTTCAAAACATACGTAAAATGTTTGTATGTACATGTATTTATAATTTTATAACTAGGTATGTTCCAAATATTCAAGAGTGACATGTAAACAAATAAGATTCGTAAGAAAACATGTTTCATTACAAAAAAAATTAATCTTGGTATTCATCGTGGAAACAAATTTTATTATATTATGTAAACAGATAAAGAAATAGCAGATTTACTTCCTGATCTATTTTAAATCTTCCCTTACCTTGTAGCCCTAAGGCTGTAAATAATACAAGGCGTTCGATATATGTATACCATTACAAACATTTAATAAAAATGTTTAAACATTTTGGGATACTAGAATTGTTTTAAAAAACTCAGACGCATTTAAAATAATTTTTTAACTCATGTATGCGCTTTGTAAACAATTTTAATGATTTTAATACAAAAATAATAACTTTTTAAATCTTCTTACTGTTAGGCAGGATGTAACTTGAAATGGGGGTTAATTTTTTAGGGATAATAATACACGTTTCCCTGAATACGAAAATTCTTTTTTTATTCACATAATTAAAAATACTATTATGATTGGTATGAAATATATTTTTTTAAATTATTTCAAGTTTTTACAAAAAATTATGTGTTACTATTCTTTATAAACAGTGCATGTACTTAATTTGTGAATGTCAGTGTCAATGACTCCGACCTTGAACTAATTTAGCTAACTATACTACTGTCAATACGAAAAGTAGATAAGGAAGCATTTAGGAAAGTTAAAACAGGTAATATTAAAAAGTTGTAAAATTCTAAACGAAATACGCTATTTTTCTACTCTTTTCTTCTTATTCAGTCATACAATTAAATCGTGAACAGTGTAAGTTTAAGCAAAATCCGATCCTGTCCCAAATGATTATCAAGTGCATCGAAGGTTAGTTTCTGTTCAGTTAAAATTTCGTATTGCCACTTCTGCCAGTTGACCTCACACGTGGCATGATATGAAGGGATGGTACGCGAGTAAAAAACGAACTGCTACGATAGTTCGGTGAAACGGAAATGGCCGAATCACCGCTTTATTCTGTTACGATTTTTTTGTTATAGTTTGTGACCTATTATTTCAGTGTTTGATGATGGTACAGTGTATTTTCGTGTTTTCATTTTAAAATTTTTCTGTGATATTATGAAAAAGCATGTATACGAACCAAGAAAAAGTTGATATGGTTAGATCCTATTTTTTGTCAGGAGTAAAAGGATGCTGTTGCAAGAAAACGATATCAGGTGGATTATCCCGACCTATAAGATGCCTAATGTTATAAAAAAATCAGTTTATATACAATGTTCTAATTTCTTGTATAAATTATAGCTCTGATGAAGATTTAAAATCAATCGAATTATTGGTTTAGTCAGGAAATAAAATGTATTTCTATGTCCTGCTCCCGAATACCACCATTTGCGCAAAAACTCTAAGCTTGAAATATTTGGATTCGTATACGTATTCGCGAATATCAAAAATCTCACATCCGGAACAACCATATTTATAACACTGTCAAGGAAATCGTTGGAAGGATTTGCTAAATTTAATTTTAGAATACATTTTAAGAATAGTTGCATACATTTTTATTTGACCACTGAAATTCTTCAAAACCGATAGGTCATTTCCTTAGGTGAAATGCGATGATATAAAGTGTTACATAAATATATAGCATTTATAAAATAAAATCAATAAATATATTTGGTTTATCATATTTCATTAGAATTATATGAACTAATAGATGATGACGTAGTGATTCGACAGAGGCAGAGAGGGATTATACTTTTGTTGAGAATTATAAGCGGAAATTCTGTATCAAAATCAGAATCAACTATGGATTTGCCTTTACAGCTACCAAAAAAATATATATCTTTAATAATACGAATCTCTTTTTTCCATAAAATGATCAAATCTATTAAAAAAATAATAAGTATGGAATAACGGATTTTCTATCTATGAATTTGAGAAAGTATCCAAAATACTTGAAAATTCAGGTCCTTCTACCTGATTTAGTATCGCAAAACATTGAAAATACACATTTTTACAAAAAAAGAACACTTTCGCTGACTTACAAACATAAATGACATCAATCCTCCCAACTATACATATGTTTATCATACAATATTTTGGATTTCCCTAAATGCATTCGTTGTTGTTTATACCTGTAACGTAGTTATATTCAGTAACTTGTTTGTTAACATGCAAAGGACTCGCTGCTTGAACATAGCTCAGTATAATTTCACTACTGGCATTAGAATACAACAACTTTTATCGTTTCTGAAGTGAGAACATAATCAATCACACATGGTTTCAGTTTCACGTACCTACATTGCAAACTTAAAAAAATAATTACTAAATCGATTTCTTTTCTCGTGGTTACATAAGTTGTGATAATTTTAAATAGATAATTTTGTGGGTTAATTCAATCACCGTTATTAACATATAACTATTTACACAACAAATAATTTCCTATGTACTACCTACTAAAAAGAAATTGTAACAGATACGTTTCTCTAGGGTCCAAAGCTAGTTTCGGTCACTCAAAAGATAAATAAAATTGCTGCAAACTTATTAGGCACGTGACACTTGTTTTTGTTAAATTCTTAGGTAAATATTTGATGGTATCACTTACACTGTAATATCCACCGACTTCTAGAACGCGATATAAAAAAACAATGTTTTACTAATAACGACAACAATTATCTTCGATGGAATGCGCATTCAAGAGACAAACGGTGTCATTATTCAATTCCCGCAAGAAAATTGCACCGAATTATACAGTTTTATATAATACAATTGCTTGCGATAGTTGCTTTTTGAATCGACAATTCCAATATTAATAATCTGTTGGGGATAACCGGACTACTATCGACTGCAAAGTCTCGGAATTGAATTAACGTTGGCCAATTATCTCTAATATTTTTTTTTTCGACGGGTGATGAACGTGCTTTGTTCTTTGCCGTAGGCCAGCCGATCTGGACCGGTTTAGTGACTAAATTCCCCACACCCAGGCCGAACCATGTCCATTACATCACTCAATATAGCGGATGGGACCGTAGGAAGGAAATTATGGTGAGTGCAGATATCTTTCATGTAACAAATGTAACGTGTAAAAAGCTCTATGCAGTTGTAGGGAATCTATTTATACCACCACAAGAAACGCCAATTTGAGAGCTATTTTTATCAATTATTTTACAGGAATTCCTATTTTTATATCATTTAGGTAGTAGCTATGATAATGTAGTTATAATAGAAGTTTAACACAAAAATTATGAAAATGTACCACTTTTTTCGTTTTAATCTGATGTCAGTAGATAAGTGTATCTTAAATTTGAAATTCAGAAATTTTGAAAATTTTATTTCGCTATTTTGATGAATTATTTACCTAAGTTTCAACATTCAGCAACAAACGTCTTCAAATGTATGTTAGAATATCATTTAATTTCAATATTGCATCTCGAAAATTATCGATTTACAATTTAAATTATTTATAATAGATATAATGTATATTAAACTCATGTAATTCTAATAATAAACGTGTGTAAATATATTCCTTTATATATTTAAAATAAAAAGAAGTGGTAAAATTGTATAATGTCTAAAATTGGTGTCGTAAAAATCGTAAAAATTTTTCAAATAAATTAGAATTTCTTAAAGAACTTACTATTCATTATAACTTATATGTACCAACATAATTTGGTCAATTTCTTTAGTTTCATTGGTATAATAAATGTAAATCCCGAATAGTTTTAAAAATGAAAGCATTTGCATAGCTCATCGGTGATTTATAGTATTCTATCAAATCCTGTTATTATTGTAAGAGATAAAGTCAACACGTATATTCTAAAAATTATTCGAAAAATGTACCCCTACATTATTATCCGCGGGTTCTAAGAAACGTTATTCATATAATATTCACTCGTTATTATCATCGCCAATAATATGACGTATTTAGATTGGATAACAAATGTATGAAGAAGTTATCTAGAGTACGAAGTAAAAATATTTCTAGACCTTTTAGGATCTACGACAAAAGTGAACCCAATGAATTGATAAAAAAATCAGTCAAGTTAAATCTTTAAAAAAGTGATAAAAATCTCCTAGCTTCAATAAATTTTATTGAAATTGGAGGCAATAGAAATAGTTTCAAATTATTGACACACTTTAATTTTTGTAGTGTAAGCTACACTGTCCAACAAATGTTAACAAAGTCTGATAATTTATATTGCGTCAAAAATTGGTAAGTAAAAAACGAGTTTTGGTTAAAAGTAGTAGATAGTATAACAGTAGCAACAGAAATAGTTACTACTTGCCATATTTCTAGAAATGTCCGAAAATCCAAAGATCAGACATAAATAAAAATGATAATACGTTAATTTTAAGGGTTGAAACAAATAGAAAACTCAAATTTTCTCCAATTATTGTTTGCTCTCAAGACACGAATGAAGTATTACTGGTTGCATACCAATAACCATTTTGCTTATAATAGTATTTAGAGGAGTTTTAATTCATTTGTTAGATATGGATTGCTTAATTTACACTTGAGCGATAATTACGAATTTTATGCTCATAAAAACACGGTACCTAACATAAAATAAAGTGTACAGAAAAAATGAAGTCAGTCGAATTATCTAAAGGTGTACGTACAGCTGTGGACAAAATACAATTTCGAACTAAATTGCTTATATCCCTTTAAAAAAACAGGATTTTATAAGTTTCGTTTTTAACCCCTAAAAAGTTTACAGAAACTTTTTATGTTCACAGCTGACTAATTATTCAATGTGTCAACCAAGTATTATCTTGCAACATAATACATCATCTAATTGCTCCGTAATCTAACATTCAATCTGAGGTATTGTACATCTAGTGAGATATATTCATATCATATCTCAAGTAAAAAACGTATAATCATCTTGAAAGAGTTGAAGAAAGGAGTAATGGAATTTAAGATACGATATGGACAACGACATTGTTTTCTGCTAAGCTAAGAAAAGAACCGAGATGTAATTGAAAAATAATTGCTGAAAAAGATCATTATAAAATGCAGTAACCTTTATTTAAATTCACCGCAATGTTTTGAAATAGATACCTAGTTGGAATATTGTCTTTTTAATATTTGTTAATCGATAGAGTGGACTGTATAAACTCTTGTGCTGATTGAATAATTTCCTTTATTTCCTGAATATGGTACAACTACACAATTAGATTAATAGAATTTAGAATATGTCATCATTTTTAATTTGATTTTTCAACAACAACTTTTTTGTTTTTGTTGCTCTGCAACCGTCTCTATACAACTTAGATTATATAAAATATATTAACATACAAAATACAAAATACTTCACCAATATTGGATATGAGATATGCCAAAAATGGGCAGTTTTTTTTATTCTTCTTAAGTGATATCTTTAAAATTAATCAACTATTGAACAGAAAAGCAGTAATTTACATTTTTAATATCTAATTTTACTCCATTTATAAATACTTATGTCGCACAATTTTATCTTTACAATTTCAGTCTGTTTTTTTCCAAATGCTCCAAACTGTGTACAGAAATCTGGTTGAAACAAGTTAGAATTTGTCAACGCGTCATACGATGTAACAAATTTGATACGTTTGTTTCGTTGACGTACAATTCAAATTATAATTTTAATAATTTTTATTAAAAAATTACAATAAATACACCCGCCGCCAATGAATTTGACCCCCAGTTCTGAAGAAATGACACGAAAATTTTATATAAGAACCTTAATCACAAGATACGAATTTTTTACGTTAAAAAAATGGGAAACCCTCTACAGATGGTACAGAATGATTGCATATTGCATCAGACAATGACTACCTACATCAAAAAAAATTAAAAATGATATTGCTCAACGAATGACTTTCCTTTTTAAACCTGTACGCATACTTGGAACCAAAAAACACTGTATTAAAATCGGCTCGATTTCCAAACACTGATTATCTCAATTAAACCGCAAAGGACGCCGCCACCGAGTAGGTAAGCGAGCACCACACTGGCACAGTTGGCTTATGAAATCGCTTCGCTACCTGTCCGGCAGTGATTCTACAATGGGTGCAATCTAGTAGTGCATTTCGACATACCGGCTGCAATCGTCCTTATCTCGAAAAAAAAAATAGTCCTATCCGGTAAACGTCTAACAATATTCAACATAAAAAATGACGGTCCAGAAGGAAGAAAATAAAAAATTAGACAGTTTGGAGAATGGATACGCTTCGGACGAAGACGACAGTGAAATTGCTTACACGAAACGACACAGGTGAGAGATTTTTTTTAATGTGGCGTGAATCCGAAAACAGGTTGTTTGAAGAAATTTTAATTTGTGATCAGAGTAAATAGGTAAAAAATTCCTGTAAAAATCTGTTCATCTTATTGTAGTCTTATGTTTCATCTGTTACATACAGGGTGCTCTAGTGATCATATTACGTAGAAAAGTAATATATCTTAATCTATGCGCATATATATGAAAGTCATGTTCGGCAGGAATCAGTAATTAATAATTAGCAGTATCACATTTCTAAGAATCATATACTTAGAAAACGGAAAATACTGGCTATCTATGAGTTTGGAGAAATATTTCTTTGACTCGTCATCAGATAATAATATAGTTATTCCCTAAAATGTGAAATTTATTTACTTATATAATAATTATAATATAATACATTCTCTTTCCAAGTAAAAAATAAACACCTCATTTGCTCTTATCGCGATCTTACAGAGTGGAATCCCATTAACTGATTGGAATTCCATTAACTGATATTAGATAGTTGTTATTGTGGTGGTTTGGATTTTTTTAATTGACTAATTAGCACTGAAAGATGATGGTCTAAATGATTAGGGACCATCTCTGTCCTTGAAAGAAGATACAGATATGATAAAAGAAGAAAAAAGTACTTCACTACAACACTTGTTCACAAATTTTGATTTGTAGACCGTCTGGACTAACGAAAGTCCTCATGTAAACCGAAGTAATAACTTTCAAATTTTAAGATTGTAAACTTGTTTTGCCCAAAAGTCCTAACCTAACCTAACCAAGATAAATAAGTAGGATGAGGACCTGTATAGTGGCCTCAACGTTCGCCTGACCTTAATCCCTTGATTACTTTGGCTGTGGTCATATCAAGCAGCAGGTATACTTTTCTCCAGAAGAACTAATAAATACATTCAAAATGTTGCCCAGTTATTTTTCGAACAAAACGGTTTTCAATTTGAACATTTACTTTAATTTTTGCTTACTGCTGTGTTCTTCTGTAGATACTGCTTGTTTTTAAATCATATTTTCAAATCAATAGACATAACAAAAGTGTTATAAAAATAGTAATAAACATTAGTTCGAAAAATCAACTAAAATTTTGTGTAACTTGTATAATACGCACCAAAAGAATTTCATGCCATTTACTAAGAACCTTTTAATTTTAAGACAATTTTGAAATTGATCAGTGATTCAAAAAATCATAAAATATGAAAAAAAAAGAAAATCATAGACGTAGAAATTTTCTTTAAACTGATTACCCGTCTACCACGCCACTGGTGGTTGTAGGAATTTGAATTTTTTGTAGACCATTCTTAAAAAATATGTTGCTATAAGGTATACTCAATTTGGTTTTATTATTACTTGTTATTCATTAGAAAAAAAAACTATCAAAAATATTTTAATTCGATACCCTGTATCGCAATTTAGAAGCAATTTAAGACCGATTTTCACATGAACTTTTTTTGTTCAAAATTAAACTATCTAACTAATAGATAAAGTTAGAACATTAAAAAGTAAACGCCCGGTATATTATATACTTACAATGACAATAATGAGGAAAAAATGGTTATTTTTAATCTGAACGTATTTTTTTAATGGTTTTTGGATTTGGTAAAGTTAAATAAAGTAAATCCGTGAAATAATTTGTTTAAAAAATTTAATTCTAGTTATTGCTGCTCATTTATTTATTGTTTCTAGTATTGTTTCAAAAACCAATTTATCTCAAAAACCTTTCATTTTATGGAAATAAATAATAAATGCCTTTCTTTAAAGTAAAATGTTCAGAGTATCTAAAAATTGACCAAGTATTTTAGTTACATCCCATAGTTACATGCGTATTTAAGAGAGATCATTCGTACCTTCAAAATGTATTCTCTGTAGAATTCTTCCTTTTATAAGTTGCGCATCGCCTTTTTCTTTAGTCTCTTAACCAAAATTGTTCCAGCGAATTATTTTGAAAAATCATTTAAATTGATCTTTTTCAAATAGACAGTATTTTTTACAAAATATTGTACAGTTGAAAAGTAAATAAGAAATAAATAAAAAAACAGAAACTTAAGAAATTGAGAGGTTAAAGTTTCATAAAATATTCATGTAAAAGACATTTTTTTTATAAAACACAATTACTCTTCACGTTTCTAATTATGTAGAATGAAAAGGACAGAAAAGTTGAAATGAACTTGCAAAAAACAGGCTCCCGAAATCTCCATTAGGAGAAACACCAGAAAAATAATATATAAGCGAGTAATACGAGTAGTATTTTGACTTTCCCTATATGCTTCTGAGAGTACTAGATACTTATCGAACACCCTGTATTATTCTAAGCGGCGACTTTCGGACAGTAGAAGACTAAATACTTCCTTGAATTTATTTAAAAATAATAGCAATAACAAGACATGTCATCATAAACCGATTCAGAAACAATATTAATAAATAATTATACGGATTAACAATAATAATCGTCGTAATAGCTATCATTAGAATGAAATTATTGCAAATATATCTGCAAACTTGCAATTTTGATCGAAGCGGCAAACCATAACAAAAATAGGGTTCTTCTAGTTAGTAAACACTGTCGGTCACTGTAGAACATTAGTTTTAAAGCTTCGACTAATTTTTATTTCCATAAATTTAAATCTATTCCTAGAAAGTATAATAAAAACCGCTGGAAAATCGCGGAAAATTTACAGACGCCTGCGCGTCGCGGCGCTCCGAATCAAAATATCGATTTCCGCCCTTCTAACCGCAACACCCCAACCGGTTTGACAGATATGTCAGTCGTCCCAAATTTTCGGTTTCCCATACGCCAGGAATGAAAGAAATCCGTCTGAACAATGGTTGATTTTAAGTTGTTACTGCATCCACCGATAGCTAGAAAAGTCGATTTTTTGCGGAGGAGGTGTGTCCAGGAACACAGGGATTTCTCGAATTTTACCTGCAGCAGGAGGTGCAACCAGGAAAGGGACGTGGAACCATCGAGCCGGGAAAATGCAGACAAGTACGTACCCGTTTCAAAAATACTTCCGCTTATTTGAAAGTTTGGAAACAATTTTAAAGCGGTTTTTCATGCAGCGCGCTGACTTATCAGAAACGTTAGTTTGGAGCGTTACCGCTAGATGTCGCTGGAGGTTTATAAAGTTTCAAATGTTTCAATAACGAGGTGAAGTTTGTTGTATCAACAAATAGTTGTTTATTGTCGATTCCCTTGTTCAGCATTCTATTTACAAAACACTGGTGGCGTTCAGTGAACCGTTTCTGCAATTGCTGACGCTTTTATTTTATAATTTGTAAATAAAGTATATCGCAATCGAGTGGTATTCGTGATATGCAAAATTAATTGCAAGGAAAATATAGACCTAGGCTAATACTTTGACCCATAAATATTACTTAAAAAAGAATTCAAATATTACATTTATAATCAGTAGCGCAACCGAAAAATCAAAAACCGTTCAACTTGAAAAATTGAGTTCGTTGGGAAATAGAGCAGAACATTTTTTTATAGACTAGGTGGATGTAACAAGAAAAAGACGTTAAATTTAATAAATTGGGTACCGTGTATGGTAACATGTGACAAATCGAAATACGTGAATATGATTTTTTTTTTGTTTACAAACAAACCGAATACAGATATTTATTTTCAAAGATAAGTACCTGTATCTAAACCAAATAATCACTTCATGAAATACATACTACCAGCTACCGTGACATTAGATTGTTAAAAACGATAGGTATATTAAAAACATTAAGATATCAATTTTGTGACGGTAGTGATTCTATTTATATATAAGGAAAATCTAAATGTGCGTCAGCAGTATAATGGAATAATATTTGTCAATTTAACTAAACTAAAAAAATGTATATTAAAAAGTTAGACCTAAAAAAGGTGAAAGTTATCTCATTTTGGCCTTATAAATTTTCAAATTTGAAGATCTTCAAACACAGGAAAACCATCTGATAACGAATATACAAAGCGTCAAAAAATGCATTATCAACCAAATTTTACATGGTGATAGAACTTCAAAATAATAAAAATAACACTTATAGAAAACTAAACATTTTCACAGATATCTTACTTATTATTCTTCATAAGACAAAATAATAAATTGATATTGATTTTTTCGAAATTTTAAACCCCATTTTCAATTTCAAATTGAACACGCTATATCTCGGAAATTGAGCATTTCTAAGTACTTCCCCGCACTTGTAAGTACTTCCCCAAACATATTTATACGAAATATTTTCGATTTGAAGAGTTCTATCACCAGGCAAAGTTTGTCTGACACCTATCCATATTTAATAAAGTCAATCAAAATTTAATCTATCACAATAACTGGACTGATAACCTACAAAATTATCACAAAATGCAGAACAAATAATAAACAGTAACTACGTGATATTACTTATTAAGACTCCAAACTTTTATAAGTGGTATCTATTAACAAACGATAAAAATGTCGACAAATAAAAAGAAAACGTACAGAAGTCGCTAAACAACTCACTAATATGTAGGATTCTAAATCTAACACAACCTAGTTTCGGTTCAACGACTGTCCAAAATTAGGAATAGTCCATTAGAGAGATCATCTATTAAAAATTTGTTTTCTCAGTCGCGCTTGAAGATCTTCAAAGTTTTTTTACCGAAATAAACTTTAACAAAGTAAAATTTATACGAATGTTCCAATTTTTAACATCAAAAATGTTACATGGCGATAACTTAAAAAAGAGATCAGCCTCCCGACTAAGAGAATAATATTCATAACAGTTGAGCTGGTACAGATTTCTCCAGGCAGAATTATTAAATTTTTACTTCACTCGACTGTCAGTCACTTGGGCAAGACAACCCACATTAATCCTCACAACTCAAATGAGCAAATGGAGATTTCGAAATTAATAACATGATATCCATAATGTTGCATTAGATATGGGCGTTGGCTAACAAGTAGGTAATGAATTAGAAAATATATGACAATAATGAGTAGGTTCAACCGTATTCGAAGAAATACGATTATACTTAGATACGCAAAATACGAGCAAAATAGGAAATAGAGAAAACATTCCACAATGAAATGGAAAAACAATCAACTTTTATAATAGAACATAATAATGACACCCCTAGGCCGAATTTTGGAAATACATATTAGTTATTTTTTAAAACAGTGCTATTCATTTTCTTCCATATAGCTTACAAAACCTATAGCAAAATTGCTAATGGCAAGCGCACTTTTTTTTAATTTAACAAAAGCACTAAGTCCAGAAATACTTCTAACGATCTTGCTCCAAATAGTCCAATTAAATAAGCCTTTAAATCGAAAATTTGGTCAACTTGCCTGAATTTTTGATATGAGTTAGTTTGAGGTATATTATAACAATAAGTGACAGTAATTTTTTATTCAACCCCCGGCCAAGGGTGAAAAAAGATAAAACAAAGGTATTTTCAAGATAACTTAAAAGGGGCAAGGGCTAGAAAAGGGCTTTTTTATAAAAGTTGTAAAGCATACAATTCTACATAAAAATGGTATCTTGACATTTTCTTGTACTATTAAAATTAACAGTTAGGGAGGCTAGAAGTTAAGGGAAGATTTCAGAAATTTAAAAAATCATAACAAGCAGAAAAACGAATGAATTTTTTATTTTTTTACAATCCACTCTAAAAAATGCAAAGAGACACGTATTTTTTTTATCGGCGGAAAAACATATTTACGGGGTGAAATACACCCTCAAAGTTCGCCCCCCAAAACAGTTTTTTCAATATTTCTGGGATTCTAATGAATATTTTGAAATGAAACAAAATGGAAATTACTTATGATAAAAAACAAATATTTCGCAAGTGATTCCCCGTTTGGGGGTTGCTACCCTTATTTTTTTATTTCAGAAAATCTATATTTTTTATTTATAAGAAAATCATATTTACTCAAAAAGAATTAAAAATATGATTTATGTAAACAAATTGACAAAATTAAATTAACCTGTTTTCGTTAAAATCTCTGTTTAGCTAAGAGAGCTTTTATGTAGAATTGTATGCTTTACAACTTTTATACGAAACTTTTTTTTCTAGCCCTTACCCTTTTTGATTTATCTTGAAAAACCTCTTTGTTTTAACTTTTTTCATCCTTGGCCGGGGGTTGAACAAAAAAATACTGTCACTTATTGTTATAACATACCTCAACCTAACTCATATCAAAAATTCAGGCAAGTTGACCAAAATTTCGATTTAAAGGCTTATTTAATTGGACTAAAAGTGCCGCAACATAGAGAACACCCCGTGCAACATAATAATTGAAATTTCCTTAAAAATATTTTCATTGTTTTCAGGCCCAGGCTAAAAAGGAAATACATAATCGGCACAGCCATCATCCTCCTCATAATCATCCTCATAGTCCTAGCCTACTGCACCGACGTCTTCTCCCCGAAACAGAAGTCCCAGCTGGTCCCCCCGAACCCCACGAAACCTCTGCCGCCGTCGGCGTCGAAAATGTACGTCTACAAAAAGGCAGCCGTCTGCTCCGATGGACCGCCGTGTGCAGAAATTGGAAAGTAAGTCGTTTTTGTGTTTTCAGACAGCCAGTAATAAAATAATAAAAATAAGGGATAAATTTAGAACATTGCTATTATAGAAATATATACAGGACGAGAAGAGACAGCCTGCTGTATAGAATCAGAACAGGAGTTCAACAATTTTGAGAAGTAGTTTTTTTATTCTAGGCAGCAAAGCTTTTGTATTCAAAACTCTAAATAATAATTCGAGAATACAAAAACGGTTTGGCAATTATGTGTTAAAGCATGATTTTTCAAAAACGGCTTCGAAATATTGTTAATATTAATGAAAAAATAAGTAAAAATTTTTACAATAAATATAACGGCTCTAGTGTTAAATGTTAAAAGAAATTGAAAAATGCAAAAGTAAAATCTCTGGCGTTACGGATAACTTACCTTATGTTAAAACGTACATTAATTGTTAGAAAGAATATTATTGGATTTGTCCAAAGAAGTCTCAAATACAAAGTCCTTTATTAATGGAATCTTCAAAGATTAAATTAGTTTCTATTTTGAATAAAAACAAAACAAAGCAATATTTTATGTACTCCTATCAGTATCAAACGAATTAAAATAAGAACGATTACACATACTTTGTTTCTTATTTTATGATATAAAAGTACGTGATTTGTGATCTAAAAGTATATGATAAGAAAACTTTTTCTCGCCTAATATAAAAAAAAAATGAAACGAAGAATTACTCTGTTTTTTCCAAATTGATAGTATTTGCTAATTATTTAGTTGATGGTATTTTTTAACCTTATACGCTGTATAAAATGGTCAAAGACACAATCGTAAAGTAATTTATTCACAGGATGTTTCCGTTTTCGTGACCAGTCTGCTGGGGTAAAATAATGAGTTCCGGTGCATTAATTAAAAATTAAAACTATTTTATCTTTTTTTAACAATTTTTCTGCAAGTGAACCAAGCCAAAATTAAGATTCAAGGTCTCCTGTTGTTATAACCGGCAATTATAAAAAAATATCACTTCTTTAATAATTGGTGTAATAAAATAATGTAGCAATTTATAATACGTTTTACCACTTGAGTCTAACGTTTTGGAATTATGGGAACCTGCAAAAACTGCAATTTTGCACAATTTGTGATACGTGTCATCTTATCTGCTTTACAAAAATGTATCTACCAACACCAACCAAATACGTTTTATATTTCATTGCGACTATAAAGTTTGTTACAATATTACGCAAATTTGGTTAAATTCTCAACGCCTTTTATATTTTAAGAACAAAACAGTTTATTTACTATCATGCATAAGTAGCGATTTATTTTTGGATAGATAATTATTTCATTAGTAATGCAAATATATTATTGTGCAATACACGGAAATACTTTTTCCTCAACAAGGCTTCCTTTACTAACGTATAATTTTTTTCACTAAACATATTATAAAATACAGTTAAATGAATGAAAATACATGAGTGTTGAGCTCCAGAAAAATCAATTGATTATAAAACCGCCAGTTACCTAACGAGTTTGTGGTAAACAAAGATAAAATGTTTCAATTTGTAACGATAATTTTCGTCACACAAGACAAACAAATGGGACAATATTATGATGAATACGCTTTGAGAATACATCCGAAAGGAAGGCATTTCTACCAAAAAAATTCCAAGACTGTCGAAAGACACGCGCCGAAAAATCGAATTAGCACGAAGCCAATCGAAAACACATAAACAATAATAAAATACAGTTTAGTATTGTGCGATACACGCTGAGACAATAAAATATAAATACATTTTATCTGGTAAATTGTCGAGGAAAATTCCAGAACCTTGGAAAAAAACAGATAATGAATATGAAAACATAAACAGCGTTATCAGTACATTTTTTTATTTGTTTATCAACTGGCAATACACGATAGTTGAAGTTAATTCAATTAATAAGAAAAATATTAATCACTAAATATTCTTTACGAATTTTTTGTAAGTCCTAGAACCGTCATTAAAAATAAATTTTAGCGTTTTTCGGTAATTCATTCCGTCATCTTTTCGAGAAAATTAATAAGAACTTTGATTCCTTAATTTAAGGCAAAATTTGTCAAGATCTAATATGATACATGGATATCCATTTTTAAGTATACGCCACATAAATTTTTAATAGTAAATCACCTGAAACAATTAATTATTGCGCAATTTAATAAGTTACACGTATGCCAGTAGTATACTACGCAGTTATGCTTACAAATTATTGATAATTAATAACAACCTATTCACTATTCAATATTTTTCTCTGTTATCTAACCTTCAGACACATTTACGCAGGTTTGTCACCCATACAACTACGGAATTTTTGTTCTAAAACTCGCCTATCTAGAAGGAACCGTGAATAACAATTAGGTATCACAGATTATTGCAATTTTTTTTTTTTACATCGAAAGGACCACGTCATGTTTGCATTTTCAATACCAAACCAATGTATTTAAGATTTAAATTGATAAACAGTTACAAATATTAAATTATTTGTACATTCGTTTAGTTCCAGACGAAAAAGTATTCAAAACTAAGGCAATTTTCATCGCAACTTGGTAATCGCAATTACCTCAATACTAGGTACTTGTTTCGCTTAATAAAAACATATAATTTTTTAATGAAAACGCCTAATTAATAGTTCGCGGCGTCTGATGTAACTTCCAGAAGTCACAATCTTCTAGTTTCTAACTAACCGCATATCCTGCACGTTACAATCTCCACAACGACCGGTTTCGAGTTTCTTATTTGGAGTTCATTAATCTAGAATACTCGAATTCGATGGAGGTAGACTGTGGATTTATTTACTGTTTACATGTAAACTAGTTTTCAATGAATTTTTAAAAGGTTCGAAGGAAGAGAATTTATCCTTCGTCTCATTAAATTAAGTCAACATACTTACCTACAATTAAAAAAAATAATAAAAAGGATACCTACATAGGTAACCGTGAAGGAGATATAATTTCTCGCGCTTGCGCTGGGCAGGTAGAACAGACATCTATAAAAGCGGTGAACTTGCTCGACCAATCGTCAGTATTTGACTTGAACCGAAAAGCAAATCAAAGTGCCGAGCAATCCAAGTTACTAGTGCGAAACAAAAAAAAAAACAACTTTCAAAGTCAAATTTCCTAGTGCAAGACAGAAATCCAAACCAACATGTCCGAGGCTCATTTCGACGAGTACGAACACTACAATTTCGAATATGACAAGCACATCTTCAGCGGCCACAGCGGCAAGCAACGCAGTAAAAAGGAGGTAGAGACTCGCACCAACCATTTTGACCCCAGCGGACATTCCAGAAAGATTTTAACGAAGCTGATGAACACCGAACAGAACAAGAAGAAGGCCTCGTAGAACCAAACGGGACCGATTCCAGTGAGTGCGAACGCATTTACGTTTTATTTATTGAGAAAAAAAAAGACGTTTCCTACGGCGTGTCTAACGGACTGTGATTTATTTTTTACGGAATAATATTTGTTATTTTAACTTTATGTTCACCTCGCTCCCAAGGCCGATTTCCATACACGATGCAATAACTTTTTAAAAATAAATCGAAGGCCGCACAAATAAAGCATAAGATAGTTATTTACGTCTTTTGTATTATTTTATTTGTAAGTAATGTTGGTGTTCTGAGGTTATTTTCTGTGCTCTGTGTTATTAATTACTAAGTTGAATGTCTGCAGATTATATCTGTGATGATAATATGATCGAATTAATAAAATTATTATATTTAATATTATGTTCTTTTATTTTTTTTACATTCCCCAGACCTTAGCCAAGTTGTTCACAAAAAAAATTCAGGGTCATTAATGTTTGCCAACAAACTCGACAACTTGACTACGTAAACGTCTAGACTAGACCTAGAACCTAGAGGCTTGTCAAAGAGCATAACAATTTAATGCAGATATTGTAAACTGAAACTGAACAAAATCAAATGATAAAATTGATAAATGTTATAATTCGGGTTTTTTGGCTTGTCAAAAAAAATGAGTAAAGTATTATTGCGTTTCGTAGTGAAACGTACATAAATATTTAAACAATGTTGAAACAAAATACTACTATGAATTCGTCCTCATGAAATTTGGATAACTGTCAAAAATAATTTATTTCCATGACCTTTAGTATGTAGAATGTGGTGTTTACTTACTATTATTTTCGATAATCCACAGGTATAATTAACTAAAATTTCACTGAAATTTTAAACTTGTAAAAACACTCCCACATCAACTATAACCTCAATAATTAACAAATGAAGCAACTTGATTCTCATAGGTAAACCGACTTTATAAGAACTTCAGTCAAACCACTGCTGCATATGAATAAAATTAACTTATTTATTTTTTCAGATTTCATAACAAATATTTTTCAAGCCGAGGCAAAGAGTTACTTTTTTTATTTGATTTGGTATTTCTGCTACAGTGAAAAAGGAAAATTTTAAATAAATAACCAGAAATAATTTACACTTAAAGCAATACCTAAAAATGTTTCGTTAGGCAAAATTAAATTTATAAAATCAAGCCCTTGATTGATCCTCTTTGGAGCAAAGGGGTTAGGTACTTATTTAAATTTCTTTCTGATTATTTCAACCCCTTACAAATACAGGGTGTCCCGAAATTCATGCAACAAAATTTGGTCACAGATTCTTAAGACAAATTTAGGGGATCCGTGTATTTTTAATTTTTGCCAAGTGGCCCCCTCTTTCCGAGTTACAGCCCCCTGAAGTCCGCCCCTAAATATAATTTTTTTTTATATCAGAACCCTGTTGTACGAGAATCACTAAATTTGGTACACAGAGGTTTTATGACGTGGAATCTGATGGTGCTACGTTTTTTGACAGGAAATCCCTTTAAGACAATTTTTCGAGGGCCCCCTTGTCTTTGGAGCCAAAAAAATTTAAATTTCTTAAAAATCACATTTCTGATTTTAGCATTTACAGGATAGGAACACCTAAAAATTAATGCACTTTTTGTACAGGAACATTCTGGACAGAAATGGATCAGCGATAGATGCGACAATAGCATCCATGTTTTGCAACGGGATCGTTACCATGCAAAGCATGGGCCTCGGAGGTGGATTTTTAATGACCATCTACATTAGGGAAGAGAAAAAGGCTTACTTTCTGAACGCCAGGGAAACGGCACCTCTAAACGCTAAAAGTGAGATGTATAAGAATGACGAGAAACTGTCTCGAAATGGTAAGTCGGGATTTAATTTTCAAAAATATCCTTTGTTTTATCTCGATTGTTTCCTAGGCCACCTATCCATAGCGGTACCTGGCGAACTCAAAGGATATTGGACGGCTTACAAACGCTTTGGCAAGCTACCGTGGAAAGAGCTGATCCAACCATCCATCGAACTTTGCGAAAAGGGATACAACATGACCAATCACCAGTACATGTCTCTGTTTAAGAATAAGCTTCACGATGACCCGAATTTCAAGTAAGTTACATGAAATTTCTTAGTTTGATTCTCAAATATTCGTAACTTAAAACAAAAAAATGTAACGAGTAGAAAAATGTTAACAAAATTTTAAAAATTTTTGTTTCAATCGCTTCTGATTTCAGAGAATGGTTTTATGATGAGAACAATAAATTTAAGAAAGCCGGTTCGAAGATAGTCCCGACTAAGCTGTGCCAAACGTTGAAACTAATAGCGGAGAATGGGGGTGACGATCTATACAACGGTACGCTTTCTAAAATGCTGCTGGAAGATCTTAATGAAGTTGGAAGCATAATCACGAAGAGAGATTTGGAGGAATACGAGTAAGTTTCTTTGTAATAGCATTTCTTACCTTATAACATAAAAGCTTAAACTAATTAAAAATATATATACAGTGTTCCCGTTTTTCAGGTTAACACCTTTGGAAATGTGAGAAGGCTGTGTACTTTCCAAGTCAATTTTTTTACAAATAGTACTGATGTGACAAAAGCCTGGACTACTTCTACTTTTTAAAGGGGTCGTTTTTTCAGAAAGTGGTATTAGACATTTTTTTGTCAACAAGATAATATTACCAGGCTACTCAACACACATTAAAATACCCATATACCAAATTTGAACGACAAATGTCTATTGAGTGTTTTTTCATGTGGTGCCAAACTTCGAAAAATTAGACGACTAAAAATTATAATAAGCAGGTCAAAGATTGCCATGAAAGTGAAAACAAAGACCAATCGAACAAAGAAAAAATACAGATACTTTGATTTTTCGAAGTTGGCACCACATTAAAAAAAAACAATAGACATTTGTCGTTCAGATTTGGTATATGGGTATTTTGATGGGTGTTGAATAGCCTGGTAATATTAGTTTTTTGATAAAAAAATGCCTAATACCACTTACTGGAAGAACGACCTTTTTAAAAAATCGTACTAGGCCAGGCTTTTGTTCCATCAACAAAATGATTAGTAGAATATAACCTCCCTTCAGGGGTACTATTTTTAAAAAAATTCGCTTGCGGAAAGTCCACAGCCTTCTCACATTTCCAAAGGTGTTAACCTGAAAAACGGGACACACTGTATATAAGTTTCATATGAGCGATCAAAATATAAAATCGAGTCACAAAGTAACTTAAATACAAACAATAACGGAGAAATAAAACAAATAAGCTAAATAACATTATACAAGAAAATTTGGATAATTTGCTAAATTAGATTTTAAAATTGCGACTAATTTTTAATGACGTGTCAATACTATTGATCTTGGTCTAAGCACTATTTTTTTATTTTTAGAGCTGAGTGGATGGAACCTATATCAGTGACGTTCAACAACGAAGACCAGTTATTCTCCGCACCACCGCCGGGTTCGGGGGCACTCTTGGGCTTCATCTTAAAAATCCTAGACGGCTACAATTTTAACAAATACAGCCTCGATGGTATAAACAACACGGTCCTGACGTATCACAGGATCATCGAATCCTTCAAATATGCTTACGCCAAACGGACGGAATTGGGAGATTTAAATTTTGTCAATATAACCGACGTGAGTACAAAAATCTCTTCCGTCATAGTCGTATCGTACCTCAAATTTGAAATCTAAAGCATCAATCTGTATTTTTAAGAGTAGAGCTATTTCAATAACTGGTGTTTCATTTCAGCTTTTATCGAATTTGACGTCTACGAAGTATACCGACAGTATTAGAATGAGAATAGACGATAACTCCACGAGTTCGGATCCTAAACATTACGGAGCTGTGTATTACTCGAACGAGGACCACGGTACAGCGCATTTCTCTATTATAGCACCCAACGGAGATGCTGTGTCCGTTACGAGTTCTATAAATATTTAGTAAGTGCGTTAACTTTAAGCAAAAATAATAGTTTACCGTTTTTGTCAGACTCTCAAAGTTACAATTTAAAAAAAGAATTTTTAAGAGGACTATAGCAAATAGGCAACCAGCAATATATTTTTATAGATTTTATTACACAGTTTGTCTGAATATGAATTAATGCACAAATAACAGACTCATCCATTCTAACGCAGATTTTCTATAAAATGGAGTTAGTTTGAGACTCAAATTACTTTTTGTTGTAAAGAATTTGTAATTTACGATCCCGTTTGTTCAAAAGCAGCAAATTTCAAACTAACTCCATTTTATAGAAAATCTGTGTTACAATGGGGGAAAGTCTGTTATTTGTGCATTAATTCATATTTAGACAAATTGTGTAATAAAATCTTTAAAAATGTATTACTGGCTGCCTACTTGCTATGGAGCCCTTTTAACTCCGTTCTTTTTTATATTGTACTACTTTTAATACATTTTTGGTGAAAAAAAATTAAAGTCCAAGCAAAGCAAATATATTTTCGTTTACGATATTGTTTATTTGAAATGATTAATAATAACTTAATGTATATATATCTCTAGCTTTGGTGCTGGTATGACGTCGAAACAAACGGGCATAATACTCAACAGCGTCATGGACGACTTTTCATTCCCGTATTTCAAAAATTATTTCGGCTTGCCGGGTTCGCCCAATAACCAGATGAAGGCGGGCAAGAGGCCCCTATCGTCTATGTCCCCGACCATCATTACGGATAAAAATGGAGAGGTTAAAATGGTCGTTGGGGCCTCGGGGGGCACGAAGATTACCACCACCGTGGCGCAGGTAAATTTTCTTTTCCGTTAACCATTGTTATAAATTATTTCGATTCTAAGGTTTTTATTCGTAAACAAAAATGCCTACATCGTATTTCTGATAACATTTAATGTGATGTATCGTAATATTTAACCAAAAAAAAATCAAGATATACAGGGTGTTTTTGAAGTAAGTGCGTGCTTTTATTAAGTAACTGATAGTCTAAATGCTTGTGTTTTTGAGAAAAGTAATTAAGAAAGTTAACCATAAATATAAGCTGACCCTGTGCATCTTGTGCACGTGTGTTGTGTGTTGCAGTATTATTTACAACGTATTTCATTTAATTTTTTGTGTTATTTTTAAACGACATTTGAATAAATTTCAGCATTTTCAAATACAAAATTTAAATCGTCAAAACCGCCATCAGCGCGGCTGTTACAGATGGCTGCCACGCCAAGGACGGCTTTAAATTTGTTTAAAGACATTTGTTTTCAAAGACATTTTTCTGCCGGAGTTTGTTATCCAGCGTGAGGATTCCCTCTAATATGCTGACTAGGATTAGTTCTATCGGCACAAGCAATATCCTTTATGTTACCATAAGAAAAGAAATACATTAGATTAAAATCTAGAAATCGTGGTGGCCATTGAACAAGTGCATTGTGGCCTCGCCTAATTCGCCCAAGTATTTGGGAATAATTGATGACATTTCTACCATAACGAGGTGGAGCACCATCTAGTTGTATCACATATTGTTACAGACTGCAACTTAAATCCTTAAATAATAAATAATTTCCAAATCGTTGGATTGGACAAGGACAAAATGCTCAGTGGCCGCCATGATCTCCAGATCTTAATCCAATTTCTTTTTCTGGAGTAAAATGAAGAAGTTTATGTCAAAGAAATTAGTAATACTGAAAAACAGCAACTTCAACAGAAAGGATGAGAGCATCTTTCAGATTTTCTCGAAACTTTAGATTTTCTCTAAAAAAAAGAGTTTAAATGTATTAAGACTTTTATTAATAACATATTTACACAACTTCGGTTGTAATAATTTGCTGACAATTAGTTTAACGATGTTATAGATGAAAAATAAGTGTATGATATTGTTCTTTATTTTACAAGTTTTCAACGTTCTTATTAAAAATCTTTTTTCAATTCGCAAATTTACAAACAAGAGAAAAAGACTTTCGAGAATTCTATTTTAACACTACAATACATATAGGTTTATTCGAACATCTTATTTTGGCCCTAGGTTACAGAATTGGCTTTTTTTTCTGATGTATAGTGATAGTCCAGTTTATTTTTTGTTGTTCTTATTTATTTCATACGATTCAACACTTTTTTGAGTATTGACAGAAGGTACAAATTACCGTTTAAAATAATCTTCAAAGAATAACTTATTGTTAGTCTCTCCAATTTTTTTTATTGAGACGAGATCGACTTAAGAAGAGAGCCTGTTTTTGTATTTTTAGCAGTTTGGTTTCTATTCGTCAAATGTGATTATTGAACTACATTTATAAGTTTTAAATCTGACGATCTAGCCGGCTAGAGCTAGATCGTCAGATTATGTCAATGCGTCTACCGAAAACAACAGTAAAACAAATAAAAGTAACTTAAAATTTTACCACCTTGTATCTCAAATGTGATGTTTTCGCAAATCTGTTTTGTTATGGACTTCTTTCTTATTTTTAGTCAGAGATCAGCTACGTTTGACTTTGTCACTGGAATATAGCGACATCCTGTAGAGTTTCAATGTTACATATCAGTCCGTTTTTTTTATAACGTGGATGGATATTAAATTAATTCTTCCTCTTAATGTGTTTAATACAGCAATTTATTATTTTTAGGTAATCATGAGAGCGTTGTGGTTTGGCGAAAACATCAAGGAGGCTGTAGATGCTCCCAGAATCCATCATCAACTCTATCCGATGAGGGTGGATTATGAATACGGTACATTACAGGTTAGTTATTTAATGGTAAAATTAAAGTCGAATTGATAAAATGGCAATAATTACACAGCCCTACGAAAAAAAATTAAATGTTTTTGGGGCCACTGAATCCAAATGCGCTGTTGGTTTGACGTTAGTTCTAGTTCAAGGTTATTTGAAGGTCAACTCTTGTTTTTTGATGGTAATACAGTTTTTGTCCTCCAAATTCTGAAAGAACGAGACAACATTTTATATTTGAGGATGTGGTTGCAATTTTTTAATTGTCAAGGACATTTAAAGGTCATATCCCCTCCTCGGACCTCTCAGGTGAACTCAGGATGTCAGGAAAATTACCTCTGTAACAGTAAACGTAAAATTTCCTACTTTTTTAGAATTCAGAGATACAAATTTGAATTAACATGAAAAAAAAAAACAAGAGCTGACCTTCAAATAACCTTGAACAAAAGCTATCTTCGTCAAATACACACTGGATTTGAATTTTTTTTCCCAGAGGGCTGTGTTATTCGTCTATTAGTCCTTTTTCAACTGTTTAAAGTGTCAATTGTATTTCTTTTCAGCAAGTCGTTGATGGGCTGCAAGCCCTCGGCCATAACCTGACCAGAGAGTCTGGATCGGTGATCTGCGCTCTCTTCAAGGAGGCCAACAGGATAATCGGAAACGCCGATTACAGAAAGGGCGGGGAAGTGTACGGTATTATGTGAAATCATCGCGCTGTGTTATCCGTAGGGTATTTATTTATTAAAAACGAAAACAAAAATTTTATATTCCTCGACACGATCAGTATTTTTTTTCCTGTTTTAAACATTTTAAATCATCAGGTAGCTTAATAAATTTGTTTTATTGTTTTTAAGTGTTGAAATAATTGCCATATTCTGCCAAACAATAAAATTTATCCAGCACTAATTGTTATTGCCATTTTTTGTACATATTCCTTAAGCGATTCGAGTTTATTTGAACCCAAATTGAAACGGCACAATTTGGGGAGTTAGAAGCTTTTGCAAAACTGAAATTACATTAATTTTTTTTTATACAGGGTGTCCCGAAATTAATGGGACATAGAACAGGGGTACCTAGATTCCTTAAATCAAAATTGTGTGATGTAGCTAATCTTACCTTAGTCCATTTGTGGTTACAGGGTGTTAAAGTTAAAATTTTGAATTCAAAAGTTTTCAAAAAATTAGAAAATTTGGATTTGGGGGTTTTCTGGCCCGCACGGAACCCAGATTTAAATCCATCGGATGTCTGTATCTGGGGTAATTTAAAATAATAAAAATCAATTTTAAATGTGTCTCATTAATTTCAGGACACCCTGTACAAGAAGAAGCGCAGCTCTTCGATGGTTGTCATTGTTGTTATAGTAGCTTTGAGGTAAAGTTAAAAGATTGAAATTTATTATAGCCATTTCTTTCTTCTATTCCGTAGTAATAAACAAAACCTCTTTAAGAATACTAGTGGGGGCTGGTGAATGTTGAAATGGTCACATTTTGTTTTAGGATGAAAAAATTTGAAATGAGATTTGTGAAATAAAAAATTAAAATATGGGTTACTGACCCCGTCTCAAAAATGGTTGCACATAAATTTACAAAATATTTTTTTGGTAATCGATTGATATATACAAACATAATTTTTTTCTTTTAAAAAATGTACAGGGTGGGCCATTAGTGTGAGAAAGTAAAATAACTCCCGTTACTCATAATACAGAAAAAAAGTTTATATGAACGTTGTACAGAATCAAAAAACCTAAACGACAAAATTAATTTGAAACACACAGGGCGATGAGTAAAACGGGACACGCCAATTATTACATTTTTTAAATGGAACACCCTGTATATTTTTAAACATGGATTTCTGAGAAAATTTAATATAAACAGTTTATCATTTTAGTGCGGGGTTGCCAAGTTTTGTAGAAAATTCTTCGAATTTTGGAAAAAACATGACTTCTAAGAACTTGTATTAACTTTCAACTACTAATGCTTGGAGCAGAAATATTTGACAGAGTTGCAGAGGCAAAGGCTCCCATATTAGCTAATATCAGTGTTTTATACAGGGCATTGTTTAAAATACGATTATTTTAAGAAAGTTCAAACTGGATTTTCTGAAATTTTTCAAATGGAACACCCTGTCTTTTATTTTTCTATTTTATTCACATATCGGTCCACTTCAACTTTTATTAAGCCTGTTCTATATCTAAATTCTTAGTTTTTAAGATATAGCAACATTTCTGAAAAAACTTAATTTTGCATGTTGCCGATATAATTCAATTTAGCATTTAAGAATTTTGTCTTATGTTTATTGCATGCCTAGATTTCTAGTATCGAAGAACATTGTTCAATTTCATTTGGTGGATTTTTTTAATTTTTTTGAATTTTATATAATTTAATACCTTTAATGAAGTAAAAATGAAATTACAGTATTACGAAATTTGAAAAATGAAGGGATCAATAAAAAATACAATTTGTTTGTATGCACCTACCAGTTCATTATGAAAAATATATCTTTCACATACAGCATGTCTTCTAAAAAACGCCGCAAGCCATAAACTCTCGTCATTTATAGTCGGATTTTAAAAAACAAAAAATTATATGAAATGGCTCTAAATACACTATAGTGAGCCCATTAGAGCTCATTTACTATATATTTTTTTTTTTTTGAAAAGGGATTGGGGCGTATTTATTATTTTTTTTTCAAGTCAACTTTCTTTCAACTGTTTTTTTTTTAATTTATTACTGTGCAGAATTCTATTCTGAATTCAACGATGTATGTAAAGTCTACTTTTGTGAAACATGTATTAGAGAAAACGCATGATAATATTAGTCAATACCGCATTATCAGCGTCCGGTCGCTTAATTGTCAACAAACATATTTTGTCTAATCATGTATGCCTGGAAAACAAAAAATAATACAACAAAGCAAGTAAATGTCATTTTAGCGTTCGTGTCCCAGTTTTTTATGCATTATACTCTTTCTGTATCATTTACGGTAGGTTATTTATTGAAATAAGCTCGATAGTGCAAAATATGAGAAATAATTAATGACATGATTCAGGTATACTTTCGGTGTAATAAAAATCGTGGTGTAGGAGTCCACCTTTACAGAGAACTATTTCTTCACAGAGAAGTTCCACAACCACGTAGATTTGTAAGACGAAGAAAATTTGAGAAACTATGGTGCTTTTAAGAAACGAAGGCGAGAACACCAATTTAATGAAAACATCGAGTTCGGTGTTTTTCTTAACGTTGAAGAAAACCCAAGAACTTCCATTTGGGAAATTTCTAATAATAATAGAGCATCAAAGAGAACTGTACATGCAGTATTGAAAAAGCACAAATTCAATTTACAATTTGTTTCTTTAGTTGTTTTGTGTTTGTTGTTTTTCATTTAATGTGTTTTATTAATGTTATTTCGTGTTGAACTTTGTATAATGGTTAATGTATTTAATTAAATTATTTTTCTTTTAATTGATATTCACTGTACCGTTTCTTTTCTGTTAATTACAAAATTCTCTTTCGAGTTTTATTTGCTTTGCTGTATTATTTTTTGTTTTCCATGGCATAGATTATTAGTTAAAATACATTTGTCATGAATTAGTACCCGGGCGCCAAATGCGGTATCGACTAATATTTTGTCGTCTTTTCTGTAATGAATGCTTTACAAAAGTAAAGTTCATATACATCATTGGATTCATAGGATAATTCTGCACAATAATAAATAACAAAAAACTATATTGCCATTTGGAAAAAAAAGTTGACCTTTTCAAAAAAAAAAAAAAAAATAGTAAATGAGCTCTAATAGGCTCGCTTTATAATGTATTTGGAGCCATTTCATATAATTATATGTGGAAACATTTCAAGGTCATAACGCCTATTTTAATTTTTTATTTCAAGAGCTTCATTTCAAACTTTTTCTGGAGGAAAGTTCTTCATCTTGACCTTTAAAAACTTTGCCATAAATTATCAAAATTGACAACTTTAAACGTTCACAAGCAACGAGGCATTGGCAAAAATAGAATATAAATAAGCCTTATATCACCTCTTTCTTTCAAGCACAGTGTATCTAAATCTAAGTATTCTTCTAATGTTAACTAATATCTTCTAAATAGTATTTAACACTGTTTATTGTTAATACAAATTTCTATGGTTATTTCTGTATATAGATTGCAAAAGAAGTTAACATTATTTTGTTGTTGCCAGTTACTCTATTAAATATTTTTGCTAAAAAAGTTTGCTAATTTTAACCCGTTTTTCTCTAAAATTAAAGATCTCTTCCAACATTCTAATGAAATTCTTTTATCATTTACGATTTTTAGTAATTTGAAGAAATAAAATGACATTTTTCAATTTAAATTATATTTATTTATTAACAAAAATATTACAATAAATTTTATTTATCGATTAACAAAAATATTACAACAAATTACAATAAAAAAAAATTATATCTATCTATTCGACTTTTCCATTGTACCAATTGCAATACACATAAATGGAATCATTTCCTATTAAAATACATCTCTATTAAAAAATACTGCTTCTCTTTCATATCACATCCAAACAAACAGTCTTTTAAACAGTTTAGTCTACTTCTTCTATCGTTGGCCCACTATGACCACCTGTAAATCCTCCCGCTTGCTGGCCGCAACTTCCACCAGGCATTCCACTAGCGGTACCACTTCCAAATTGACCGTTCTGAGGCCCGTTCTGGTACAACTTGGCCATAATAGGACTGCAGACACTCGTCAAGTGCTTCCGCTTCTCTTCGTACTCTTCCTTCTCGGCCAACGAGTTGCCGTCCAGCCATCTCAGGCAGTCGTCACATTCACTCTCGATTTTAGCTTTGTCTTCCGCACTAAGCTTGTCGGCACAGTCAGAAATAGCTTGCTTCACTTGGAAGATATAGCCCTCCAGCTGATTACGGGCCGAGATTCTTTCCCTTTGTCGTTCGTCTTCCTCCTTGTACCTCTCCGCCTCGAACACCATTCTGTCTATATCCTGCTGTGATAATCTGCCTTTATTGTTCTTGATGGTGATGTTAGTACTCTTTCCGGAGCCGGTGTCTTTAGCAGATACGTTGAGAATTCCGTTAGCGTCTAGATCGAAGGTCACTTCTATCTTGGGAACCCCTCTAGGAGCCAAGGGTATTCCGGTGAGATCGAACGTTCCAAGCAAGTTATTATCTTTCGTCATAGCCCTCTCACCCTCGAATACCTGCACGGTAACCGCCGGTTGGTTGTCGGCGTACGTCGTGAAGACTTGAGTTTGCTTGCAGGGAATCCTCGCGTTACGTTCAATGATCTTCGTCATGACGCCACCTGCGGTTTCAATACCCAAAGACAAGGGAGTTACGTCAACCAGTAAGACGTCTTGGATTTTAGAATCAGTTTCTCCGGTAAGTACGGCGGCTTGGACTGCGGCACCATAGGCTACAGCTTCGTCCGGGTTGATGGACAAGTTCAACGGTTTTCCGTTAAAGTAATGCTGGAGGAGTTGTTGGATCTTCGGGATTCTAGTGGAGCCGCCCACAAGCACCACGTCGTGTATTTGGCCTTTGTCCATCTTGGCGTCCATCAGAGCTTTTTCTACGGGTTGTAGAGTTCCTCTGAATAGATCAGAGCACAATTCTTCGAACCTCGCTCTGCTAACTTTGGTGTAGAAATCGATACCCTCGTATAAAGCATCTATCTCGATGCTGGCTTCGGTGCTCGAGGAGAGCGTTCTCTTAGCCCTCTCAGCGGCAGTTCTCAGTCGTCTTAGAGCCCTGGGGTTGCTTCGGAGGTCTTTCTTGTATTTACGCTTGAATTCATCAGCAAGGTGATTAACTAACCGATTGTCAAAGTCCTCTCCCCCGAGATGTGTGTCGCCTGCTGTCGATCTTACTTCAAACAAAGACCCTTCGTCTATCGTAAGTATAGACACATCGAATGTACCACCACCCAAGTCGAAGATAAGCACATTCCTCTCGCCCTTCAAGTTTTTGTCCAAACCGTAAGCCAGAGCTGCCGCTGTTGGTTCATTGATTATTCTAAGAACGTTTAGACCTGCTATCACACCTGCATCTTTTGTAGCTTGTCTCTGGGAATCATTGAAGTACGCAGGGACCGTAACGACTGCATCTTTCACAGGAGACCCCAAATAAGCCTCGGCGGTTTCTTTCATCTTCGTCAACACCATGGAACTGACCTCTTCAGGGGCGAAGGTCTTCTTTTCACCCTTGTACATTACTTGTATCTTGGGCTTCCCGCAGTCGTCCACAACTTTAAAAGGCCAATGTTTGAGGTCCTGCTGGATCTTCGAGTCGTCATACTTGCGGCCGATCAATCTCTTAGCGTCGAAGACGGTGTTACTGGGGTTCATGGCGACCTGGTTCTTGGCGGCGTCTCCCAAGAGACGCTCGGTGTCCGTAAATGCAACATAACTCGGCGTCGTCCTGTTGCCTTGATCGTTGGCGATGATTTCCACTTTTCCATGCTGCCACACGCCTACACAGGAGTAGGTTGTTCCCAAGTCGATACCAACTGCAACCATTTTCACTTTATTTTGTTCACAATAACTTGATTTCACTCGTAGGATAATTCTTTTTAAGAACGCTTTTGAAGTTCGCTCGCTTTAATTGCTTGCTACTCGTTTGCTTTATTCAAATTCACTGGCGTTCGCGCTCCGATCCGCACCTTATATATGAATCGGTTTTCTATCCCGATAACGCTCGAAAGTTCTCGAATAGTCCGGCGCGCCGAGCGAAGCTTTCAGAACCAACGAGAAATGGACTGAAAGTTCGATAGGAAAGGTGCACAGGGTGGGAGTCAGGTTTTGTTTGTGAAGGTGGAGATTAATAAACTGTTAATAATTTTTAATTCAGCGTGGCAAATTTTTTATATTGTTGTATAACGGATGAAAGTATTTTTCACAGGAATTTAATGTTTAGTGATTTATTGTTATTGTATTTATTTTATTATAAGAAGAGTATCCAACGTATACATACCGCATGACCCATTCAAATGGAAACACTTGTAAATGGGTGTTTGTATTGTTTGTTTTATTTCGGATCTTTTTTTAAAAAGCTATTACGTCACATTTTAATTTACTGTGGGTTATCAAGTTATCAACTTAATATACATATTTTTTCGTTGTTAAATTTGATAAAAATTTAATTCTACATCCCCTCAATTGGATTAGTACCAAATTTGGTGAAAAAATATCAGTGCTAATTGTAAATTTAATGTTAATGTTTTTTATAGCATTTATGTTCTTCCTAAAATAATGTAAATAATGTAAGAATCATAAACGCCGGAAATGTTGATTAATTTGCTTTTTTCCTTTCGTATTACACAATAATTTTTAATTTTAATTACTCCCAACTAGGATATGGTATAAAATGAATATAGAAAAATCTGTAACCGGTAATTTTATTCAAATTTAACAATCGAAAATAATAATAAGGTAGACAACTGAAAGTAAATTTAAATGTCATGTGACTTAATATGGTGTAGTAATTAAATTCTAATTCAAATTTCGCGCTAATTATGCCGGAAACAGAAGAAGAAGAAGAAGAAAGAAGTTACAAAGTTAAGTCAGTAGGGGATTAGTAACAGAGACAATTCTTTCTGTTGTCTCTGATTAGTAATTATAGAGGACGAAGTACGAAATCCCGAATGTCATTTAGTTTTATGAGAAAATAAAGTGCAAATATTACGTTATTATTATTAAATCACCCCAACGACATTGGTAAAGTTTTCAAAACATAAACACACACTGCGAATAATATTTTATAGTGATGTAGATTTCAAGTGGGCAAAAATTAGTTGTTATAACAATTTCCAACGGATACCTATAAGAATTTATTTACAAATTTTTATTATCATTTTTTTAGTTCGCAGTACGGTAAAACAATCAAAAGTATTTAAAAAATGTCACAATAAGTAGATTCTGATATATTAATCAACAATAATTTAGAAATTAACTTTGTTTCCCAGTACGACCCTGTGCTGCGAGTTTCTCGAACGTCCTCTATCTTTCCCGACGTGTTCCATACCTATCTATTATTTATCTATTCTGTTTTCTGTTTGAAACTCAGCCAAAAATGATATGACGAAAATATACCTACTGAACGTAGATAAATCCAATTTCTTTTAAATATGTACAAGACAATAGATTTAAAAACGATTAGGTAAATAAAATAGTAACGATTTACAGAAGATTTGCACATAATTCAAGTGCCTGATTCTTTTTTCTAACATATAATTTTAGTACATACAAAAGTTCAATGGATTTGAAATTTCTGAACTAATTCTGAGTTTACATACATATTATATTCATTGACCCATTAATATTTTATTTTTTACGATTGTTTTTGTCATCAATAAGTTTCCTGACTTTTTTTTAATATAGAATCTAATATTTAGGTATGTAGGTAACATGAACTTATTCTACAACCCTCAAAAAAATACTCCTTGCCAATTTTGATAAGAATTTAATCATTTATATGATTATACATGCCTATATAAAATTTAAAAAATGTAATATATTGTATTGTATATGTATATTTTCACTTACATAATATGTATTTCTATTTTTTGTTTTTTTCCAAACAAAAAATTTTTTTGGACTACCTCTGTATCTCAAGAACCAAGCCTTTACGGACCCATGTTCATAATATGAACTTTTTATCTTAAAATTAGTCAAAGATCCCCCCTTTAAAGTTTGTACAAGTACTTAATAATGACCCTGACATATATTATAAAACTTGCAATATTGGAACGTTATAATGTATAAACATTTCTTATTGAAGAAATTTTGAGTTACTATTCCTTAATTTAATAATTTGTTCATGCATGAATTCATTAGATATTTTCCGCCTACCGTAAATATCACAGCTGTTTACTCTTTTATAAAATGTTATAGATATGTAAATAAAAATTGACAGTTAATTAGGTCGTTAGGTGCCTGTATCATAATTTTAGGTCAAGTTTTGAAGCAAGTTTCAAAGGTTTACATTTATGCAACCAGATATACACGCCTAGTTAGATCTTTTTGTGAATTTTTCAAATTTCAGTTCAAAATGTTTTATTCTGGATTACTGTATTGCATAACTAACATATTTAATTAATTTTGTATTCTTATGAAAAACTTATAAGTGTACTTTTTTAATGAATTTCAGTAAATTTAATTTGACTTTAAATTTCCCGCTCGCAGAAAATCTATTACCATATTTACGCAGAAGCTGCAGAATGCCTAACTTCACGTTTGTTTTGAGTTCTCAGCTGTACGACATATGGTATTATGCAATCAAAAATAATGAAAATAACAAGGCAATTTATCAGGAATCATGTATGGAAATGATGTAAGTACTACCTTTCTTGAATTAATATAATGTTGATGTAAAATATAAAACGATTAGAAGAAAAAACTTTTGTTTCGCTGAAAAACATTTGGCACAGTTAGGAGGCGTCCTTTTCTTTATTTACCATAGGGAGAATACGGCCCAGATTACACTGCTAATGAATTCTTTCGAAAAAAGCTATTAGAATATCTTTATTACAATGTTCGATACAATTTATTCGCATTTATTTAACTGTTTGTGCTAAAATACCTCTAATATTTTATTAAAAATGTTTTCTTCTATAAATAACGTGAACTTAGGTACAGAGATTTACCGAGGTGGGTCAATGTTCTGCGCGGCAAATATTTTTCTGTGGCGGGATAAATGAAATACTCAGATTCTGCATGGCGGGATATGCAGGGTACTAGGGTTCTTTTGCTTGGTTATGTGCAAGTTACACGTAGAAAATATTGGTGGTTTAATAGTTTTCCTGTAAAGTGAACCTTAGACATACTATAATTATTAATCAAGTTAAAGGGAATACAGTTTAAATATAAAATAAACGCGGTTAAAGTTTTAGTTAACCAAAAATTTTAAAGGGTGGAGTTGGACCTTTAATTTTTAACAAAAAATAAATGGTGAGTGAATAAATTGAAGGCGAATCTGAATATTCAACATCAGGTTATTAATATTTAAAGATTTAAAAGTCATTGCTTGAATATTTGATGTAGATATAAATTATTAAAAAATGTGGTTTGATAGGAGTAGTGTGTATGCAGGGGGTCACTTTATTTGTGATGATTGCAAAAATGCCGGGTGTATCATTTATTTTAAGATGGAAATGCTTTGCTTACACTTATAAGTTTTTAATTACTTTCGTTCTGTTGTTACATTTTCATTAAAAACCTTTATCTAAAATGGAACCCGAAGTGATGTGTTGAACGGAATAGATTTCTGTAAATATTAATTAATAAAAATATAAAAAGCATGTGAATGACTTTTAAAGTAACGAAACCAAACGTTTATTAATGTTCTTAAATACTTCATTCATTGCCTTTGAGAAAATTGTGTGAAAATACTTTTTTCATACATCCAAAACAACAGTTTTTTTTTTTAATATTTGGTAGTTTCTAAATTGTAGGTTTAATAAAAAAAACATTGTTAATCCTAATACACATATGGAAATATTTATAAAGTTTATTTTTCAGCATATATTTCCCACGTGTCGGGAATAACAAACAAAAGACTGAAAAGTTACTTGAAACTCTTACTAGTCCTATTTAAAGTTTACAAATTGAAAATGAGCGGCAACAAGTCTGACGAAGATGGATCACTTCATGCTATGGAAAACTTCAAGGACTACGATCCTGAAAAGTTGTCCTGCGTTGGCCAATATACAGAAGGCGAATATGCAGAGACCAGCAAGCTTCCGTTTCAAGACCTCCTCAGAATCCATCACAAACAGACGGTGTGGGGATTTAAATTTGGCAGGGAGTTGCGGGAGAGCACTTTAGCCAGAGATAAGAATATCCAGGGAAAGAGCAGCGAACCCACCACCGATATAGACAATACCATTGACAGTGACGAAGCGGGTAGCTCGAAATCCTTTACGGAGAAAGACCACAAAACGCCTCATTCGAGGAAACGATCGGGGGCCACTCGGAGCAGCAAACGCAAGAACATCCACAGAAATGACTTTGTCTCGCCGCAGAAAACCAGAACGGCGCCTTTACCTCTAATGGATTGGGCGGATTCCAAAGAGGTCTGGCTGTTCATGGTCTACAAAGAAGAGGCATCTCTGAATCTAAGAAACCCCAGGCTGTTTGAGGATTTCACCAGTTTCGTGCCCAGAATGAGGGCCATCCTATTGGACTGGGTTATGGAGGTGTGTGAAGTGTACCACTTGAGGCGGGTCACTTACTATTTAAGCGTGGATTACTTTGACAGATTCCTCTCGATTCGACCGGACGTACCCAAAAACCAACTCCAACTAGTAGGCGTAACGTGCTTATTCCTCGCTTCCAAGCTGGAAGAAGTATACCCCCCACGGTTAACGGAATTTTCATATGTCTGCGATGGAGCCTGCAGCCCCGAAGAGATCCTAGCTTGCGAACTGTTGATCCTGAACAGCTTAGGATGGGACCTGAACATCATGACCCCCAGCGACTGGCTGAACTTGTACATGCAGATTCACTTCCAAGCGCCGAAAGTAACGAAACAGAAGCTACATATCGACATGAACAGAGGGTTTTTCTTCCCCCAGTATTCGGGATATCAATTCATCAGGGCTTCCCAACTTGTAGACATGCTCAGCTTAGACCCCGGTTTTCTCAAGTTCAGTTACAGCACCATAGCGGCCGCCGCCATGTATTTTATGTATGGCAAGAAAGCCGCACTTTCCGCTTCCGGTTTGACCTGGTCCCAGCTCCAGCCTTGCGCCGAGTACATGGCGGTGTTTTACCACGTCATAAGGGACAGTCCGGATCCCCGGTTGTTGTCCTGCAAGGGCGACGCTTCCGTGGACGAGCAGTCGTGTACGTCGCTGGCCAGCGTCCGGCACAAGGTAAAGGATTTGGTGAAGGATGAGAATCATTCGTTGCAGACTCACGTTGTCAACATGGAATACTTTGAAAAATCCGCAATAATCAGGTTAGTTAATTGTACAAGGTGTCTTGTAAGAGTATTTAGGGAATATAGGACTTGCTGAATAATAATGTTCCGTCACTTCTGCCACACGTGTGTCTGTCGTCTGGACTAGTCCTTGGGGTTAGAATAAAGGGTAGAAATATTATTCTTTAGGAAATATGCAAGCCTGTTTGCAAAAAATACGAGGTAGCAAAAATACACATTTCTAAGATATTGTACCTCAAATTTTAAGAAAAAAATTAAATTTTTTAAATTTTTCATTTCAATTATACTGGTACACAAAATAAAAAAAGTTGTTTGTACCTTTGATTAGACCCAATAGGTTTTATGTATTTTGACATGCTAAATCTGAATCTGAAGTTTGTTTAGTTCAAACACCCCCAAAATTTTGAAGTAATTGGAAAAAAATAGTGAAAAATTGCGGAAAATTTGTTCTGAACTTGATCAAATGGGTTTCTTATGTATTTCAATATGCTGAATCCCCCCAAATTTTGCAAAAATCACAAAATAATAGCGAAAATCCACCAAAAATAGCAAAAAATCGCTAAAAAACGTGAGCGTAAAAAAAATTCGAAAAGTTGATCAAGCGTGTTTCTTATGTATTTTGATATGCTGAATTCGAGCCTGAAGTCTTAGTGTACCCCAAACAAATTTTGCAAAAAAAACTGCAAAAAAAAAGAGAAAATTTAGAAAGAGGTTTTCTAGATTGGAAAAATGGAAATCGTTAATCCCAAAAAATCTTGAATAAATTTTCATTAATGATTTTTTTGTAATTTTCAGATATTTTTTGCGTTTTTTTTTTTTGCAAAATCTGCGGGTATGCAGCTAATAGACTTCACTCTCGAACTCAGCATATCAGAATACATAAGATCAAGGTCAGAAATAAATATTTTCAAATTTGTTTGCACTCACTAACATGATTTTTGGCAGTTTTTCGCTATTTTTGGTGAGTTTTCGTTACTGTTTTGCGATTTTTGTAAAGCCTGGAGGGGGGATGTAGCTTAAAACACTTCAGATTTGCATTCAACACATCAAAATACATAAGGATCCCACGTGATCAAATTCAGAACAAATTTTTTCAAATTTTTTTGGCTCACTAACTTGATTTTCGTCGATTTTTCTATATTTTTTGTCAATTACTCAAAATTTTGGGGGTACTTGAGCTAAATAGATCAAAGGACACTGCATTTCCTTTTTTTTTATATACAGAAACTATAATTTTACTTTGATTTATGCTTCAAAGTATAAGGCTAATAATAAAAAATGTACAATTTTAAGTAAACTACAATGTTTCGTATGAATTTTTATTGATAGGTAAAAGAAATAACTGATTCAAAACAAGGTTAATAATTAAAAATAATGACAAATCCACCAAATTAAATATAAAAACGAATAAAAAAAAACAAAAATTAAAATATTGGCCCCCTTAGTTGTTAAAACTGCTTTTTTCTCGAAGAAACTACACTTTTACTTGAAAATTATTGTTTTTAATAATTAATTTTGCATTATTAGTTTAATTTGTTTTAATTATATCAAGTTAATTGAAATAGATTAAAAAAAATTGTAAAATTTTTCCAAAATATCATCAAATAAAGTCAAATATATCTCATTTAGATTTAGTGATTTTTTACATTAACATATTAGTTAATGTTATTTTGAAAATCTGAAGTTCGTAAAACAAAAGGAAAGTATTATGCAATTTACTCTGAAATTTAAAAAAATAAAATTTTAAAAGAGCAAATTCAATTTTATTCCAAATTGTCTGTGTTAAGTGTACAAAGTACAAAGTGTAAAAAACAATCATAGGTGTAGAAGCTACTTTACTTCTACTTTATCTTAATCTTTGATACTTAATACTAGGTCTTCAGTACAAGCAAAATGGCAAAGAGTGACCTGCTAATCTAATTGGAGGATTAGTTTTCAAAGTAGGTCTTTGCATCCAAAAAAATTTACTTTTTTTCAAAAAATTTCAAAGGTCTTGGAAATCAGGTTTTACCTAACCCAGATTTAGAAAAACTTTTTTCGCTGGCGAAGATCGTTCCCTTAAAATTTGCCTCGCTTGCCCTTTTTTTTCAAAGTTTTTGCCTTAAGTCAAATAATTTTTAGGTTGGAACAAATGGGGCTGAAAGTGGAGAAAACCTATGTGAAGAAGAAAAAGGGCGACAAAAAGAGTCCCAGCAAGAAGGAGGAGGACCTGACCGACAACAAAGACGAACCGGAAAACGAAGAGAACTTCAGTCTGGTCTGCATGTACGACGTGGAGAAGCTTTCCTGCGACGCTGTCGCCTTGAGTGGGGAGGACATCGACATAAGTCCCATCTCTACCTCGGATGCGGACCTGATAATACCGGAAGACAGTAAAGCGACTTTAAGTTTCGACGACATTCTGAACGGTATAGTCAAATGTAATAAGAAAAATATACCTGTACAGTTACAGACGCCGAAGGACCTACTGACAGAGCAAGTCGATAGTAGACTCGATTAGTTGGTTTTTTATTTAATTTTAGATGTACATATGAATGATTCGGTGAACTAGAGATGACGCTTTATTAACTTGTAGGAAATCCTTGTGCCTGTGGCCAAAATTTAGTTTAATCTTCGGTTGGTTTGGTGGTGTATCTATTGCAAATGAATATCAGAAACGGGATCAGTATAAGAAATTAACTTTTTTAGGTTCGTTGAAATTTTAAGTTGTTTTAAAGTGTTCTTTTAATAATTTTTTAGATAGACGATAAAGATTTATCGAATATGTATGGTAATATTTATTTTTTTTTCCAGGTACTATAGTTTTCATAAACAATTTTAAGAACTTCCATTAGTGTGCTAAAGATGTCTTACGTTTTCGTACATTTTTCTAGTCTGCCACTATTTTATCATTCGACTATCGACTGTCGTCTTTTTCCAGTAAACTAGAACAAACCTTCAGACTAACGTAATGAAATTCCGCAGATTATTACTTGTGATCGAATTTTATTTATAGAATATAATATATATTTACCTAGAAATAGTATCATCTCATTTACATAATATTATTTATAAAAATTTTTATCGTACGCTTCCATTTTTTTTTCACCAAAACCGGACAGTCTGTGTCTGTTATTTATTTCCGATATTTTGTTTCAAGAATACTCCGCAAAGCTCGAAAAAAATCAGGTTTGCGTATAAAAAAATTAGCTATTAACACCTATACGTTCATTTTTAATACTGCCACTAAGTGCCTTAAGACTTACAAATCTGAACATCCTGTGTATAAAAAAATTCGAAACTACACAACATTGTCTTTCCTTTTGAATTTTGCGTATAATTAATTTTTTGCAAATATTTTAAAGTTAAAAGTAGTGTAACGGTACAATCTTTATTCGGTGACATGTATATGCATGTATACAGGGTGTTGGGTAAACGCTAGTGTGATTATTTCAGTTAATGTTAATAAATTTGGTGTTAATATATTATTAGAAGTAGAAATCTTTTAGACTTCTTTAATGTTAATGTCTGGTTAACTTTACCGATTTAGAAAAAAAAAAAAAAAAATCACAAGCAGTTAAATAAAATCAATTTTTTATATAAGCGATTTAAGAATGATTTTTAGGGAATGTTAATTTTCCGTAATCGATTTAAGAAGTGTATAATGCACAGTGAATTATATATTTTTTATATAACTTTGTATTTACGTCGAAACATCAGAAATTAAAATATTTAATCGTTAAATAGTTGGAAGTTGTTTAAGGTGGATTTGGGAGGTTATAAATTCTCCCGGACAACTTCAGTAAAATCGGAACATTGTCCAATTAATGAATATATGAAATTTTTGAAATCATGTGATTATGCAATACATTCGTTGCAGTCAAAGACTTTCTCATAGTTTTAAGTACTATTATTTTTCGCATCCTTGTAAATAAAATTGTATTTAAAAAAAAAGAAGAAAAAATGTGATCTCCATATGAGTAATATTCTAATATAATAATGTAAGCTCTTGTTTCAGAGAGTGATTTCTTATACATGTTTTGTAGTTGAATTTTTATTGTAATGTAGAATACGTCTATTTTAATAAAGTTGAGAAATAACTTGTTTTATTTTTTTTAAGTTTTAACTTAAAATTGCCACGCAGAAAATTATACATCATCTATTTTCATTCCAATAGTCCCAACACTGTGATATTTTTTAAAAGTAATAAGTAGGGTTGCCAGAACTGAGCCGTGGCACATAGACGTACGCATTATTTATTAAAAAGCAACAATTTAAATTGTCTACAACGGATAGAAATTAATTACGCAACATCCGCACGATAACAAAGGCAACAGTATACTAACGTGACGTGAACGTAAAAAGCATTCTGAGGTAACGGCTCGATTTACCCTCTTGGCACGCCATTGAATTGCGGCTCTCTCTGACGGACATAATAAGTAATACCTGTAATTTTTGATATGGACCATTGCAACATTGGTTTTATAAACTACGATCGCCCTGTAGAAGCGCTTTTTACGCGAAGGAAAAACTACCATTGGTTTTATTATGAGCTATGCTATCAGATAAGTCGGAGCATTTCTTAAATACCCTGTATTTAAACAATGGTCCAAGTTTTGACATTTGCAGGCCGTCAGGCTCCCGAGGACATTGTGATCGACGCTACACTAGGATTACCAGATGGATTTCATGACAGACCCGGAGACATTAAATTTTAATATGTATACAGGGTGTCGCGCTTAAATGTGATACACGCCTTTACATTCTTTATTTTTTAGCCGATTTAAAAAAATTATGGTAAAAAGAACTATGATCCTGCTGTTTTTCTTAATGCAATACACGGCCAACTAGAACGACGCGTTTTTTTGACGTCATCCGAGTTCACCAATCACCATCACCAAGTTTCGTCAAATTCGATACATCTTCAGACGAGCACCCCATGATGTCCTAGTTGGCCGTGACTTAATCAATGCCACCTGATTCATCAGCTTCAATTCGTTTTTTTTTGTTTTTTGTACGATTATTTCTCATTGAGATGTAGCCTATTGAGTGAAAAGTCACCTTTTTTTTTGATCATCGATATCTCATGAACTCATACAGCGAACGGAAGGTCGACTTTAGAAACCTGAATCAATCTTCTTCAAGAGCCTTTTGCTATGTTTGAGAAAAATTTTTTTTATACTTCGCATTAATTTGAAAAAGTGCAAAAAATGACTTCTGCTGATGTTTTGGAAAATCGACGATTTTGCGAGAAGTACCAATATTTGTAGTTTTTTTTTAGCTCAATACATGTTTTTAAGGTTTATAAATTTTTAATCGATTGGCCGAACCGTTTTCCTTTCCTGAACCGTAAAAATTTTATAAAAAATTAAAAGAGCAAGTTTATTGCTCCTGAAACATCAATTAATGATGAAGATGAAACAAATATTTTTCTCATAATTAAAAGTCCGATATTTCGATGAGAAATGGTCGTATCGAAATTTAAAAAAAGGAAATTGAAGCTGAATAAACAAACTATCTGGTCCGTGCAATGGCTTAGCTGAAAAAAATTTTTCCAAGTCCGTCGATTCAGAAAAAAAAAATTGCAAAATTGTATACAGTATCTAGTAAGTCGAGCTGTTAAACCCAGATTCATTGGACGAAAATAATAATTTTATCCTGCCCTTTTTCATTTAGGAACCCCTTTTTTAAATACACTGTGTTAAAATTGTAATTAAAAATTTTAATTAAAATTTTATTAATAATCTTGCCGTTTTTTAAGATCATCAGTTGAAGTTTTGCATAAACTTTTATCGATTGACGGCACATTTGTGTTAATAGTGTTAAAAAAATTGAAGCACGAACGTAAGAAAGGAAAATTGTAGAATCCATTATTTCACGTGCAACATTTTTGCGTATGCCAGTGGTTCAACTGTATTGTTTTTTGAACAAGCTCGTATTTTTTTCATCCCTGCAAAATTTTGACCAAGAAGAACTACCAAATAATCACTACTCTCTAGGATCAAGGATCATAGTAAATCGGATGCGACAAATACGAATGTGGCCTTAGAATAAACGATTCGACCCCACGAGAAAAATTTTTTGAAAAAGTCAAATATTTTCGTGCCCTAATCAAGGATTTTATTTGTACCGCTCCGATGGTATAGCATTAATACTGGACGAAGTTCCCATCAGAAACACAGCAATCGCGTGATTACTGTCAATATCGTTAGAGAGAAACCGCGACGAAGAAGAGTCGTGCAAATCCATGCCCACATAACGATTGTCTTCCTCGGACCATCCACCTCACGACTAAAAATGAACGATATAGGTATTTTCCGCATTGCGCTATTGTTTCGAGCGAGAAGATGGATATACGCCGTCGTCAATGAAGTTGTAACTGAACACTTCATATGTACGTCTAAAAAAATCAATTTCATGAAGCATTCATTACCGAAAGTGTTAACTTTAGTTAATATAACCATCACCATCGGATGCAATCCGCAATTATGGTCGAGCGGATAATAACTTCATCTTCCACGCATCGTAAACGATCAAATCGTGCTCGAGAGGTGTACTAAACATCTAAAATATTTCATTATTTGTCATAAACATCTTCAGCTAGATCCTCTCGAATGATGGAAAGACTATTTTACTGGATATATCATTGCGTAATGTTCATAAAAATACAATTTTTGCCAACAACGACCAACTGTATTCGAAAATGCCACTGAATTTTAGTTGACAAATAGAAAAATACAAATAAAAACGCAAATATTTTTTAATTTAATGCAATTATGAGAACTTGATGATTTATTCTTCATCTACGAGACTTTTTTAAGAAATACAAAGAAAAAGCACATTACGTTAAACAATTCCCTCGTGTACTTTAGTTCAATTGTTCAATATCCGCGATTCTCACGGTGGATTTGAATACATTTCTGCTTTACGAGATATGTAAAAGGAAACGAATAATCACGGTAATTCTACGGTAAATAATCCCAATTTGCAAGAATAGATATCATTTCCATTCTCAGCATGGGGATCGATGGGGATTATCGACGGTTATGCTACTACCTGACCTCTAGGAAGCCACTTAAACGAGCTATCATTTTTTTATATGTATGTACAGGGCGACTCAGGATCGATGGTAGGCCGCCATTACAGGAAAACGGAAAGAGCAAAGGGGGATCTTTACGACATGATGAAATACGTATTTCACTTAGAATCCCGTCTAGGTTTTATAGGTTTTTTGCACCGAATTTGAAACGTTCAATGCCAAATACGCTGGTCTAATTATCTTTTATATATTTCATAGAGGGCGGCGCTAGTTATGTTACATTCGTATTACATTTTAAGTTCTAATTTTTTTGAGGTTAGGTTTTTTACCATTCGGGCTCCAATTTCTGATGTACAATTTTATTTTCTAAAAATAATGCACTCTTGTTAGAACTTCTTAATGAGGACGGGTTTCGAGAAAAAAGGCTTTTAATTGAACTCTTACAATATTACAGTGTATAAAATAAGTGACTTTTCTCAAAGTAGGCTTATGTCAAAACGCATTTATTCTTAGTAATATTTTAAACTCTAATTAACTTTATATCAAAATTTTTGAGAAAAGTCACATATTTTATACACCTTGTCCACCTAATGCGTGTAAGTTCAATATCTAGGTTAGTAAAAGATATAACTTAATTTCTTTTTCTTGTTGTTGCCTACTTTTCCGAGCTGCATAAAATGAAAATATATTTGCATATACAGGGTGTTCAGTTTTTCCTGGGCAGGTACCAACTTATTTTTTTTTAATGGAAACTTACGTGAAAAATTAACGGGACTTTGTGTTCTGATCCCTATTAAAATATTGAGTTAATTCGAGATAATCGACTTTTCATTTTTTTTTCTTGTTTCGTTACTTCTAGTAGTTGACATAATTATGATTGTATGACAGCTAGAAATTATTTTTTTTCAGGAATTGTAGAGTGAAGATGGCTCTTTCAAAAAATGTATCAAAAGTTGACTTGCGGTATACAGGGGGCAAAAAAATCGTGCCAAACCTGATAATTTAAAATTTGAAAAATTTCGACTTTTTCAAATAGAACACCCTGTGTTTTATGATTTCATTAGATGCCTTTCTGTAGACTCTACAATTTTTTAATAGCTTTCCCTATACCCTATAACGAAACATAAGAAAAAAAATGAAAAGTCGATTATCTCGAAAACTATCAATATTTTAATAGGGATCATAACACAATGTCCCGTTAATTGTTCACGTAGAATTCGATAATGCCATAAAAGATATAGGTTTCCATTAAAAAAAATTAAGTTGGTACCTGCCCAGGAAAAACTGAACACCCTGTATATGAAAATATATTTTCATTTTTAGTTATATTTTTTATTAACCTAGATATTGGACTTACGCGCACGGTGTATACCGTAATATTGAAAGAGTTTAATTAAAAGCCTTTTTTCTCGAAAACCGTCCACATTAGGAAGTTCTAACAAGAGTACATTATTTTTAGAAAATAGAATTGTACATTAGAAATTGGTGCCCGAATGGTAAAAAACCTAACCTTAAAAAAACTAGAACTGAAAATGTAATAGGAATGTAGTATAACCAGCGCCCTCTATGAAATATATAAAAAATAATTAGACCAGCGTATTTCGCATCCTTAAAAACCCGGAATACCAAATTTCATAAAAGTATTTTGCACCGTTTGGAAATTTTCGTAAAAATTCTGTTTAAAAAATTTTATTTTGTGTAGGTATCTCGAAAACAAGAGGAGATAGACATATAATTCATAAGACAAAAAATTCTTATTTTTTGTCGTACTATCACCCCCTGTATTTACGGGAGGTTTTTCTGACACCCTGTATAAGTCAATAGTTTGGATAAAAGGAATTCGTGGATAACGGTGTTCGCTGTATTTTTTAAAAAAGATTAGGCAACACAATTCGAGAAATTATCAGAAATTCGTCTGCCCAGCTGAAGCCTCGAGGGTATCTATTGCGCAAAAATTCGCGAAAAGTGAGTCGAATACTTAATAATTGAAAAGTTGTTACATATTTAAATTTCACCAGTGGCCCGTCAGACTAAATAATATTCAATTCTGGGTCGGACCACCTCTCTCTAAAATGTCAATGTGGACATAATACTGGACGGTCAGTCAAAACAGATTTGTAGATCCTTATAACACGACCGGAGCTTTTTCTTTAGTCGAGAACAGGATTGTTATGATTTTACTAAAGCGAGGCCAGTGTTTTTGTCGGAGATCGTCTTGGGCAACGCTCTGATTTACATTTTAACCGAGCTATTGTTCAGTTCGCCGATAAATCTAGAATTTATAGCTCGGCTCTTGTAGTAACAACGATAAACGCATCAGATTTGTGTGAGAAATAAAGTCGTCTCTGCTCTTTGCGTACAGGGCGTTCTGAAAAAAGGAAGCTAAACCGTAGGACTCTTAATATTATGTTTAATTATGAATCAATGTAATAGTTATTTATACATCAAGGGCGTTATAAGGATAATGCTGACTCGAGGAGACATATTCGAAATTTCGGTGTGAGGCAAGCCCCAGGGGTAAACTTCCTTAGGTTAAATTCTATATAGAATATACAGGGTGTCCCATAAGTAATGATACAATGAGCAACACCAGAGTCAACACACTAAAATGTCTGTCTGTCTCAAAGTAAAAAAAAAATTCATTATTTTAAAATAATCTTAAGTTACATATATTGTACAAATTTTGGGTATTAGAAGTTCTTTGAGGCAACGAATACAGATCCGATCATACTTTTGTTGTTATTTATTAGAGGGCGCCATTTGCGGTACCTTCGATGTCTTTAAAATGTCATAATTTTTTTGCTCCTCGTCCTAATATATTTTTTTCATTTTTATATTTTTTTACGTACAGATTGCGCAGGTTATTGTTTATCGAAATAAAATCTTGGGAAGATTTGAATTTGACTTCGGGGTTATCTTAGGAAAAAGCGCTTTCCATGTCAACAAGATTATTGTATGCCTTTTAACTTTAAAAGTTAGCAACAAAGATGTTTATCAAAAATCGCGCAATGACGATGGCTACAAATTTACGCCCCGGGTACAATTTTTTAATCGCACGGCTCTAGGTGTAATAGACCTATTATTCAAAAACAAATCCCCATATCTAATCTCCATCTAATTTGCATATTATCTTGATGACCAACTACAACCATTAATTGTTACCTAATGCGTTTATTTCGAGTTGCACGAGTTCTTGTCAACTTGACGAGCCGCTGTTGTTTCAAAAGTTGCTTAAAAATCCACCTAATATTCGTTCACGTTTAAAATCCTTATTAAACCAGTTATTGCAAAAATCAGAGCAGTTGTAGGGTACCCTCACACCTTCGTAAATCCAAAATAGACTATAAAAACACGGCATTCTTTTGAAAATGTATCACTTGCAGAACAGTTCTCTACAGGGTAAGACAACAGCAACCTGACAGCCATGTTTAAGGTAAATATACGAATTTTGTTGATATATCTTTGTTATAACACAATATGAATCTTAAAACGTTTTATCTGGGAATATGATTCGCTATATAAATGAGTCACTTTTCGTAATTACAAAAAATATTATGGAGATATTAATATTTATATAAGGTTTTCCAATTTATAGATATACAAGCCTTAAGTAAAGAAAAATGTGAAGGCCAATATTTTTAATTAACCCTAAAAGGAACAAATTTGGAAATATAAAATTTTCAAATCCTATTTTGTTACGATTTTCTTGTCGGGTTAAATTTTCAAAAATTGTATTAGTAATTTTTTATCCAAAATCTAATAATACCACGATATTTTACACCATCTAAAATCTTACCCAGTATCAATTTATTTTTATTAAAATTTATAAATGCATATAAAAAAATTAAAATATAACTCTTGTTATCTTTTCAATACTTTCAATAACTTGGTGTTTTATTCATTTAATATACACTTTTCACCCTCTATGTACAATAGAGTTTACCAATAATACATTATTTTTCAGTTCGTAATATTCCTCGCCGCCCTTTCAGCCGCCAACGCCGGCATCCTGAGCGCCCCCGCGATCTCCGCCGCCCCTGCTCTGTCCTACGCCGCCCCAGCACTTTCCTATGCCGCCCCTGCCATTTCCTATTCAGCTCCCTCCATCTCCTACTCTGCCCATGCTGCCCCCGCCGTCGCCTACTCTGCCGCCCCCGCTATAGCCGTGGCTAAGGCCGCCCCCGCCGCGGTGTCCTACTCCTACACAAACAAAGCATCATATAGGACCGCCGCGCCCGCCATAGCCTACTCTGCTGCCCCGGCCTTATCTTACGCTGCCCCAGCAGTGTCTTATGCTGCTCCAGCTGTGGCTTACGCCGCCCATGCCCCAGCTGTGTCCTACGCCGCCCCAGCTGTGTCTTACGCCGCTCATGCCCCAGCTGTGTCCTACGCCGCCCCAGCTGTGTCTTACGCCGCTCATGCCCCAGCTGTGTCGTACGCCGCCCCAGCTGTGTCTTACGCCGCTCATGCCCCAGCTGTGTCGTACGCTGCCCATGCGCCAGCTGTGTCCTACGCCGCCCCAGCTGTGTCGTACGCTGCCCATACACCAGCTGTGCCCTATGCCGCCCCAGCTGTGTCTTATGCTGCCCACGCTCCAGCGCTGTCGTACGCCTCAGCCGCCCCAGGTTAGTAACTAATAAACGGTATTAAATGTAAGGACAGCTTGGACCAAGAAGTGAGGAGAAAATTGAAACATAGTAGTTAATTTTCTTTAAAAAAATAATACCAACTGATTATGTAACTTCTTGCTAAAAATTTTAATATCTACAGTTTGCTTTTCTAATTGCCCTGATTTAATTTCAGCCATCTCTTACTCAGCCGCCCCAGCACTCTCATATTCCGCCCCCGCACTCAAGATAGCCGCTCCAGCTCTCTCCTACGCTGCCGCCCCAGCCCTCAAACTGGCGTCACCTCTTTCCTACGCTAGCAACTATGGGTGGTAAATTGTGACTGTCGATAATACCTTTTTCTCCCCATCTAAGATAGTGTTTTTAATTTGTTGAAATTATTGTACATTTGTTATTGTATTTACATATTCCGTCATTCCTCATTTTTTGTAGATACTAATTGTTAATACATTAATAAACAAAATAGATAAAAAAAAGTTTTTACCTATTTTCATCTATAAGTATTAATACACCTGATGTGATATGACAATAAGCCACTATTCGGACAAAAAACGAAAAAAAAAAATATAAAATGCAGTTTTCAGGACGAAATTTGGGAAAACAAACGTAACACATGCTTTTCTAAAGTTTAAAGTTAGCATCCCCGTTCAAAGATACACCCCGTATACCGTGCGAAAGACTCCATCAGCTGGCTTTTGACCCCGTAGGTAACGTCCTGCGTTCCGATGCCTAAATAATTAAAATCGCACAGCTTTTACGCGAATTTAAAGCTCCCTGGGTCCGATCTAGTGGATCTTCATCTTGATATAAAAAGTTGAAATTTCCGTCGGAAATGAATCATTAATCTGCCTCCGAGAGTTAAGTAAAAAGGCGATTTAAAATAATGAAACCGTAAAAAAGTACGTGTGTTTCGATTTCTATTTGAAATAAAATCTTATATATTATTAACGACTACGACTTTTTGCTTATTGAAGGTGTCAAAAAAAAACAACTCAAGTTTGCCAATGCAAGAATTTATTTAATTACAGGCCCTGACTATAAAAAATAGTTTTAGTTTCAATCGAGAACCTTTGTTCAAGTTCTTTGGATCGTCCTGTACCTTTCATGTTTATTTAATCCCACAGAATTCACCGCAGGCATGAATAAAAAAATAACTTAATTTTTGTGTAATGTTATCTATGCGCGAAAATATAATTCATCATCGCGATTCAAGCTTAAAAGGTTACTGTAGGAATTTTTTATATGTGATAATTGTTGAGACAACCAAGACATATTACTTTAAGATCTCTCTATGTATGTGTATTAGTCTAAAAGTTAGCTTCGGCATACATTCAGCATTTTTAGCAAGATATTCTCGCATGGCTAATCAAAAGAATTTTGAATGGGTACACAGATACTACTATTTATGTATGCATATCATTATAACTGGTTTTGATATCTCCATTTATTTTTTGTCACCATGATCAGTTATTCCATAAGGCAATAAATAATATAAATCCTATATAATTTTTTTACATGTGTCTTATTTATATACGTACAATTTAACGGTGAGAAAATCAGAGGCAGTTTATAAAACAACGTATCATGAACAGAACTAATTATTTTTGTTATTATTTTGCAATACTTATTTCATAAACGTAAACAGCAAAGATCTATATAAAGTGCTGTAATTTTTGGAGTAACAGTCATGTTCTGTACCCGTTGTCGTGGTTGACGTAATAGCATATACCGTTGAACAAGTCAGTTGTATTTTCCATGTGTGAAAGTACCTAACGGATAGCCTTTATATTTCGCTTTTTATAGAGAAATTCAATCAGTTAAGCTCCTAATGAATCAGGAGTAGCAAAGCGAAAAGATTTATTTCATCTTATTATGCAATTAAACCGCAAACTTTTAGAGCTCATACTACTTCTAGTTTTGCTCGGCCGTTTTTGAGCATGTTTGGAGGAATTTTTCACCTATTTCGCATCATTTTATCGGAAAATTAGAATATATGTTTTGTAGTGGCTGAAAAATTAAAATCGGACCACCCCAACGCATCCAGAAACTTTGCACCAAAAAATTCAAATTGCAATTGTGCCAAAACTGATGGTCCGATAGTACCTGCTTTGTGCACACTTCAAGTACATATGGGGAATTCCACGCCAAATCGGACGGTTCGAAAAATTTAAATTTTCGATTTCCTTAATTTTTTTTATATTTTTTAGTACCCCTCAAAAAATCCTTTCTGGTAAATTACTTGTTCAAAAGTTATAAAATTTTCAAAAAAAACGCTCTTTCTTGTTTTTTTGATTATAACTTTCTTAATAATGGTCCAAATTAAAGCTTCTTTTTATAAAAATCTTTGTTTTTAGATGGCCTTTACAGATAAAAATACAAAAAAAATATTCAAAGTGTTTTTGATTAAGATTTTTGAGTTTGAAATTTTAAATCGTATTTTTGTAAGTGTGTATCTTTAGATTTTTGTGAAAATATTTTATTTCAAACTACTATTCTTTTAACAACTTTTAGGACCGGTCCGGTCATGGGCCCTCCATAATTACTATTTTTTTTTTGATTTTTGAAAATAAAAAAAAATTCTCTATAAATCATTATAATTACTGATTTTTGTCACTGTCTACTCTCTTTTTACTTATTTTAAATTAATTTGAATACTTTTTAATTATTAATAGGTGTTTAAAATCAATAATTAAACGTTGTCTATTTATAAACAATTATAACAAACGTGTTTATTTATTTTCGTGTTCTTTTAAAAATTATTTTATCAATGCTATTTTTTGTTGCAAAGTATTTGTTTTATTTAAATAATAGTATTTTTATGAATTTCTATCCAATTTAAAAAGAGTCGCACATCTTATGAATATTGCTGTCAAATTTTCAGCTGAGAAATACTATTTAGATGCAAAAAATATTAGATTTGCGTTACAATACAGCCAAACCCAAACAAACCCAAAATTTCATTCAATCATTCCAAGGAACAAAATATTATTTTGTAAACTAGAATACTCCTTACCTAATATATTTCCATTGCTCCTTAGAATGATTGAATGAAATTTTTGGGTCCCTATATTGTATCGCAAATTTAATTTTTCTTTTGCATCTAAATAGTGTTTCTCAGGTGAAAATTTGACATCAATAATAATCATAAGATGTGCGACTCTTTTTAAATAGAATAGAAATTCATAAAGATACTATTATTTAAATAAAAAAAAATACTTTGCAACAAAAAAAAACATTGATAAAATAATTTTGAAACAATTTTTAAAAGAACACGAAAATAAATAAAAACGTTTGTTATCATTGTTTATAAATAGACAACGTTTACTTATTGATTTTAAACACCTATTAATAATTAAAAAGTATTAATATTAATTTAAAATAAGTAAAAAAGGGTATACAAAAATCGGTACTTATAATGATTTATAGAGAAAAATTTTGTTTTAAATTTCAAAAATCAAAAAAAAATAGTAATTATGGAGGGCCCACGACCGGACCGGACCTAAAAGTTGTTAAAAGAATAGTAGTTTGAAATACAAAATTTTCACAAAAATCGAAAGATACACTCACTTTCAAAAAACGATTTAAAATTTTAAACTTAAAAATCTTAATCAAAAACACTGAATATTTCTTTTGTATTTTTATCTGTAAAGTCCATCTAAAAACAAATATTTTTATATAAAAAAAGCTTTAATTTGGACCATTATTAAGAAAGTTATGATCAAAAAACCAAAATAAGAGCGTTTTTTTGAAAATTTTATATCTTTTGAACAAGTAATCAAAAAAATCTGAAAATTTACCAGAAAGGCTTTTTTGAGGGGTACTAAAAAATATAAAAAAATTAAGGAAATCGAAAATTTAAATTTTTCGAACCGTCCGATTTGGCGTGGAACGCCCCAAATAATTCACTACTTTTGTGCACAAGGTCACCTCTACAACTTAAAAAATGGCCGAGTAACGAATTTAAAAAAAACGCTAATTTTCCGATTTTTCCGGGCTTTCTTCTTTTGTAATAATTATCGGATAGGACCGATTGACTTCTCGTTTTATTCGTATTTCGATTCTTTACAAATTGTCTCTTTACAGCATTCAGATTGCTTCGTTAGTTTAGGTTTTGTAAGTAAAAAAACTAAAAAAATGCGTTTTTTGCATAAAAATGTTTATAAAAAATTAATTATTGGTAAATTGGAGTAGGAAACATATAAGCATATATTTACAGACTGTCTTTTATATGATGGGACGGTTAGTTTGCTGCTAATACTTTTGTCACAAACGTGACGAAGTTTGACGAGTTTGATTTTTTTATGAAAATACAAACATTTTTAATAGTCATTTGTTTAACTAGGCACTACTATGCAGTAAAATACAAGATGGAATACGGCGGCCGGTATTTTTTAATTTTTTAATAATTAGACAAGTTAATGACTATCCCGCGAGGATAAGTCACGTTCGCTAATATTCTATTTGCAGGTTTTTACACAAGTCCAATTTTTTTATAGTCATGATTAATGGCTTTCTTTCTGACAAATAAGATACTCAATGTCGTGACTAAAAACCTCAAACTTTAACGTGTACAGGGTGTCTCCTAAACCTTAAATTTTCCAAAATAGTTCTCTCTACTAGTTAATCGCGTTTAATTTTGAACAAATTGTCACGATCCTTGAGAATCTACCTACATGTGATTTTTTTTTCAGGACGAGTTCTCGTGCTGTAATTTCATACGCTCGCTCTGGGGTGGCATCGAATTACCTGCGTTGCATTATCAAAACACGTTAAACGCCTGGCGACCGACAGGAAGCCTTATCAATCCGAGATCCCTAGTCTCGCCGGTGGTAACAAATAATAATGCAGTCGCACAAGACGACTCACTCACCCATGATTATGCTAAACAAACAGGCGCAAAGAACAGTAATTATCGCTGGCAAGTAAAGTGGTACAAAAATACAAATAACATGCTGCCTGCAATGCTACTTTGGATAAGATAGATACTAGTTCAACGTTCAACGAGACTTTTGAGTGAGGAATTTTCGATAATGTATTTTTTCGACGATCGGCATTAAAGGCGTAGTTTCAGTGACAGCTGTCAGGCACTAAAGTGTCACATTTACCTAATGCCTAGGCATTAGAATCGTTTTTACTGTCGCTAAATGAAAATTTGTTCTTTGACGAAAGTAATTTTATTTATTGTAAACATTTATGGTGAAATTAGAACAGCTTGCAACGGGTATCCCTTGTCCTGTTTGTTTTTAAACATTTTTTCGTCTATGTAGGTTGAAGTGATTTCACTAGTAGATCGTTTATGAACTATTGAATTGTCCAAAGTGGTTGAATTACTTAAAAAATCGCTTCCAGTACTTGATGTACTTGCAGTAGGGAACATTTTTTTGCTAACAACTGATTTACGAGTTATGGACTCTTCAATGTAGGCTTTAGCTACCGTTGAAGATTTCTATTCACCATGCATTTTTAAAGTAGTAAAGGATTTTTTTCCTTTGTTTTTGTAGTTGGCAGTGATATTTTCCACATCTTCAATATCTCCAATTTTTATTTGAAGTCATTCATTACATCGACACGCCCCAGATATCGCAAATATCATTACTACCCAAAATAATAATAGTCAGTATTCGTTTACCAAAATATTTTGTACATAAATTTTTTAAGTTGTTCATTTTCTAAAACGCGTGATTTTTAGTACGATATCCGTCCGATTGTCGGTTCAATAATGCTTTTAATTTTAGATACTTTCCAATATCGATGTTGTTGTAGACATTCAAAGTATCCCTGAATGTCGCATATATTGATCATTATGAAGAAGATTTCATAATTTTGCTTAATTCAGGAAAATATACCAATAGTACATCTTCTGAAAAGCCATTAAATAAATTTTTTATATGTTTGCTAATATATCTTCTTCGATTTTTCTGGTAATAAATTACACTCTATTTGCCTTGCTGATTCAATAATTTCTGGCGGAGTTATTGTGAATTCTTGCATATCAAATAATACATAGTTATTTTTATGAATTTAAATAGAGACAATATGGCGAAGTTCAGAAGACGAAAACATTTTGTTTAAGTTCATTTTCGAAACGTTAAAGATCGTTTTAAAGTGCGGGATATTAGCGATATCTTTTTGTATTTTGTATTTGTCTGCTTTTTTCAATTTGAGAATTTTTGGTTAGCCAAAACTATTTTCATAAAAATAACCCTTCACCCATTTGGCGCAAGGATTTATTTTACTAACTTTTTTAATTTTTCACAGGTGCAAAATACCCACAAAATAAAGAAAAAATGTAATTAAAAAACTAATGCCATAACAAATTTTAGTTGAATTGGATTTTAATAAAAAAAGAGATTGATTTATCGAAACGTTACTTACGCAATTCAGTTGGTATCTGGAATTGGACCGTGTCTGAGTGTTTTTTTGCGTACCACTATTTCCGTTTCTTCAGATGTTTTCCAGCGAGTGCGCGAAAATTGGATTCGAAGGTGTCGTGTGTGAATCGAAAATGGTGGTTTGAGCATATGTTGTAGTTGGTTTTGTACTTGTGCGTTTAAAAATTACTGAATTTAGCTTTTTGGTAAGTACCTAAATTATTTTTAATACGTATGATTATTTGGACGACGTGAATCTTTGGGTAATTTATTAATTACATATTTTTCAAATTCATAATTTGATTAAGTGTTAAGTTCTTGTTTTAAGAGATTCATGATTACTAAAATTCGAGTTAAAATTTAAACACAACACTATACACAAAATCGTACTACAAAATCGATACACTTTATTTTATTTATTTAAAAATTAGAAAACAATTGTCTTGAAATTTACTAAATGTTTTACAATAATAGTTGTTTTTTCCGTAGGATAAGTCTGCCGCGTGCACATGTGGTATGCACCAGTTGTGTAGCGTTAGGTTAAGCGCTGTTGTCGCGTTTGTGATAAAACTCTCCAATACTCGCTGTATTTTGAAAACTGTTAATCTTACGCCCCTGTAATATACAACGCCAATATGTATATTGTTCGCGAGAGGAGAAAGATTTCTTTAGTATTTTAAATACATTGTTTAAGTATAAGTTAAAGTGAAGTATTAGTAAAAAATTCGTCGTGGGATACAATGTACGAGTATTTGTATATTTTAAACAATCAAGTTTCTAATAAAGGACAATCACGATTTTTGAAAGGTCATTCTCGGCATTTGTTCTTGGAACATGCCACCTACCTGATGAACAAATTTATCACTGTTCTGTATCAAAGTAGGTGTGTTATGGGGCCTACGTATTTATCCCTACTGCTTGTGTAATTCCTTACATTTCTTCATTCTTAAATTCGTCAACTAAAGGACTGCACGAGAACGAAATATTATTACTTACAGCAACAATCTAAATCAAAGTGTTAGATTAATGTTTTGATACAGCCACACGACATGACATTACGATTGCAAATGTAATCTGTCGATAAATCCAATCGCGTACAGCAGAGCAGATACCTCGTGCTGTTTCGCAGACGGCTGTGGAAATAGGACACCGCCGCCGCCGGCTAGGAAACCTAATGACTAAGGCAAGAATATAAAGCACAAGGATCCATCCTCTAAGCGCCACTCGAAGAGTACGCCTCTTTCGATGCGGTGCGATACCAAATCCGATGATACAGACGGTGCTTACGGTGTGACGTGAATTTTAGTGACATCAACTGTGTGGGGTCGAACTAGTTTCGCTTTTATTTCGATTCTTAAGTTGGTTTTACTAGAAGCAACCCTATTATCCATAAAAGGAATCTTCTGATCTGATCGAAAAGCGCCAGGTCAGTTTAAAGGAAAGCTCCCACTCGCGTTAACCTCAAAAATCGACGCGAATTATTTTCAGAACCGTTCTTGGCATGGTAGCCCGTTTGAGGCGGGCCTTTTGGACGATACTAATATCTCTAACAACGATCGCCTTCGTCTACCTGACCATTGTTAACACCGCGATCGAACAAGAAATTAACAAACCCAAAAACTTGCACAGGAACGTCAAACATATCGTGGCTTACTCGTTGCTGAAGAAAATCGAAATTGAAAGTGAACATTACACTTGCGAGGAGAGGCTGGACGACGACGAAGTTAATTACAGTGCGATTAATGGAAGTGACGAAGATTATGCCTGGACGAATATTGATGGCAGTGCCGTGCATGTTCTGTCCGTGCATTTGGACAGACGGTTGGAGCCTTACCACTATGTTAGGATAATTGGGATGATCAAAGGTAATTGTGGCGAGATTTTAGCGTTTCGTCTCTTTTTAAGGAGTTCGTCGAGTCATGTATTTTAATCGGATTTCAATTCGAGATATCTTTATTACGAAACCTTAAATAGCGCGTACAAGTCGTTAGTTCAAGGAGTAAACTTTATATAGTGTTGTATTCTGTTCAGCGATGAGAAATTATTTAAAAAATTTGAATTGCGTATTTTTCGAAAAATAAACGTGGGTATTCAACATAGGCACGGACGCCTTTGGTAATTCTAAAAAAATGTCTTGTATCTTGTAGAAATAAGTTTGTGTGACAATAATTTGAGAAAAAATCAGCGCATTTGTGAAATGCACCGAAAGACACGAAAAACAATTAAATTTTTAACAGCCTGTACCTTAGGGTGGTCCAAAAAAAACGAAGATTATTGTTTTCGTGTCTCTTGTGAAAATAAGTTAGTTTATCATGTTTTAAAAGCCCCCTCAAAAAATCAGCTCAAAACAATTTTTTTTTGTGGTCGCTCAAGATTTTTAAAAATTTCCAAAATCGTCAAAAATTGATTTTTTTTTTAAATTTTTTTTCCTCGTTATTTTATCATTTTCTAGGTTGAAAGAAATCTCGATTCTGGAAATTTCAAATCGATATTTTCATTTTTAAAGGTCACTCAATTATTTTAACTTTAAAAGTAGTGTACCTAAAATGCTTTCGAGCGACCTCTAAAAATAAATATCAACGAACTAATAATTTTTTTTTATTGAATTTGATGAACAACAGAATAGAACGACACTTAAATTTTAAAAATTAAAAATTTATAAAAATTTGATACAGTGCGGCAGTAAATTTTACCTCGAGAAATTTTTTAAGGTGTTGTGATTTATTTCAACGAGATTTTTTTCAACCTAGTAAATGATAAAATAACGACAAAAAAAATTTAAAAAAAATCAATTTTTGCCGATTTTGGTTTTTAAAAATCTTGAACGACCTCTAAAAAAATTTTTTTTGGGCTGATTTTTTGAGGGGGCTCTTAAAACATGATAAATTAACATTTTCACAAGAGACACGAAAAAAATAATTCGTACCTATTTGAAAAACATGACGTTTTTAGACACTTATACGATTTTTTTTTATTGTGAGTGACTTTCTTAAACATTTTGGATAACTGAGAAACACAGTCGAAGTTAAATTATTAACAAGATATGTTTAGACAAAATATTCGTTATGGATTACTTTACTACGTCATGAGAAACATTTTTTTACGTTTTACGCTTTCCTGAACTTTAAAATGGTTAAGCAAATAAGTGTGTCCGGATACAACAATGTCGGGTTTGAAAAGGTGACCCCTACGTACATATTTTGTTTTGAAACACGAAATCATATCTCGCATCTGTACTGCACAAAGGCAAATTTAAAAAACATGTTCCACGACATTCTTTTCCGTTATTTTCGCGAAAAATTTCGTTCCTCGTGCCGGATAGCCGTGTATATCTTTTTTAAAGAGATAAAGCAATAACATAGTCGATTGAGAATATCGCATAAAATAATTAAGTACAAAAAATATGCACTTTAGATTTTGTAGTAAAACAGTTCAAAGTTTCACAAATTAGATTTTCATATGTATCTAAAAATGACGTAAGTAATTAAAAGAAAAGAAAATATATAGAATAGATAACACTTTCAAGTTAAACATCTTGTAAAGTAGCAAAGTAAACTAAGTTTTTAAAATATCTTTAAACTGTCTTTAAAGACGAGCAAAAATTTTAATCAAGAATGCCTTTTCCTCGTAAAATGTACAATAGAACTGTTTTAATGTCCGTTTTTATCAAAGTAGGCCAATTCATACACAAATTGAAATTATAATATAAATTTTAATTCTAAGCAAATTTCCTTAATAACATATTTCTGTACTATTTGAAACAAAGACATTTTATTCTTTAACGATTTTTATATTTACCGATTTTCTGATCAGCCTGTACAGGCTGGTCCATTTTCGATGGGATTTCAGGGTATTTCAGAAACTACTAAAGATATGATAAATGTGACACCACGTTCTCGAGCTCGATTTTCATGGCAAACTCGACTGTCAGATCGGAAATTTGCTATCTTTATTTGTTTCTGAGTTACAGGGCGTTTCTCATTATTGTGACACTTTTTAACATGTCTGTATCTCAGCTGTTAAATAAGTTAGAGTTAAAGTAAAAACTGCTCAAGACTAATTCTTTGGCGTAGAATTGAATGCCGGTATTAGATTTTTAATAGATCTTAAGATTTAGGAGTTATGACCCAAAGTTATATTTTTTTAAATGGAAATCGTAGCTGACCATGGCCTTAAAAGATAGAGATTTTTTTCCGCTTTTCAGCAATATATCACATGCTATACTTATTTTTACAAACACGGAAGATACGGGGTGTTTCATATATAAATTATATTTTTTTTCCTTTTTAATATGACCGGCTATGAAAATACAGATAAAACTATAATCCTTACTTTTACAAAAGTCATATCTGTTGTAAAAATATGACATTTATTTTAAATGCACAACATATACTCGTGTGATAATATAATACTAACGAAATTTTAGGAGATAGGTGGATAGGAACAAACGGACCGATCAGATGGCCAGCTAGGTTACCTGATTTGAGTCCATTGGACTTTTTCCTTTGGGGTTTTCTAAAAGACATTATATTTAAAATTCCTTTTAATAATATTTCAAATACATATACATTTAATGAATGCTACCTGAAGCGTTGCCAGAAGATGCGTGAGATGTGTGACAGTTGAGGGACGGCAATTTGAACATTTAGCTATCATTTTTGAAAGTTTTTATTGATGTAGGTACTTACTATTGTTTAATTTACGTTTAATATTGTAACTTCAGTTGAAGTGGAATAAAAATTTGAAAACTCTGTCTTTTCTTATCTGTAATATATATTTTAAATAAACGTCATATTTTTACAACAGATATGAGTTTTTTAAAAGTAAGAATTATAGTTTAGTATGTATTTTCATAGCCAGCCATATTAAAATGTAAAAAAGGATCGAATTTATATATAAAACACCCCGTATCTTCTGTGTTTGGAAAAATAACTATAGCATGTGGTATATTGCTGAAAAGCAAAAAAAAATCTCCATTTTTTTAGGTCATAACCAGCTACGATTTCCATTTAAAAAATTATAACTTTGGGTCATAACTCCGGAATCTTAAGACCTACTAAAAATCTAATACCGGCATTCAATTCTACGCCAAAGAATTAGTCTTGAGCAGTTTTCACTTTAACTCTAACTTATTTAACAGCTGAGATACAGACATGTTCAAAAGTGTCACAATAACGAGAAACGCCCTGTAACTCAAAAACAAATGAAGATAGCAAATTTCTGATTTGACAGTCGAGTTTGCCATGAAAATCGAGCTCGAGAACGTGGTGTCAGATTTATCATACCTTTAGTAGTATTTCTGAGATACCCTGAAATCCCATCGAAAATGGACCAGCCTGTACATGCATGATAAAAGTTCTCCATGCCAACCGCATTTTAAAGACAAGCACAAATTTTATTCAAGAATGCCTTTTTCTCGTAAAATGGAAAATAAAAATATTTTCCCTCTTTTCCACTCTAACCGTAGACATCATGTATGTTAAGAACTGATAAAATAGAGTTATATTTTTCCTTTTGTATAGAAAAGGAAGCGTAGTATGATTTCGCTTCGACTATGATAATGTATTTTTTTTTTTTCAAAAAACGACCCTAATCTTTATTGGTAGTTAACTTTGCTACTACAAAAGTGCATCTTATGTCCTTTGTGTGTTTCGAAAAGCAAATGAAAGTTTCCAGAATGAAGAAAGTTATAAGGATTTTTCGTCAATCTGTCAAAATTTGTATAAAATGTCGATTATTTCGAAAACGGTTATATTTAGGTACAGCAAAATTTATCTTGTAGATAATGTCGAGAATAATATTGTGTCGATGGCGACTTCCGGTATAATCGGAAGTGCTATAATAATACCATTATTTTATTTAAAGACAGTACCCCCGAAAATCCCAAGGCCCAAGTTTTCAAAGTTAAAATCGAAGTAGTCTGAAATATTCTAATGGACAGCGTAAGAAAGCCTGTATATTATCTACCTACAATATTGTATTATAACTAAATAATTATTTATCAAATTTACATTTAAAAACTCGTATTTTTCGCAGAACTGGGGAATAATGTAGAAAGGTAATCTGACTTTTTGTAATACATAAAAACTTGATTACAGTTTACAAGACAAGAGCCGCATCGTCGAAAAAGTTGTAGTCTAAACGTTACAGAAAATTGAGCAATTAAACGAAAACGAGTAAATTCTTCCGACTAAATTATACCGCCGTAGTTAACGTATTTATAGCTAGTAAGATATTTATGGTGCACAAGACAAATTGCATGTTTTTCATTACGTTAAAACTAAAAGTTGAAAAAAATTAAGTGTTTTCGAAGGAGCACAAACGCAATAAAAATGTATGCATCTAGTTGTATTAAAAGTACATCTAACAAAAACGTCCGCGGGATAAGTGGAAGGACGTATTTTTTTGTCAGATTTTTAATCAATTAACAGAAAGAATTTGAATTGTTCGATTTTATATTTTTTTGTGTGAAGTGAATAGCTTAGAATACCTTAAGGGTTTTTAAACGAAACAAAAGAAAATATTTAGGTAGTTCCAGTTATCCCAGAAAAATGTTGCTTCTTAAAAAAGTTACAGGTTGTTAATTAGATAAATCAGTGGCCTTATGTTTCATCACTGTGCATCAAATATCGTAAAAATATTTAAAAAAATGATTATATATTTAATTCAACACCCTGTATCTCGAAAACTATCGATTTGTGCGCCCATGTTTCTATAACCCTCTTAGTTACAAGTCACTCAAAGAATTTTCCCATAAAGTTACGACGAATTCAATTAACACCCTGTGCATTGAAATTAGCAACTAGATTAGTCGAATTTTCTTCAAAATTCAATCAATACTCATCCCGCATTAAAGATAATTTTGCTTGGATTTGGAAAATGTAACTTTTCGCACAAAGGTTCAGTACCAAACAAGTTAACTTTTTTTTTTAACTTTAAACGTTTTCATATCAAAAATAAAATAGATAATAGACATTTCACACTCTGATCAGTGATCAGTGATCACCGTTATTTGACTCGAAGGAAAAGTAAAAGTTATAAACATGTAATTTCCCCACAAATCATTTGATGGCTTACTCCATCGGTTTTCTATAGCCACAGATATATTTTGTATAATTAATATAGGTACGCCATTAAAATATGCCACTTACTTGGTTTTCATCAGCTTTACCGCTGCTTGTCTTTTGATGCTGCTCCTAGGCTTCGTCTCGTTCTCACCCATCACATTACTGTAAAAATAATTCCTTGTAGACGTTTTGAAAATAAAATTACTTCTTATAATTACAGAGTGCAATGCATAAAATACCAACAAACTGATGCATACATTGACAAAAAACAAAATAAAGAAAGAATAAAAGGGTAAAATGTATGAAATTTTACCCAAAACCTACTTATACCAGTAGGTACAAATTTATTTTAGTCAAACTAAACAAGGTTTTTGAGTGAGACCAAACGCAAAATTCACAATCGAAACTAATATTTTTCCTAGAACAATGGCCATATCCGCCAAAATCTACTGTGTCCACTGTGCTTGCTAAAAATCAACTTTTCCATCTCGTGGAGAAAAAATGGACTGGTCCATCCGTGCACTTTTTTAAGACGTTAAACTTCTCCAGTTACGATATTTCGCCATATGTCATCAATTTGTTTATATATTTTTTCAAAAAAAACACTATCTAGGTCAAGCATTTAACGGCTTGTATCAAATTTTGCCTACACTTAAAGCGGTAACTGTACAGCGCGTCAGTCGATAAACGTAAATTAAACGGCACAATTTTTGAAACAACTTCATAATGAAAATACACCGTAATAAAATTTGCATAATCAGTAAACTTACCCATTTATATTTATATCAAATATCGGCATATATCCATAACTGTAATCAACAAAATCTTCGAAAAATCGTACGAAATCAACAAACTCGCTTGCCGGGAGTCAGGGGGCGCGCGTCTCGCGATTTAATTGTTATTGCATTTCTAGCACAGACTACTATGTTTCGCCGAAAAAACTGAAGGCGGTCCGTGTGCGTTTTTTGCACCACGACTTAATTTTATTTTCGAAGGTATTTAAAATTTAAATAGTTTATTGATGTCATTATTTTCTTAGCATAGCCGTATCAAATAAAAACATTTCTATGGCTGTAGACAGTTGTCTTATAAAAAATAATGTATTTAATTAAATTTAATTTTCTTCGCCTAAACAACCAAGAAATTCTAAATCAATTATATTCAAAACTGCATAATTTTATATCAAAAACGTCAAAGACATATGTTTTTCATTTTGTAAGAAGGTCTAAGTTTTCAAGTTTTGGTCTTAAATAACTGGAAAAATTTTACAAAAGGAAAAATAGGGAAAAATTTTACTTAGGTACTTTTCCCTTATTTTAAGAAGTTCTATTATCCGATATAGTTTGACGTATTCGTTGGGGACACCCTGTATATTAGTTTTTATAAACATAACTGCGTTTTTCAGCAGAAAAACTGAATTTTGCGCTTATCTGTTCCTAAGAAGATATAGAATCAAAATATATTTTTTGTCCTTTTTGTCATAACACCAATACTAAATAATGCTATTTTGTTATCATAAGTGTCTGTATAATACACAAAATATGAACATCAAAAGGATTATACCTAAAAGCTACTGTCGGTAAAAAGCGGATAGTAATGTTAGATACTTCGGGTCACCATCCTTCATTATCTCCTGATTAATATCTCGTATCACGTTTGGGCCCAATTTTAGCGTATAATCAATTTTTTTAATGGCTAATGAATACGCTCCGCCAGCTCTTTGATTTATTGGCTTTATGGTAATGTAAACCGCGCAATCTCTCCAGGCCTCTTAATTACATTTTTTTATGAAAAAAGTACAGGAATAATACGAGGGGTTGCTGATATGTACTGGGTGTATTTTCCACATTATCTTATTTTTTAAGGAAATACAAACAACAAATTCCCTAAGAAATGTTGAAATGTGCTCTCAGCATATTTGTATGTGTTCTTTTTCTTTCATTTTTTTGAAAACGTAAAAATAAATAGGGAAATATCTTTTTTATTCGATCGACCACACAACGCAACTATTCAACTCATATAAATACTACGTAATTGCATGAAATATTCCTTTGAGTTACCGAGTCCCCTGTGGTCTTATAACTTCTTGGAATTAATTGCTTGCCTTTGTGATTGGAATCACGAACATCAAATTTTCTTAAAATCACTTCGCTATTATACCTAACCACTGCATTAACTTTGATTTATAACCCGGGCAGTTATTATAAGACACTGCTTTGATAAATACGGTTCATTTCAGAGCTACAAGAAATAAAGCCAACAAAGCCACCGCGAGAAACAGACAAAGTTTTTGGAATATTTTTTAAAATCATTTCAAGCTTCTAACGAAAAGTACTTAATCTTTGTTTCATTGGGATAGTGTAGGTGAACTACATAATAACAATCCACCTGATGTGATATGACAACAGGGCTATAATAGGCGCGTAAAAAACAAAATTATTAATTTGTTTTAACCGAAATAAAATTTTACACTAATCTAGTCTGAAATATTGTAAAACAATATTTACTAATAGATTTAAATTAAAAGTACACCAAACTTTAATCTTTTTCTTGCGCTACATGAAACCAATCGTGTTATTTTTGCTTTCGCCGATTCTTACACATCTGAAATGAACTATACAAAACCAATTTCGCGATTGATTGGAGTGATTTACACCACGGTATACTAATTAATACGGTAATTTCCTCCTTATATAAGCCGCAGCAGTATAATGTTACTATACATCATAATAAACCTCTTTGTTTTACTACGTGTAATGACAAGTAAAATATATTGATCGATCGATGGGTGGATCTTGCGGTCACTGGATTAATTTGGTACAAGTTTTTTCCTCTTGTACTTCTAACCGAGACTATCGGCGTGAAATAGAATCGATGAGGTTTGTTTAAAATGGAATATGATTTCGTTTGGGGATTGGGGAACTGTTATTTATTTAAAACAATAATAAACTCCAAAATCCATGTTAAATAAACAACAACGTATTCTTGACATCTTTAGAGCGTTTCAAAGGTTTACTGAAATGTTTTATGTACATTTGGTGCACCTTTATTCTCTGCAAGTTGCTGGACAGTACGTATCTGTTGGAATACAAACCTATAATTTGTTTTTTATGCTTCTTCCTCATTTCCTTCGACTAGTCTTCGGAGAAGCTATCATGCCATAATTGAATAAGACGAGATTTATCAAAGCAACTTCTGATTTAATTGGAGGTAACAGTAAAAGAGAAATTATTACGTAAAAAAACTATACTCGAGTCGAATTAGACTTTACGACAACGGGAAAGGGTATGTAAAATGATAATATCAATAAATTAACTCTAAAGAAGTGAGGCTAAGTTGGCAAATTGCAAATAAGCGGCAAATTTAAGTCTTTTTTTGCTGCCCATAAAAATCGTCATTTCTTCAGCTCTAACACTTTGGAATTTAAAACTATTCCATGCCTATATCTTTAGATTCTAACAAAAATAATAGATGGTAAGTATATCTATGTATAAAAACATTCGAATTGCTCCGCGGCTATTTAGAACCCAGTCGTGTCAATTTTTATATAATTTATTATCGGGTTTCTGCCGTTCTGCACCCGGTAACTAACTTAGAGACGCCTAATTGACGCCGATGTATCAAAATTGGCTTCTCTTACCCGTTAAAGTGAATCCTGCTTAGTATGCTGGTCGTTACCAGCGTCTGTAGCGGAATAGCGATGAAATTTCACGCAACCCGAACATTAGAGGACAAAACCGCAGCAATTACTTGACGGTAACTGTTTTTAAATTGGATATAATAGCACGACGTCGGGTAATTTTGAGTAACGGAAGTACATCACGCCAAAGAAAAATTAGTTAGAAATGGCATAGTTGTTTCTTGTTTCACTCTTCTGAATCCAAAGACCGTGTATTATTAGAATCAGTTATAATAATAGTTCATTTCTTAAAAAAATTATGAATTTTTCATATTTTCGACAACAAAAATTGACTATGTTTTGAATTAATCAGTGAGAGACGTTCATACAATTTAATTCTTTTTATAGGCATTTATCAAGAAACTGTCTACTGCCAAATTTCATCCCCTACCGAGACAGTCGTGACCAAAGTTACCACCACCCCCATTTGGTTAGACGCATGGGACCAAAACGATACCAACGTTTACTTCAACCCAGTACTGCTCTCTTGTAGGATACCTTTGGGCTTGGCACCAGAGAACGTGTCTATCACCACGAAACCCTGTGACGGAAAGCAAGGAAAACATTTTTCGTTAACAAACGATACAGGAAATAGCCAGTATACATTTACGGTATGTGTGAAGCCGTTGGATTTTTTGGAGGACATTTCAGAACGTCTGATACAATGGATTGAGATGATCAGGATACTAGGTGCTGAAAAAATTGAAATATATGTCAAGAAGGTGAAGAGGAACGTGTGGAAAATTTTGAAATGGTAAGGTTTTTGCAAAGTATTAAAATCTTGATATTGTAAAAACCATATTTTTCAGGTATGACTCGAATTACCCAGATCAAATTACGATACGAAAGTTTCACGTTGTAAAAGACGCTGATACCAACAAAAATTACAATTTCTCCTGGATTTTGTGGCAGAAACGACGATACGAAGTGGCGACTTACAACAGTTGCTTTTACAGGAATATAGGATTAACACGATTTATAATACCCTTGGATATAGACGAAATAATTCTTCCCAGGCATCTATTTACATGGAAAAACGTCCTGCAGGATATATATACCACAATTCCAGGACTCAAAGAAAACTTTGCGTCGTTTATGGTTCCCAACACATACTTCTTTGGAGAGTTACCGAAAAACGAAACAGATAAAATATTTTTTCTAAGGAATATTCTTAGGAGCAGATTTAGCCCTCCTGGTGAATCCGGGAAGAGCTTTATAAGTACAAAGAACACTCTGACGGTTTTCAACCACTACGCCCTAGATGTTCTAAAACCAGGAATTAGTAGGACGTTTTTTGTTCCTTCCAACGTGGCACAACTGAATCACTACAAAGAGACTTGTAATGCTGTGATACTTCCCGAATGTGTTAAGTACGTTTCTAGTCCTAGAATTAAGGATAAACTAGTTTTTAGATATGAAAAAGTTTTCATGTATAAATACTCTAAAAGAATTTTACTGTTTAAAAAATTAGGTTTTTTCATGTAAATATCGTGACCTGTACAGTATGTAATAAATAAATTTTCTTTTACGAACAACACTCAATTTTTTACCCTTCAATATGTTACGCCCTGTATATAAAAAATGAAAATACTAATTTGAAAAGAATAGTAACCATAATCTACAAACAAAATATGTAATATAAAAATTTAATATCTTAACAGCATATTAAAGTGCGAATGTTTTCTTTCAAATTAAGAACGCAGATATTTTGGTGAAGTACAGAACTTCAACCAAGTTTAATATTTTAATCTCATTTTAAGCAACCTTTTAAGCGTATATTTGTATTCGTGGCTGTATAATCATCAGGGGCAATCCTTGACCCCCCTGGTGGTAAATAGCCTAAGTTTTTACCGTCTGAGAGGAGATTAGTTACCGACTTTATTGTGGCGTCTTTGTTCACGTACAAATCTGTCTTTTTCATTGAATTTGTGTCGCACTTTGTCAGCCATCTTTGATAGTGGGTTAGCCAAAGTGCTTGTGATAAATCAATTAAAAGAAAGTAGTTTTTATGCTAATAAATTATCTGTGATCTTGTACATATTTAATTAGTTTATAACTTAAAAAAAATGGGTCGCAAGAAGAAGAAGCAATCCAAACCCTGGTGCTGGTATCCTTTTTTTCAAAGTTACAGGCTTTCCGCCTGTAACTGCGTCTTGCAGATCGCAAAATGCTATAATTAACATGTGATCGATTTATTTTTAGCCTACATTTTTCTTAACCAGATTTAGGTATTGCAACCGGGAGTTCGAGGACGAGAAGATACTGATTCAGCACCAAAAGGCAAAACATTTCAAGTGCCATATATGTCATAAGAAATTGTACACAGGGCCAGGTTTGTCAATACATTGCATGCAAGTCCACAAGGAAACCATAGACAAAGTTCCGAATTCCATGCCGAACCGTTCGAATATCGATATTGAAATATATGGGATGGAAGGTGAGGGTTATTTTTAAACTCTGCTAAAAATAAACTTGGAAGTTATTCCACGGCGAATATCTGCTATAAACACATCATTCTGTGGAAACCAGTTTGATCGATCCGGTAACACAGTATGTTTTTTGTTTACTTGCCAGGAATACCCTCGGCCGATCTAAAGGAACACGAGAGACAGAAGCAAGGCAGCAGAGGCAACGACTCGGGATCCGACGATGACGAACCCACTGCTAAAAGGCCGAAACCGGAAGGACTGCTGGGCAACGCACCCGGTGTTATGCCAGGGATGCCCGGTATGATGTCTGGCATGATGCCTCCGCCAGGGATGGGACCCGGAATGCCTATGGGGCCGATGATGCAAATGGGGCCTATGGGACCACAGTTCATGCACCCTGGGTGAGTTGTCGTTTCTTTTTTAACGAGATAAGTGACAAAATACACTCCCACACGTAAAACCGGCTATTTATAACTGATACATATTTTTAGTGTCGGGTTTTTAAGGTTTCACTTTCGTTTGTATGTTGACCTACTTTTCTCTTATAGCGAAATTGTTTGAGTTCGTGTTTCTTAAAAATAATTAAATTAAAGGGTAAACAACTAATGCAGGCATTTATTCTGTGAAAACTTGCAACATTGTTGTGTAAATTTTATAATTTAACCTGAAAATTTATTTAAAATGTAATTTATTGTATTTATTATTCACTTAACCTTGATGTGAGTACTATATTATCATGTTTCACATGTAAAGTTTATTTTTAGTTCCCATACTTGAGAAATCGCTACATTTTTTACAACATTTAATCATTGTCAATTAAAACTTTTTTTACGGTTTTGGTAAATCTGCTTAAAACTTTTATGAACAAGAAGCAAACGTTTGTAAGAAAAATACCATTAAACGTATTACTTAACACTAAATTATCCAATTTCTAGGTTATCGCAATGTAAATTTCCGTCAGAGTTATGCAAATCTGTTTCTATTTATTTACCGCGCATAGGAATTAATTTGAAAAACAGGTTGTTGCTGTTAACTACTCTTTTGACCTTGCATCGCATAAAAAAATCACCAGTGTCAGGTGTTTACAGTTATTTATTTTTTTGCAATGCTCAGTCCTTGTGAGAGTTTTTCTTGTTAGAAGCAATTATAGTCCAGGTCCAAAATACTAGGAAGTGACTCATTCTCAACATGTAGACAGTGCGACTGATTTGTAAAATTTTGTTGAACATATTACCGGAACACTATGCGAAATGAACTACACATTACAATTTCTAAAATCGTTTTAGCAGATTAATAAGTAGCGAAAATTGTGGTTTGATTTATTTATGACTGCCTAGAATCTTGGATCTGGAATATATTTAAATTTAGTAAGCTTTCAAATGACCTTATCTTTAAATAAATAATTATTTGCAAGTATTCATTAATTGCTATCATACACGTTAGACCATTTCACATAAAAAAAACGACTTGTAGAGAATTTATAATACAGGTATGTCAGATTGTTGTCTTTTAGGATGCAAATGATGCCGCCTCACATGCAGGCTATGATGCAGGGACAGGGGGGCCCTGCTAAACCTCTCTTTCCCAGCGCCATTCCTACCTCCTCGCCCGGCGGCCCTTCGGCCCCCGTCGTCGGGGCAGACTTCAAGCCAATTTCCTCAGGTAAGTTGTTTTCGTAAAATAATGGATCGTTGATGAGTTTCGTGGCTCGCACAATAATTATCAGTTTCACGGAATGCTTTTTAAAAATACGGTATAACCTAATAGCGGACATCTACGAGGAATCTTAAAATGTACAGAGCCCGTTTAAAAGTGGGGTTAAAAAATAATGAAAACAAGATTACGAGGAACATTTTTACAGAAGCGATATAGGAGCGTTACAGGAATAATGTGTGTGATTACTTAAACGTTTCCCGCAAATCTTGGTTATAATTTCTTAGAAAGTACTTTGATAGTAAACTTTTATCTTTTGTGGAATAAGCATTTAAATGTACAGAACATTGAATTATGAGATGATAATAAATGATGATTTTTTTAAAAATATCTAAAAACAAAAAAAACTTTTATAAAAAATTAAAGGAGCAGATTTATTGCTCCTTAAATATCAATGTATCATGATTAATATGAAAAAAAAAAATAAAAAATTGCGTTATTTTTCTCACAATTTCGCATTAAATACTCATCAAATATTGAAATAAAATTTCAATATTTTAAAAAAAAAATTCTATTTAAAAAAAAATTAAATTTTTCGAAATTTTTTTCCGTTATCCTTTTTACAATTTCACATTGAATATTTCAAATGTCCAAATGTTGAAATTAGAAAAAAATTAAATTTCAAATTATTCAGAAAATTATACTGAATCATTTTCTGTTCAGTTTTGATGCAATTTTTTTCTTTATATGCCGTATTTCATGGTGTTAAAATTAATTGCATTAGTTTAAGTTGCTACTCCTAAGTGAATCTTCTTGCATTTGTTTACACACATTGCTATACAATTTATTGATCCTTTATTCAAAAGTTCTCAAGTTTTTTTTCAAAACTACCAATTTTCATTAAAAAAAAATCTTTTTTTTTATATTTGTTAAGTATTTAATGTGAAAAAAATAAGACAAAAAATTTTAAAATATTTGATTTCCTTTTTTCAAACTTTTTTTTCAATATTGACGTTAAATTGTGAGAAAAATAATGCAAAATTTTTTTTTATCTTAAATCTTAATCATGATGCTTAAGGAGCAATAAACCTGCTCCTTTAATTCTTTATAAAACTTTCGACAATTCAACAAAGAAAAATAATTCGACCGATTGATTTCAAAATTTATAATATAGGTCTCATGGGCATTGTATTGAGCTAAAAAAAAACCTACAAACATAGGTATTTTTTACAAATCAGCAGAAAGTCATTTTTTGCATTTTTTCAAAATAATACTGTATTAATTTTTTTTTCTCAAACGTATCAAAAGACCCTTGAAGAAGATTGATTCAAGTTTCCAAAATTCACTCCGCTGAACGAAACTTCACTCAATAGCTGATATCTCAATGAGAAATAATCGTGCAGAAAATAAAAAAAATAACAAATGAAGCTGAGAAATCATGTTAAATGATCCTGACATTGATTTTAAGCCAGAAAAAAATTAATTTTCTGAGCCTATGGGCGGTTTTGAAAGAAAATTTATAAAATTTTTGGCTTGCATTATTTCTTTTGATTGTGCCCACAGTGATGATCAAAAATATTTTTCATCTCAAGATTTCAAAACTAGAATCTTCAAGTTTCGAGATGCTTTTTTTTATTTTTCTATATGACCATTAATCATGAAGTTACGGCCTTTCAAAAACCACACAAAAAATTTGGAAATTTTTCTGCTCCCTGCTGAGTGTATTTTATTTGTTGTTCTGCTCCAGTCCCTCATACCCATTTCTTCTCGCTCGGCTCTCCATACATTCCCAGCAACTCATCGTTTCTCTTTGCCACATTTCACTTACTTTATCCGCTCCACATATTCTCAGTACTTTTCTCTCCAAAATTTCTAGTGACCCTTTCTCTTTTGCATTGAATTTCAGTCTAACAACTACAAATAATTACTGTCTTATAGACTCTCATTTTTACATTACTGGAATTTTTTTTATTGGATTGTGTTTAGCAGTCTTTCCAGTTATTTCTCGTTCTTATTTTCTCCTGTATTTCATATTTTTCGTCACATTTATCAGATACTGTGAGTCCTAGATAATTACATTTATGTGATATCTCCAATATCGTATTCGCTTATATTACACTCACACTGATTAAATCAACATTTTAGGCAACAGTTTTTTTACCGTTCATATAACGACCTTCAAATAACCTTTAACAAGAGCGAACTTTGTCAAATGAACCGTGGATTCGGATTCAGCGAGCCCCAAAAACATATGGGTATGGTGGTTTAGTCTATCACACATTGAATATTTTTTCCAGTGGGTCTGTGTAATAAATAATCTTGTCCCATACCTTTCAGAAAAAATTAATTAACAGTTTCATCAACTAAAAACCACAGATTTTGGAAATTTCCTTTTTTGCCCTAAGTTTCTGTTGCTATTAACAGATAATTTAGGGGTACCCGCTACACAACAGTGTCTGTAAATAGTAATTTTACCGCATAATTGAATTGTTAATAAGAATTCTACTGTTTGCCTTGAATTTCCAAACAAATCGGTTGTTGCTTACACGATTAAAATTTTGATTATCTTCCTCCGACACGATTTGAGGTTATTCCGAATCCCAAGTCTGCCTGATGGGTAATAACGTTTTAAAATAGCTTTCGTGTGGGTGCTGAATTTTTTTAGAGTCTGCTGTAATACGTCAAGGAAGTTCCGATGTATTCCGTTTGAGCCAAACTCGTCTCTCATCGCACGTATTTGTGTATATCTGTGTCTTATAAATTTGTTTCACGGTTACTGGCACAGTTTTATATTTGAAACGACATCATAAATGCCTTAGCAATTTCTCATATTTTAATAAAAATAACGTGCTTGCCGAGTATTAATACTCCTTTATTTTAAGCAAATACAATCATGTTCTACGTGTACGTCTTATTTTTTGTATGTTAAATTTAAATTAACTGGTATAAGTTGACCTTCGGTTTATTTATGCTGATTAAAAAAAAAAGAAAAATTGCACTTCGATTTATGGACTTTGGTAAACTGATAGATTACGATACGCTCTATTTTTCTAACTGAATTAGTCATTATCAAGAGATATTTACTTGTTACGCGTGACTGATCAATATTTTTTTGTCAAAAATGATGTTTTGTTAGAAAAAAGTTAGATTAGTCAAAAATAAGACTTTCCTTATTCAATTTTCATTTAATTATTAAAAAAAAGAATTTTATTAACAACTCTGTTACTTCTTTTAGTAATAATAATGGCAATAATCGTTTATAATAAAAACTGAACCTAATACAGTAAAATAACACCGGCACACAAAATAAAAAAAATGGTTTGATTTGACCCAATAGGGATGTATTTTCATGTTGTGAATCTGAATCTGAAGTGTGTTTAGCTCAAACACCCCCAAATCTGAAGTCTTTTAAGCTTCATCCCAAATTTTGCAAAAGTCGCAAAATAATAGTGAAATAGAATTCGAAAAAAATTTTCTTACATTGATCAAGTATGTTTCTTATATATTTTGATACGTTGAATTCGATTCTGAGGTCTATTAGCTGTATCCCTCACAGATCTTGCAAAAAAATGCAAAAAATTACTGAAAATGGCAAAAAATATTGAGAGAGAAAAAATTTAGAAAGAGGTTTTCTAGATTGGAATATTGTAAAAAAATGGAAAACGTGAATCGCAAAAAAAGCCTGGTCGAGTCAGTTGAATTTATTTGGAAGTACATAATCCATATCCATGACATTTATTCAAGATTTTTTGAAATTCACAATTCCATTTTTTTGCGATTTTTTTTCTTTTAATTTTTGGGTAATGAGGCTCAACAGACTTTAGATTCGACTCGATAAAATTTATGAAAACCGTTTTCTAAATTTTTTCACTCATAAATATGATTTTGTGCCATTTTGAACTATTTTTTGAGTTTTTTTTTTGCAAAACTGGGATATACAACTAATAGACTTCAGACTTGAATTCAGCGTATTAAAATACATAAGAAACACACTTGATGGTCAAAAATTTTTTTCTCCCAGTTCTTTTGGGGCCATTAATGTGATTTTTAGCGATTTTTTGCTATTTTTGGTGATTTTTTACTATTATCTATTTTTACAAAATTTGGGGGGATACAGCTTAAAAGACTTCAGATTTGGATTCAGCATATCGAAATACAAAGAAACCTACTTGATTAAGTTCAGAACAAATTTTTTCGAAGTTTTTTGGGTTCGCTAACATGATTTTGGTGCTTTTTCACTATTTTTTGCCATTTACTCAAAGTTTTGAGGGTTTTTGAGCTAAATGGACCAAAATACATAAAACCCTATTTATGTTGCAAATATTACATGTTGTTTTGAATGTCTTGCATTAAAATCCCCAGTACACCTTACAAAGGTGAAATCTAGGTATGCAAAATATACGTAACCCCTAGATTTCAGGTATCAAGGAACATTCTTTGGCTTCATTCGACAAGATTTTTGAATATGTTTGTAATTGTTTTAGATTTATAATTAAGAAATATGAAATAACATGTTTCTCTACGGGAGAAATCATGTAATTGTGATAATCATTATTTGTTTTTTTTTTGTGAATACATTTTATAATGCTGCATGTTAAACTTAAATGGGTTTAGGCCTGTGGGAAATAAATAAATAAATATTAATTACTTTATGTTCACTTTTCCGTCACTACTACTGATTCATTTTTTGCAATTATAATAGAGTCAGTGAAGTATTTGTGAAAAAACAGTGACACTTTTCGCTTGAAAACAAATTCGTAAAATCGCATTTTATAGAGAGATCAAAGGAAATCGCCCTACCACTGTATCAAAGAATTACTATACTCTCTTGTTCATAACACCCTTAATATTTGTTTTTAGGTGCCACCATAAGCGCCCCGCCCACCACGAACACCTCTGGCGGCGGCGGCGGCGACGGTTCCAAAGTCGCGACGATAGCCACCACGGGGGCCTCGAGCAAAATCGTCCACCCCAGTGAAGACATATCCTTGGAGGAGATAAGGTCGCGGTATCCCAAGTATGCGAAGACAATGCCGTTGAAATCGGACGACGGGGCCTCGACGTCGAGCACGGCCGCTTCCGAGGTGAGTAACACAAACGGTAACGCCTCTTCGATTTCATCCGTCGCGATTTTTCAGTTGGCGACGGCTGTGTCGGCGGCGCAACAGGCGGCAGCCCACCAGCAGAAACAGGTGGAGGCGATGAACCAGCAGGCGGCTATGATGCAGAGGTTCCCCGTGAGGGTGTCGGGGCCGCCCATCAGCATGACGATGGGCGGGCCCATAATGGCCCCCATGCGTCACCACCAGATGATACCCGGGCCACCGCTCATAGGAGGACCACTGATGAGGCCGCCCCCAATTTCCATGCCGCCAGGTATGTAAGGACTAGCGTTAAGGCCAGGGGATACCGTAACGTTACATGGATATCGTTAAAATAATCCCACGGACATACCTCATAGATTAGTTAGCATTCGAATTCAGTGGATATTATACAAGAGCGTTAGGAACTTTGCATTTGCACAACACGGACTGTGATTTTGTTACTTTTTTACGTTTGCAGCGGTCGAAACGGAACATCGTTAGGTTTTTTTTTGTTATTTTGCCATATAATTTGTCTACCGACTCGGATAACGACGGACTTTGGAAATGTAACGGTTAATTTTTTACGGGGTGTAACTTGAATGGGGGTCACTTTCAGAAACTTAAAAGTTTATTTCCGCAAATTCCATTGTGAAACCTTTTCGTAATTTTTATACCTTACCGCTGGACAGATCAGTGTAAACTGAAACAACCGTACAAGCCAACGCGAACGCATAACCGATTGGGAACTACGGCGTGCATTGCTATTAATTCTCATCTTTCTTGATTCGTATACAGGTTTTTTTCATAATGTCACACAGAAATTTAAAAATGATGACACACAAACACCGTATCGTCACTTTATAATAGCAGTTTTACTTAACTAAAAAAAAAATTGTCTGTATCTTTCACTATTTAAAACTGTTATAAGGTAATACAACACTGCACTTCATGCAAAAACTCAAGAAATTACAATGTAAATGTAATAAAATTTGATCATTCTCGTTTCACCAAATTAACGGTAGCCATTGGTTTTTTGCCCGCCTAGGACCATATTGTCATATCACGAGATGGATTTTTATTATGTAGTTCACCTAATTCAAGTCAATGTCAGAGATCGTCGACATTGAGATTCACCAACTAAACACAGTGCTTTTAAAAAGTAATGACACACATTTTTTTTTTTTTATTAAAATCTTGTTATTGTAAATAACATTTGAAATCTATCATGTTAACATCTTCATCTATTTTTTTTATTATAAATGTATAAAACGGCAAAAATAACACAAGTCGACAAAATTTGGTCGACCCTCTAACCCAGAAACCAGAATGTACCTACTTTTCCGAAGGATTTTGGTGCGTTGAATTCGAATCCGAGGTTCAAATTTCTCAATTGGCTCTGGTTTTTGCGATATCCTAACCTAAAAGTGCCAAAATAACGTTTTTTTGACATCTTTGAGGTTATGTTACATGGAAAGGTAATTTTTTCGCTGAAACTATTAAAACACACTTGGATTTATCTCGGTCATTTTTCGTCTTTCAAATGATGTTGAAATTTAGTAGTTCAACTTATTTCTCGATTTTTGCATATACTCAACACTGCACCACAAACCTAAATTCATCGGCACATGGAAGTAAAGATCTTGCATGTTTTTAGGATCACTGTTCATGAGAAAATACTCACTCTATCACGTCGAATTTTGCAATAAATTTTAAAAAATGTCTAAAAATTTGATATATGGCCAATATTTTACACATTATATCAATCTGGAAATACGTTTACACACGAAAGAGGCAAATATGCTCAATCCTGAATTCATAATCTCTAAAAATCGAGAAATAAGTCGAACTACCAAATTTCATCATGCGATTTTTCAAAGATGAAAAATGGTATCGTGATAAATCCAACTGCATTTTAAAAAGTAAGTATAGTACTTTAAGACTCCATTTTGGGTTTCAGCAAACAATTTACCTTTACGTGTAACATAACCTCAAATATGTCAAGAAATTGCAATTTTGGCACATTTACGTTTGGAAATCATGAAAACCGGAGCCAATTGAGTAATTTGGATCTCGGATTCGAATTCAGCACACGAAAATCCTTTGGGAAAGCATATTCACCTTGTTGGGTTAAAATCTTTTCGGATTGTATAATTATTTTAGAACGTAAATTCCTTTTTGCTTTGAAATAGTAATTAATTAACACTCTTATCAGTTTCATGCAGTTAGTTTAAAAAGGTAACCACTGACAATAGTGATAATCGCGCACGCACGCAATCGAGGTCGGGAGTTGCCCAGTAACGGCGTAGACAAGAGTGTACATACTTCAAAAATGTATCATAACTCAACTATTTGATTAAAAAATAATAATTTCAGATTTGGATCCTGGGGAGCACCCACATTTTCCTTTAAAAAAACTGACCCACGCTTAAAGTTACACCCTGTATAAGTATAGAGAGTGATGTTATACCAAAACATTAACACGAGAATGTCTTCTACAAATTATGAGCGAAAAGTTTAAGGAGTGATTCTACTCATAGAACAAGTTTCTTAGACCTTTTTTCCAAAGCTCAATAGTAACGGCATTTCATAATCTAACATAATTTTTTTATTAGTGTCTTAATTTTTTTTTTATTTTAAGTTTTTTTTTATTTGATACATTTATTAACGAGTTGTACCTACAAAAAAAAAAATCAAGAGCGTAATGGCACTTTTGATTTGTTCCTCTATTATTCGTATGAATACAATCATACCTTAAATTTTTCACTTATAGTTTTGAGACATCTCGTATAGGTTATATCTCGCCCGCACTCTGTACAAGTATTTTCAAAATAGAGGCGACGTACCGAAATGATCACATATTCGCTTCAGATATGTTTTACGTACCATAATTCTCAGTCTCCGAAGAAGAGTCGATAAACGATAGTAATGACATTTGTCGCATTCATTATGTAAAAGTATATTCGTTTTTATGTTGTACATCATAAGGAATTAGGACGAGTATATTGTATTTTTAAATGGTTATTTTCGTTGATGCCAGAGTAAATGATAAAACGTTCAAAGGAAGGTTATTTTTTTCTTAACTTGCAGTGGAAATCAAGGTTTTGTTATTTCTTCCTGTATATGTAATTTTTATTAGTACCAAGAGACTGAAGCTGAGATTCTTTTTTGTTTATAACTAAGTACGTCGAATACAAACAGACACAACAGTATTGCTTATAGGCGTTTTTTAAAGATTAGTTGTAAATATACTGTACTAAAGTTTCACTAGATAACGCGCTCGCGTTTTGACCTCTTTAAGAGCTGAGGTCCGTTAATAATTTTTCAAATTGATGCAATTTTTAGATCGTGGAATTTGAACTAAAATAAGACGGAAAAGTAGTGGGCTGAAAACAGTGCCTTGAGGTATTCCACATGTTTTTCACTTTTCACTGTTTTTTTTGTGTAAACACACACTCAGTTCTTAAACTGGTCAAGTATTTTAAAAATTAACATAGTATGAACGTAGTTCCTTGTGTTTAGAATTGTAAATATATATATTTTTTTCTTTCAAGTAGATTTGTAATAGATTTCTTTTTTAGTTTATGACTTAACAGAAGTTCTGTCTGTGGACTCTAGCCGTCTTGATTAACTTTCATTTCTTTTTTTTATTATGTTTGTTAGAGGAGATAAAGTAGAGATCCGCGTTTCTTTAGAAGTTTTACATTTTAATCTTTATAGAAGAAAACTTGTGCTCTCTAATGAAGTTCTTAATAAAACCAGTTAACAACTATCTGGCATATTTATTACTTGAGATGGTAGTGATTCCCGCCTTAGTAACTCTTTAGATCCGACGTAATGGGCAATGGAATTAATCGATTAATTTAAATTAAAAAAAAAAATAATGTTACAAATTTTGATAAGAGCGTCAGTAATGATGAGGTTGCGCTTTAAACAAATGATCTATGACCGTAAAATCAGGTACATTGTAATATGTGGCTTAGCGTCAATTTAGTAAGCTACTTTCCGATAATGTCATCAATTACATTCATGGTGAACCTTAAATGCTTATGTAGCGGTACAGTTTGTTGTGTACAACATAATTAAATACACGCACGGCACCTTCGAATCCAATTTTCGCACACTCGGAAAACACCTCAAGAAAAGGAAATAGTGGTACGCAAAAAACACTCCGACACGGTCAAATTCCAGATACCAACTAAATTGCGTATTGCTAGACAGCTTAGTGCCTTGTGTTATCCGCCGCGCTGATGTCACATTGTCGATATGAATTTTATCGAATTTTAAATTTATTACAACGCTGATTATTTTTTAGAATTAAGCATACATGAAGTTGGAGATTTTGATAATTTTTTTCTCGGAAATGGTTGAGTTTAGGACCCATGTCATTCATATAAGGTTTTTTTTGTTTATTTTAATGTATTTTATCGTCTGTTAACATTAAGGCAGTCAAATTTCTAACACCCTGTATATTATTCGGTACAAAAGATTATCCAGTACTAAATGGGAAATGTTATTTAAAGCATGCCTGTACAAAGTCAAAATACGTATTTCTCAATTTACCTAAAATTCGTTATCGCAATAAATTTTTTTTAGTTATTATTTAAATTGCTATAATTTGAGGTTATGTCTTTACTATGAAAATTTATTATACATTTAAGGTTCACCGGTACAAAGGGCACATCCGTATCTACTAAAAACCTCATTGTAAACGACTGTTGGCATATTAATTTTGAAGGATCTACTTTTAATTTTTCTTTAAAATGTGCTGATAAATCAGAATCAAAATTTGTAACATTAAACCTATTTGCTTCATTTAATACCAAAGTGACATTTGCTGGCGATTTATTTTGTTAAAAAAATTTGGAACATGGTATTTTCTTTGATCAGAATTATACCTTTCCAAAAAAAAAAATGTTAATTTTGGTTCTTCTAGATTCTTTTGTTTAACGTTTTTTTCCGTTAAGCTATTAATCTTGTGTTTCGTTTTACTGTTCAAATAACTCGTCAGCAAATACGAGAGAATGATTGTTTAAAAAAAAAAGGTGAAATTAGTTCATAACTTTCTGACTACTGGCATCTTGTGTTTTATTGAAGACAATTCGAGATGGTGCGATCCAACCTATGCCCAGGTATTACTCACGCACTTCTGTGTTGGCATGCCTGCATCAGATATTTGTCACTCGCTTAGTTTTTTTGGCAGTGGTTGGTTTTTTTACTGTCATTTGATTGAACTTATTGCATTTATCATCCTGACTGCGTAATTTATTATACATTTACCGTGTATTCTATTTTTTAATCACTAATCACTCATACCGACTCTATTAATTAACGTAGGTTTGAATATTGTCATTTTGGCGTAGGTAGTGAGCTGTTATCTTGGTACTCCTCTCTTTCGACCTGCGCTATAAGTTTTGCCACCACCAAAAATCGAAATCGGTTAGAGGCCGAGTATATGGAAGATTTCGCCAAGCTTCCACAAAATATTCCACTCTTTCCTCGTTATAAATGTGATGATAGAGTTTGGGGACACTTGGCTTGTAACAGAATTGGATTCAGCTAATTATGATGTTAAATTGTGATGCTAAGTACAAAGAATTCTGCCGTAAACTTAGATGTTTGTTGAATTTAGGGATTTCCTCATAAGTACAAAAAAAAAATCAATAATTTGCTGCCAAAATATAAGAAAATGAAAATCGCAGAGGATGTTATAAGTTTCTTGCAATCACAATGTGAAAACAAAAAATTAAGTTCATACATTTTTTGCAAAAGATTTCCATTATTAAGTTTTTACGTATAAAAAAATTTTTAAACATCTTAAACATCTGAACATTTTTTCCAAAATGTTTTGTACTTTTTTTTTATCACAATACTAATGAATTATATTTTTCACATCATCAAATATGTAAAATTTTTCATTTTACGAATTGGTTCATCAATACTTTCATATCAGACACAAATTTAACAATGAGGATACACAAACACATGAAACCATCACTAAATACTGTGCTATTTTGATGCAAGTAAAATTATACTTCATGTAACAAATCGCGAAGTTGGCTCTTCTCGTTTCGCCGAACTAACTTTGGACATTTGTTTTTTGACCACTAGTGCCCTGTTGTCACATCACATCACGTGGATTGTTATTATGTAGTTCACCTAATTCAAGTTTATGACAAACATTTTTTTTTATTAAAAACGAAATGATTTTAATAAATATTCAAAATCTATCGAATTAGTGAGTTTCCTTTGCATTGACATACAAAAATATGGTGATTTTTAATATAACACTTGCCGAAAGTTATACAAAAGCATTCTATTTTTACAAAATTACTTCTCGTTGCATTAACAAGCAACAAGAGTTATGGAGCTGCCCAGTGATGTTATAGACAAAAATTAAATTGCAGTTTAAAAAACAAATAACTTGACTACATGTGGAATTAAAAAATATATACAGTGCGTCTACTTTTATTTATGCACATATCCGTAAAAACTTTATTCTTCAAGATAATTCAACAAAATTTGTTTTATTTTAAATGGCATTTCACTTGGCGATTTTTTTATTTAAAATCTGATAAGGCGGTGTTAATCAGGACCCATGTGAAATTTAAAAAAAAACTACGACTTTTAAGGTGGCGATTGCTGCTGTTTTTTTTCAAATTTAACATGGGTCCTGATTAACACCACCTTATCAGATTTTGAATAAAAAAAAGTTAGATGTACCTACTGTCTCCAAATGCGGAACAATGACCAACGGCCTTCGTTTCGTCACCGTTGACCCGCACTATCTCCCTTCACGTGCACTGTAGGTTGCCTACAATTGATGTATTTGTAATTGTTGCGATTGTAACTTTCTGCAAACATTTAGAATAAATGTTGACTGACCACTATGAACGTCTAGTGAACAAGTAAAATAACAACCAGGTGAATGATTTTGTTACAAGTCTAAAGTTCCAGAACTTTAACGGCAGAGTAAACCACATTAAATTTTGGGTATTTTCAAATTTACAAACTTATAGTACAGGTCACAAGTTAGATTCGATTAGAGAGCAGTAAAATTCTTCCTTTAGCTATGAAATTGATTTAAAGAAAATCGACACTATTTTGTAATGTGTGGTTTTTGTAGATTTTTTATTAGCTGTGTGTCCCGATTGCTAGGCTTAATAAATAATCAATGTTTTTCTTTGACTATACGTTTATATCCCGAGCAAGGTAAGTATCCATGTTAGTTTTAAAAAAATTTGGGCCCTGTAACTTGACAAAATAAAAAAGGAAAGGAGAGAAAGGAGCGAAAAAATGACAATATTCAAAGAACTCCATGTCGCGACAGGTCACATGTTAAAACGTCCTGTTCAACATTGTTTTTTTTGTCGCTAGGTATGATTGGGATGCCCCCAGGGATGATGTACGGAGCCCCGATGTTCCCGACTGGCCCCGTACTGATGCAGCCCCGTTTTAGATGATCTCCGGTGTATCTTGTGTACCATCCGCAAGTCTAACTAAGTTTAACATCTTTTTCATCTATTAATCGCTTAAGATTAAAAAAGTTATAATTTTTGTTCCGTTCACTTGTTGACTGTTGGTTCCAGTACATTTTTGAGTTAAGCGTTAGGGAAAGAATTGATAAAACGTAAAGATTCAAACTGTTTGCATGATTATGGACAAATTTGACTTGTTTCCTCCGCTACATGTGTATTTACATTTGTTTTATTTTCGACAGGTTTGAAAATGTACAAACTATAACAAATACCTGCCGTCACGGTATGTAACAATTTTTATTTTTTATCGGATTAGAGGGAAACTTCCTTCCTAAAAGGTTGGTCCATTTTTATTTACATCATATAACCGATTTTCCTTTTAGAGCACGAAAATTAACTGTTATTTTTCTATCCGTCGAGATGTACGGATTTTCGCCCAAGAACAAACTGTCAAAATTCAAAATTTATATCAAAAACTTTTTTTTGCTGAGTAAAAATTTACGTATTCAAAATTTTTGAATCTCAGCAAAAATAGAGAAAATGATCAAATTTGGTCAGCGTGGGACTCTCGCTTTTAGGGGATAATTTTTAGGCTCAAATAAAGGATTTTTGTGATGAAAAAATTTCTCTTAAAATTGCAGGAGTTTGAAAAATTGAATATTGGTATCAAATTAAAATTTAATTAGTTGTAACCACAAAGAAAATAAAATTTTGTGAAAAATAAAGAAAATACACATTTGTTCTCTTGATCTATCTATTTTCACAAAGAGTGCTTTGAAAACAAAACAAATGCAATTTTGACAGTTCAGTTAAATTTTCATGGTAATGTCAAAGTTCAGATGATTAAGAGCGCAATTTTCACATGAAATGAAGCCAGATATTCTTCAAATTAATTAATCGACATGTTTGGAGCATTTCTCGTTCTTCATGCAAAAATTGCATTTTTATTTCATTTAAACTTCGAGTGTCAAAGGAATCTTAACCGAACTGTCAAAATTTTGCTTGAAGTAACAATCGGATGTTTTGTTTTCAGAGCACTTTTTGTAAATGTGAATAATTTGATATCCAAGGTAGAAACGAAGCATATAATGGTTCATCGTAACCAGGAAAATGTGAAAATGCAGTCTTGTCAGTAACGTTGATAAAAATTTGCAGGTTTTCTTGATGACTCGAAAACAATTATCCTCGTCATTCTGTTCACTATCAAATTCCATAACTTTTGCCGAACTTTGTCTCTTCATTCGTAGAGCGAGCCACCTGTATTAATAAGTTTTATTTTGCAAATTTTCGTTTGAAATTTTACAGTTGAATGTTTTTATGTAGGGTTAGAAATTATCCCCTAGATCGTAACTTTTAAAATCGATAATGCAAACGACATGTTTCCTTTTACGTTAAAAGCGAATTTTGACAGTTTTTCAATAATTTGGGCCAGACATTCAGGTTTGTACAATTATTTTTTTTACCTAATTTTAATAGTTTCAAGGTAAGCATTGTTGTCTATACATTTCCTTTAAAAAAAAAAAAAATAATGAATAACGAACACTCAAAATCATTTGTTTATATTTACGGTTGGTTTTAAAAAAATTTAAAACTGTTTTGTGGATTCGCCAATGTATTACAAAAAAAAGGTAGGTTTTAGAGATATTAGATAAATAATAAAGATAATCGAGTAGTATTGTCGAGACCCCATTATAAATATAAAATTGTGGAAAGGTACGGCGACTTTTGTTTTTCTCTATTTGACTTAAATGGTGTATGGTTTACATCCGAATAAATTTTCATATAACCCGACGGATCCCGATCGATGCAATTATATGAAAATTTACCATGATTTACAAAAAAAAGAGGGATTTGTAGAACGACAGGCGATCGACTGTCACAGCTTTGCAGCTGTTGGATTGGTGTCGCCCCCTGTATGATACTATATTAGGATGCGGCGTCCCATCTCAGGAAAAAGACATCTAATCGTTCGCTTATGTACGGGGTGTTCCAGAAAAGTAGGGCAGTCTCGCAACCACAGACTCCCGGGATCAAAAATAAGATGATTTCGACAAACTTTCCTTTATGTGAAAGTGCTTAGTTTAAATTACATTTTTTTCTGGGATGACCCCTGTAATTTTGCATTAGTTTTTCGACTTACCGTTGCATTCCATCTTAATATATTAATTGTACAGGTGATGTTTGGTCACAGCGCTTGGGCGGGCGCAATCGGTGCCGCCGTGCTGTTGGGCCCACCGGTCCCCTGTCAGAATAATGTGGCTTCAAACAGGCGATTGTGCCCGGTCCGACCGAGTGCAATCACAGGCCTACGCCTGTTGGACCAGATCGAACAATACCGACCTCTTTGCATTTCGGTCGACACACGTTCGGGAGAGGTTTATTTTTTGATCTGGACCCCTGTGACTACACCGCAGTAAATGTATTTATATGTTCAGACGTAGTTTCCTTATAATATTGTAATGTATCTTTTTTGTTTTTATAAATAAAGGTTTATTTAGAAAACGCTGAGGTACAGGTCGTGTTGGCGAGCCAAAACTAGAGGACTGAAGTTTTTTGGCTCTCCGATGCGATCTGTATCGGTTTTTCTTTTGCCTGTCGGTGGATTTTTATTCCGAATGCCGCACTGAGTAGCGGGCACGATAGTTTGCACAGAGTTAGAGGAAATATGTGTTTGAAAATATTTTCGATGTGGAGAAATAGATGTCGCTGCACCACATAATTTTGGACGTTTCAGTGACGACATAACGAGTATGATTTATTTTTATGGTCGCTTGCACTATCGGAGATTACTTATCACGTCGAATAGAAAGAAATTTTGCACTTCATTAAATTTAACTTATCAAACTCATTGACACTGTCGGCAGTGCTATTTCAGATGATTTGTGACGGTTGACAGGATCAATCGGTGGAAAGCGTTTGAAGTGGCAGGTGAAGCATGCCTGTTAAAAGTTGTATTGATAATATTTTGCGATAACGGAGACGACCATTGTTTTTATTATTTGCAAATTTGAGAATGGCTGATAAAAGAGTACCGGTTCCGAATTTCTCAACGGCGGAAAACTTGAAAGTCTTACAACTTGTAAGGAATTACCAGAATATTGTAATGTAAGATTGATAAAGTGTTCCAGCAGGAATCAGGAGAAGCATAGAAAATGTTAGAGGGGTGAAGCTAGTCTCACATCACTTGACTTAGGGCATTTGCAGGCTTATCATGCGCGATTTGTTATGTCCATTACGTGGTTTTAAGTATTTGTAATTTTTGAAATTGTATTATTTCCAAAAAAGAATTTATATTCCTGATCAGACATAATTCCTTTTACTCCAGTCGAATTTATGTAGATTAAAAAAATCTGCAAGCTTGAGGGAAGGATATAATGATAAAATATGAATAAAGTAATTCGAAGTTGGCAAATTTTACATATTTTTCACTTTTTTGCTGCCCACGAAAATCTAGACGACCTATCGGAAAATTGGTTATATTGTAGACGACTAAAATACTTAAACAATTTAAGGTACCTATCTAAAGTCGTATTTCACCAATTTGTTAACTGTAAAATAAAGAACAAATGCAGAAAAGTTTTCGATAATTGCACTGAACCAAATTTGGAAACGTTCAAGTCAAAAATCTCGTTTGCGACGAGAGCAATGTTCACGCGCATGCGCGGGCCCGGTGCTCCTCCCGCGTGTAGACGATTCATTAACGTTAACGTTTACTTATGCTAACGCGTTTATTAAATGTACTAGCAATGTAAAACTTTGTGAAAATGAAAGTTTAACCATTTCTTTAATTGTCTCTAAAATCCCAGTCTGATACGTCTAATAGTTAATTAATAATTAACATATAAAAAATCTATCTTCGGAACAAAGAGGCGTAGGTGATTTCTCCCTTTTTTTTTAATTACCGTAATAATAATATCTATATAATGCAAAAAGAGCGAATTCCCGAGCGGCGTTTGCCTGACCTTGGGACAATTTGTTTATAACGCCGTTTTGCACGATCTACTTTGTAAGTTGTGAAGAGCTACTTATTTTCAACTTTTTGAAATTTTCTTTTTTCAATACGTTTGTTTGGAATTAGAATCTATATCTACGATATTAAAGTTCTAAAATTAACGTTTAGTAATTAAATAATTAGGTACTTGCAAGAAAACGAACGAAATTAATTAACAAATACCTGGAGCAACAATTTCATTGTAAGTCAAATCGGTCTTTGACACACATGTTGGTCTTTGGATTGACCGTCTTTTCCATAAATTTCATCAACATCCATCGCTTTTTTCAATAATAATGCGCAATTTTCGAAAACTGATTTTTCCGCATTAAATCATTATTTTATAGTTAACAAATTGGTGAAATATCACTATAGATACCTTAAATTGTAGGTAATTTAATTATCTACAACATAAAATGACCAATTTTCTGACAAGTCGTCTAGATTTTCCTAAGCAGTAAAAAAATTTTTTCGCGTGCGATTTGTATCCTAGGTCACGTGACTGGCCAAATTGCTGCCGCTTTTGCAGTTCATCTTGGAAGAATTACAATGCACAAACAAAGTCGGCTTTGGCTCAATCCTCCGTATTGTCAAATCTATGGGTTGAACATTCGGAATTTGTGCATCTTCAATTAAATAATTTAGTCTGAGCTCATCTAATTCCTCTGTCATTAGAGGAGCATCAACCTCGCCCATATTTAAGGCAATATTAGCAAAATAACGCCTGAATTGTCAAGCCATATGCTAATATAGACAATCTTTAAAACACCAAGCGACCTTCTACTGTGGTTCTAGCGCTGATGTGGTTTTCATTATACGGAAACATTTCTTTCTAGATTAAAATTAAATTAGGATTCATATTTATATAATTTATTTACCTACCTAATTCCTGTCACTTACCAATTCCAGAAGCGATTTTAGCATAAAGAAATAGATGAAAAAGTTGGGAAACTGTTTTAAAAAATGTGCTAATGCCAAATAACAGAAAAGTGTATTGGGAAAATGGTGATGAGACGAAAGTAAATCATATTTAGGTTTTTTAAAAGTTACAATATCGAAATATAAGCGTAAAATAAAATAAACTACTACTGGACTTTTATTGGTGACGTAACAATAATAGTGCAAGGTTTCGAATAATTTTAGGTTCAGGAGAGCAGATCCAAACCTGATGAAAGAGGCTGACGAACATCTAAGGATTTCTTTTTATAAAATTTGGTTAAACAATAAATTTTAAAAAGTTTTTGAATGTTTGTAATTTAATTCGACTGCTGAAAGGTGGTAGTTTATACAGAAAGTTATATAAATAAGAAGTTCTTTAACTTTTACATCGCTAAATAAATAATTAGTCCATATTTTCCGAAAATTAATAGAGGAAAAAAACCTTTACTCATTTACATCGATTTATAAATATTTTTTTAGTACTTTCGAAGCGGTCAATGCACAAGTCATAAAAATAGGTATTTAAGTTAAACAATTTGAACTATGTCGTTAATATATAAACAAATTAGTTGCAGATTCTTATTCCGTACACGTGATGCGTTTTTGTGCATTTTGAAGTGTAGGTAGGTACTTGAATTTTATTTTTGCTATATCCAATCTTTCCTATCATTAAATTTGCTAAAAATAATCAAAGAAGGTTATTGAATCTTGCCAATCCTATTTTGTTATTTGAGAAAATTAGTGAAAAAGTTGACAAACCAAAGCCAACCCTGTTTGGCCAAGACAATGTAAAAACTATGCGTTTTAAACGATGAAAACTCCAAGTACCTTGTTTTTTTTCTCCCAAATAGTGTCTGATCAAGCCGGACAAGTCAACAAAGATCTATAATCTCATAATCGCCTATCTTATCATTAAAATTTACAAGTATTTCACGAAATGGATATCAGAGTTTACATCTGATTTACTTAACGTGTAGTACATGCTGTTTTATAACCAATTATACCGATATTTTCCCGATAATGTTCGACGTAATTTACGAAATTACTTTTTATCATCTTGCAGAAACAGTGTAATAAAGTGTTAAAATTTGAGTGATAGGTTTAGGTATGTGATTTTTTCTTCGTTAAAACCGTAAGTTTAGAAATACACTTTACCGCAGCTTATATAATTCATGAAGAATTAATGTTTCTGTGCCGTATTAGATATTAATTACGGTTACGATTACAAACACACTAATCTAAGGTAGATATGTTTGATAGATGAGTCTATAAAATAACAATGTACCTGAGCATGTACTATATATTGTAGAAGCAACAATAAAATGCCGTGTCAGGTGAAAATTAATAATGTAACAATGTAACGTAACGTTAAATTAGATACATGGTGTGCGCTGATATCTTGAATTGTTTTACTCTGCTTTATTTTTTGATATGAAAAAACATGTCTCTCGTGCTTTAATATTTTATATTTATGGTCTTCTAATCCACCGGTGGTTTTATCAAGTTTTACTGTGTTGGTTATTTATAGTTTATCACAAATAGCTAGAAGGAATTCATTGTTTGTTGACAATCACGAATAAATCTATTAAAAAGTCATGTGCTGAATGTAAAATTGGATATTTGGGTAATCTAGTATGCGCGCGTCGTGTTCAAATGGTTAATATATGCGAGGAAAATATTGCGGGGAATTTATATGGTAAAAGTGTGTGTTGGAATTATTTTAGATAGAGACAGAGTACAAACGACGTGGCGTTTTTAAAAAACAAAGTACCTAGCCTGCCTCAACATGAAAATAATTCTGAAGATGTACAAAAAAAGAATTTATAACTTGATGAACAACTTAAGTGGAAGTAGTATTCTGTATTTCCTGAAATGTAGGCGTATCATGTCCCACACTGGTGGTATATCCTTTAAAAACCACAAGCATTGTTACCTGATCTAATATTATATTATTTTCACATATGAATGAAGATAAATAACAAATATCGGCACACTGTTTCTGGAAATATTACTCACGATTTAGTGAATTTATAGTGAACAACAATTAAATTTAATCGAATGATGAAATTAAGTGGATTTTTGATTTGGGTTTGTCCAAAAAGTCCTAACATTAATTGAATTATGCAAACTCTAAAATTTATAGGTCATTAATGTATCGAAAGAGATGTATTGAATGAAGTTGACGTTATACAGGGTGTCCCAAAATTCCGCGTACATGGAGCTGCCACAATTTCCAAAATAAGCAGATTTAACTAAACTTTTACGGAGCCCAACAAAATTAAGTTTAGTGAAAAAAATGGGGGTCAATTACTGCGGACTATTTTTTATATTAAAGTAAAAGTATTCAACTACAACATGTGTAAATTTCGGAACTTAATATTAATAAATGAGGCCGTAGCAGATTTTTGAAAAAAAAATTTTTTTCTCGGCTTCTGCTGGTCGTAGGACATTTCTTTTTTAAATTTGCGGAAATATGTCAGCTGTCAAATGGCAATAATGTCATTCCGATTAAATTTCGACGATAAGAAAAAGATCTACATTTTTCGACCCGAAAAAAGAAGTCGAAGTTTCGGTCAATTTTTCGCATATTTTCAATTATTTTGTAATACGCGCACAATTTGCACAGGAAAGTCCAACTCTTAGAAAAAATTTTAAGCCCAAGATGGGTCACGTAAGTGCATTACTGTATGATTTATTGAAACTTGAAAAAAATGTCTTCTCGAAAAACTCAATTTTTGCAAAAACTATAAAATATTTTACAATTTTACAAAAATGCACTTATTCTACTTGCCAAGGACTATCTAATCTAAAAGTTTCGTAAAAAAATCTTTTTTCGTTTTAAAAATATAGAAGTTTAAAAAAAAGCGAATTTTAGCCATTCATTTGCAATAACTAATACATTCATTTATCAATTGACATCGGGTTGGACTCAAAATTTTTGTTATAAAAAGTTCTACAACTTTTATCTAAAACACTTTTTTAATTGTTTAGTTATTTTTTAACGAAAAAAATTGTTTTGTGAACTTTGGGCGCCATTTTGACTAATATTCGGCTGGAATAAAGTAGTTCATTAAATTCTACGGAACTTTTCCTTATTTTTACTTTAAAAGAAACAAGGACCAATAATGTATAAAATTAATAATAAAGTTTAAAGAAATAGAATTCAGTTGTTTTCTGAACAGACCCCATATTTGAAAAAAGCATTTTTTTCCACATTGCAACCTTTAGCCGCTAAACGAGGCAACTTAGTATAGAGCTAAGTTTTGTTAAACCTGCTTATTATTGGGACACCCATACGAAATTGCAAGAAAAATATCTTACTTTTCAAAGAATTTTACATTCGAAATCATGAGTGTTTTGACCAGTTCACATTATAGTTTTATTTCCTTTCACAATATTGTATGCACAATGAACCATGAGCACATGGTTAGCATTTTTAAAAGTTCCCAGTACACAATGACGTATTTTAATAAGAACACTGAAATTCCCTGCTCGTCACATCTTGTTCCCGGTTGAACGTCCATTGAAAAAGTACCCCTGTCTCACTAAAACCACTTATTTTTTATTTAAAATTCCTTACGACCTCCAATGTTGATAATCAGAATTGATTTCATAGATAATTGGTGTAGATAATCAAATTACTCATAATACAAAATGTAATTTACTTTCAATAATTTATCGTAGCTTCCACATTCCTTAAACAATGGCTGAAACCACTCAATTCGTATCGAGGATAAGCGTTAAGGACCTCATTTCAGCTTTCGAAAGCAAAAGCGAGACTGTAAGGGTCGAGTTTTCCAGACCAAGAGCGAGATCTTTTGGAAACGTCCTTAACAAAAACGTAATAGTCCGCATTAATGAATTCGTCACGCTGGAAGACGTAGAAAAGGGCCTGATAAAATTAGAAACAGACTTGAACTTCTACGAAGTATACAACAAGGCCAAGCACGTTGCTTTTCAAGAACAATTTTTCAATATATTGACGAGCATAGCGAATATTGAAAACGACGATGAAGATGCACCGACGAGGAAGAAGCGGTTGATATCAAGGACACAGACTTTGGTTTCCTTCTTGAACCAGAAACTACCAACAAACATAAATCAAGTCATAGAAACTAAACCAAGCAATCAGTACAAGTATACGACTTACGCTGATCACATTCAAGCGAGTCCAAAGAGCGAAACAAAGACTTTGAGGTCTGTGGATACGCAATCAAGTACTGACTCAAGTGCGCAACCAAAGTTATATGTGGAAAGCAACAGTACTCTAGATGTTACAGACTCAGGCGAAGAGTACATCGTTTCTGTGAAGAAGCTCAAAGAAACTTTCCAACACCAAACTAAAACTGAAACCGACGGTCCACCAAAACAGGAGAGAGTGGTCAAAGTCAACCAAAAAGTCGCCGTGACCAAAAGCGTTACCAGAGAACGACCAAAGCCAGAAGAGAAAAAAATCGAAGAACAATCTACGGAAGAAGTAGAGAATAATAGAATCTTCGGAGAAAAAGTCGAGTCTGTCTCAGTCACAAAGCTACGTAGTCTTTTCGAGCAAAGATCCAGCTCCAGGGGCCTCGAAATCATAACAGTTGAGAATCACCAGCTGACAAGAGATAATTTCGGTGGATCTGTTCAAAATATCAGCGATATCCCGTATACGGAACGAAACTTGGGAAACATCAGGTTGAAGAGGTCAGTTTCAGGGAATTACATGAATTACAGCGGACTACTGAAACGCGTTGATATTAACCGAAGCAGTAGTGTTTTAGAGCTCAGTCGAGAGAATAGCAGAAGCAGAACTGTCATCGAGAATAACTCGGAAGAGGAATCGACTGCTGAGAGCGACGTTGCTTCGGAAAATGAAGATGAATCCAACAGGATTGAAGAAATTTCGACAGGTAAGATTAGTCTTGCTTATAAACTAAACAAGTTATAAAATAGTATATAGGCAATTATTATTATTAATGGCTTAGTCTAAGTGTAATAAAAATACAGTACTTTATTTATTGATCATCTTAATCGAACTTAGTCAACTCAGATGTCCAGTTTCTACTTTTTAAAGACGTAATAAAGTCGATTCCTTCCTCTCTTAGCTTAGTGTATTGTTTTTCATTACAGATAACCAGGAACCAGTTGAAAACAACTTAGAACAACACGTACACGTACATAATATTATAAAGGAGTTCGAGGATATTCGAGCAAAACATGCTTCTATTGTAGGTAAGACAGACTGATGAACTATTCAAATTCGAACAGAATTAGTATTTTTATAATTGCAGATTGGAAAGAAAATAAAACGAAAGACACCGTTCCAAATGGTAAAGCCACATTTAGTAAGTTCTTTTACGGTTTTTATGACTCTTTAGTTTATAAAGCTTTGCCTTTCAGCTTCCGAAAGGGACAACTATAACGCAGAAGAAGAACATGTTTCAAATTTGCAAGGGTTCGAGGAAGAAGAAGTTAATTATTCTGAAGCTAGTACAGGTAAAATAGTAAGTATTTTAATAAACAGACATACAATTAACTCCTACTTTTGTAGAGGATGTTATTAAAGATGAGATAAAGACAAGAGAAGAACTGACTTTTAAAGGTGTTGATGAAGTAGAAGTAAGTGGCGGAATGGCTGACAGTAAAAATATACGAGAGGAAGAAAATATCGCAACACTACAGGTAGATGCAGAAGACGTGTCGCAGCCGATATCAACTTCAGGTAAGTGTTAGATATTTCATGAAATTTGTTTTGAACTAGTTCAAAGTAAGATAATGTCATTTACCCAAGTAATTTATTGATAAACATCTTAAGCGTTTATCTGTATTAGTCACCTAAAAAGTGACGTATTTAATTACGATTTTTGATATCTCGACAGACAATCCTGAAAAGGTTGAGATTAACGAAACTACCCACGAACTGAGCTTTGAAGGTTACGACGAAGAAGAAGTAAACCAAGGAACAACTTCAATTAAAAATGTTCACGTTGAAGAAATTGTTGCAAAGTTTGAAGCTGCAACAGATGATCTATCACAATCCACATATACGTCAGGTAGATCTCCTTGTTCTAAATAACAATACGTTGTACAGTAACACATGCAAATAAGGCAAACTGAAGATAAAAAATCCCTTTTGTTTGTTTCAGAAATCGAAATGAACGATGACCAAGGTGAAGACAATACAAACAAATTAGAATCGAATGAATACCACGTTAGCCAAGGTAATATATCATTTCAAATGAATTAATAATGGATTAGGTACTCACACACACGCGTTATCTTAAGGCCATCTTTTTTATAATAGATTAATTTATACCAGGATAGAGATAATAAGCAATATTATATGAGAGTGTAGCTAAACTAATGCAAAGAATTAAAGGGTCAAATTTCCGAAAATTTTCCGTGATTTTTGACAGACTATTTAGGTAAAAATGGTCGTATCGGAAATTAAAAAAAAAGCATTTCGAAGCTTTAAGATTCTAGTTTTTAGATCTTTCGGTCGAAATTTTTTAGGAGTTACGGTTATCATGCAATTTTAAGAAATAGGGCGACAAAAAAATTTTGCAAATTTTTTTTTATTATTTTCCACGTACTTGGAATTTTTTTTTTCAGCTAAGCCATTGCACGGAGCAGATAGCTTGTTTATTCAGCTCCAATTTCCTTTTTTTTTAAATTTCGATACGACCATTATTCATCAAAATATCGGACTTTCAGTCATCGATATCTCGACGACAAATGGTCGTACAGACAATTGAAGAGCAGTTTCGGAAATTGGAATAAATTTCCTAAAACATGCTGCCGACATTTTTCGGAAAAAAGGTAACTTATGATTTTTTAGAAAATTGATGGCTAAATTAGAAATATTCACGAAATGACTAATGTTAAGCATTATTTTTACATTTCGACATACCCAGAAGAACCCTGTAACGTTTCATCTCGATCTAGTAAACCGTTTCTTTGTTTCAAAGTCAAACTTTTGAAAAAAATTAAAGGGTCACGTGTTTTGAGCTTAATTAATAAATTTTTTGAGCTAATAGCGTTGTTTAAATGAAAAAATGTTTTTTTTTGAGGTTTTCTCACATTTTTACCGCAAATAACGTTTAAAGAAAAAGGATAGTTTTGAAAATGAACTGCTTTTAAGTGATTACAGACTACAAAAAAATTAATTAGAAATTTGTCTCGATTGAATTTGTATGAATCGAAATCTGGTTGGGTCATCAACTTCAATTGTAATTTAAGTAAAAGTTGATGAACAGAAGCACAGGACGGAATAGCCGAATCGTGTTGGAAACAATTGGATTTTGTTTTCTTCAATGTCCGGAAAGTTTTCCAAAAAAACAAAAAAAAATTTTTTCCAAGTCCGTAGAAAATTGTAATATTTTTTTGTCGCGCTATTTCTTAGAATTGCATGATAACAGTAGCTCCTAAAAAATTTCGACCGAAAGATCTATAAACTAGAATCTTAGTGCTTCAAAATACTTTTTTTTAAATTCCGATACAACCATTTTTCACCTAAATACAGTCTGTCAAAATCACGGAAAAATTTTGGAAAATCGTTTGACCCATTTTGCATTAGTGTATTTCGAAAAATCATTAATTCATCTTTCCACAAATATACGTCAAAATAAAGTGTATTGTCTCGTACATTTTTCTCTCATTTCAGGGGCTGAAGAACAAATTAGTGAAAACACTGAAGATAGTTCCATTTTTAGTAGTTTGCATGGTAAGATCGTACTTGAAAATACAGGGTGTCTCAGTTTTATTCTATGAGACTTCGAGATAGTACAATGGAAAATAATGGTACTTTGTCAAACTTATTTCGAAAATAGGGTGTTAATAATTAAAAAAAAAATCATTTACTGTAAATATCTTCTGAAATAATAGAGGTATTTGAATTAAATTTGGTGTACGTTATATCGGCGCAAGTTTCCATAAAATACTGCTCCCGAAGTCTCATAAAAAATAGAATAAAACTGAAACATCATATATTTTTTTTAATGACTTCCGTAAGAAGAAACTTTACAACTTTTATTACTATACTCCAAGTCCAAAATAGTGACTCATTTTCAACCTTACACCCTTAGGAAAGGCGTGAGGGAAGAGATTCCATGGGCGTATCATTTTAGAGGGTTCTAAAAATTATTAAATATAGAACAACAAATAGACTACTATTTTGCACCTGGGGTATATAGATGTTCCCAATTCAGGCTGCACTCATGTTAATTGTCTTTTTCCTTTTAGATTTGGAAGACGAGAGGGAACAGTCGCTTATTGACGAGGTTATAGAGAAAATCGACGTGGAACAAACTCTAGCTAACGCAGACTTGGTAGTAAATCCGGAAGATCTTATAAACGCCGACGACGAATTCGAGAAGCTTTTAGAAAATTCTCAAAGTGGCAAATAAAAACATTACTCTACAAACAAACTAATTTTAAGTAACAAAAAAGTGTTTTACATTTTTACTTACAATAAATTACCCTGCTGGGTGTGTTCTATGCTAGAAACACCCTGTATCCTATTTATTACCATTAATTGGCTTTCATTTTTTTTCTAAGATAAGAATAAGATTAAAACTAGCGGTGACGTGTGGATATTTCGCATTTCATAGGAATCGGTAGTTGTAAATAAGTTAATAACAAGCCAATTACGATAAGAATTGTTAATTTTACGAAAGCAAGGAGCAGTTGACTAATTAAGATGTAAATGCAGCGTAGCTTACAAAATAAACTTGTGGCAACCACAATAATTAAATTTATAATTAACTCGGATGCGCAGCTGGCTTCACAGGAGTTTCTCTGCATATATTAAAAAAAAATAGGCTACCTATATAAACTGTGTATAAAATATAATTTACATGCGTAATTTTATTCTTCGGCTATTGGGTTTCGTTTCTATTTCACAATTTTTATTTCAACAATATTTTAAAAGAATTTCGTGCTCTTATGTTTGTTCAGTTGACATAAAAAGATATAATGACGTTAAAATAACCTGTTGCAAAGTCATACAAAAGTAACTTGTTTTTCAAAATTGCCACTGCGATAGTTTCATGCAATTGGTTTAAAAAGGCAACAACCGGCAATACTGATAAATGCGCACGTACAACAGGGAGTTCAGGGTTGCCCAGTAACGGCGTAGACAAGAGTGTAATTCAAACTATTTAATAAAAAAATACAATACTAGGTTATTAGTGTGGAGAATACCTATGTACTATTACTTCTAAAAAAGAAACATCTCTAGAGTTATGCCATGCACACAGGGTGTTTTCGAAAAAGGTTCCATAAATTTAGTAGCTCATAGAGTATCAAGAAGCAAGTATTTTTACATTTGACCATGGTTCTTGTTGAAATTCCTCTAAACTTGCCGTTTTTCAGAGAAAAACGCAGTTGACTGTAGTAAAGTCAACTAGTTTTCTTAGTACGGGTAAACCGAATTAACTTCAGCCCTGTGGGCAGGATGAGCAGTGGTAAAGTACTGGAATAGGGAATGGAAGGAACTCTTTTTTCTGTTTTGTGGAAGGAACTATGGGTTATAAGTTTTTCCGAAGTCAATTGAAGAACCAATAATTTCAGGGTATGTACCAGGCTCGGTCGCTAAGCAGCAACTTGGCATTGAAATATTTGAAAATTGTTTTTACTATCTAAACACCTTAATTTGGAACTCTACCTCTGTGCCAGAATGCTAGAATTAGAAAATGAATATCGTGTTCCGTCACTCAAACAGTTTGGGAAACCCTGATCTGGCAGATGGTTAAACACTAAAAATTAAACACACTCAAAAACCTACTTGTAGCAAATTTCAATGCACGTCATTATTTTTTGGAAAATATATAGCTAAAATCTAAAACGTGAATTAAAAACACCGTCTTTAACACCCTGTATCTCAAAAACAAAAAAACAATGGGAAGAAAAGTCTTATTTTTTGAAGTTCTATTAGCTCTAATTCATATTTATTATTATTATGACGCAATGTTGATTTGATTTCATTGAATTGATGTCCCAATATATCAAGTTTCATTTCTATCAATACGATTCTTATCATATCGTATATTGAACGCGTATAACTTTATTATACAGGGTGTCTCGCGGTGACGGCATATTAGAATTATTTCAGAGACTATTTCGATTTGAATTTTGAAAATTTGGGATACCGTGTTTTCGGGCATCCCCTTCTCAACTAAAATAACGGCGTCCACGTACCACTACCGGTTATACCGGAAGTCGCCATCAACTTTCTTATTTTAAATGGAACACCCCATATATTATTGCAATTTTGGATTTTACTTGTTATTTTAGGTGGACTTTTATGAAGTTTCCCTATTCCTAAAATTAACCGTTTTCGAAATATTTAATTTTTTTCAAAAAAATGGAGAGAAACAGTGACTAGCTACAAACGACGTGTATTTTATAGTAAGAAAGATAAATCAACAATACTTATAGGGTGGACAGCTAGACCCCTAAGCTTCCCATCCATACTTTCAAAGTGGCTTAACTGCGTACAGGGTGCTAGAAATTTGATGCCGAGTTTAGTTAACTTCAAACCTTCATAAGTCGTTTTTTTTTAAATGTATGTATGTTTTTCTATATTCTGATACACAATTTTACTCTTTCGAACGGTATCAGGGTTTCCCATACCTATCTCTTCTAGTATTTTTTGTGTAATCACCTAAAATCATGTAATTTCTTGCGAGGATAGCTAATTAATTATCTCGTCGCCGGACGGGTGTTGAAATAATAAAAATTACTTTAAAAAATGATGTATTAATCAACAAGAAGCGAGTTCACAATTACACGTTAAATTTCACACTGAATAGAATAAGCGAAGCAGTTCTTTTATATAATAAAATAAAGTATTCTCAGCAAAAGATAAGGAAGCTGACTTTTGTATCTAGTTATTACAGCAGAGAAGTTAATGATACCTGGAAAATAAAACATGAACATAAAAATAATATATACTGGGTGATTCAGAACTTATCCAAAAAAAAAATTCTGGATGTACAGGGGACCCTTACAAATACAATTTTGTAAAGAAAAAATCAAAAAGGGCAGTTCGAAAATGATTTAAAAATACACTTCTGCACGGCACTGGAAACNTCCAAGTAAAACTGAAGAGGTTTGATGTTAGTTAGCCGGCAGGGCCGGAAGGTACTGGAGTCCGATACGGGAGGCAATCCAGCTATGAGTTGAGATTTCGGAAGATCTGTTTTAGCAATTCTTTTTTTGTATTTAATTATTCTTTTTACAGATTCATTCCTCACGGGCGAAAATGTTAGTAAATTCAACAAGGCTCTTATATGCGTATGACATAAAGTGAGTACAAGAAACGCTTTATTACTTGTTTTTCGAACAACGTAATCATGTCGAAACAAGTTAAATGTGAAACAAAGGAGTTGTTGCAATATCCGGGCAGTCACGACAATATATACATATTTTAACATGTAATAAATAATGAGCAATCTTTAATAATAATTGTAACAATTTTGCGTGAGAAAAATATACGCCCCTGAGCATGAGACAATGAAGGCTAAACGTATATAGAATTATTATCATAAAACGTCTATAACCATCACGATCATAAGATTACATAGAACAATTAACAACAAAGTACTTAAAGAATAATTACCTGCTAATTAATACGGGTTAAACACTTTGATTTTTCACTACTTATATATTTTCACCGTGCACCGATCGTCTTATTTTTCACTCTGCGCTATTCTCACTTCCACTATCTAGGCTTCCTTCCAGAATTCCTCATCTAAGCGCTTGTTTTTGCGCTTCCTTCTACCAACTGTCAATATTACGTTTTCATTATTATACAACACCCACGTAACAGGTGACGTCGAAGTTGATACGATAAGTACGGTTTTGCACAACATGGCTAAAAAAAAATAGAAAATATTGCAGAAAAGTGACAATTTCTATTTACTAATTAACCTGTTTCAGCGATTTTTTTAAATCTCAACTGGAAAAAAATGAATTTTGTTCCATCATTTTGGGATACAATGTATTTTTTTATAAACTTCAACAACCTGTATCTCCAATACCGAAACGCGCAGGAAAAAATCTTAAGTAAACTCTACTTATTTTTTGGTAATGAACCTAGTCCTGCGGTTTCTGTATTTAAAGTGAAGTCACCCTGTATTTGGAATGATGAATGTCCCCTGAGTAGACATGTGCCTTTATTTTTGTCTGCTATATCTTATACTTCACTTCTTCACTTTCTAGACTCAAAAATACGTCCCAAAATTCTGACCCTTCGACGCCTCCAAGCGGGATCTTGCCGACATCCTTGACAAGGACCAGCGAAGACCGCATCAATCACAATCAATCAGTCCCTAATCGAGCAGATGCAGAATACTCTGACGCATGTGCCGCGCGGTTTCTTAGAACACGCCGTCGATTGGAACTCCACTTCGCGGTGGTTTTTACACTTTCACTGCACCGCCGAGTGTCGTAAGAAAGACGAAGGTCAGTCGAAGTCGCGTTGAAGACAACTCCACAGCTAGGCCATGAGGTCCTAGGAGCGATTCCGTCTGGTTGACTTTAGTTTTCAGTCAACTGTCGTCGGAAGCGCTCGCGAGTGTTTGCGGTTGTTTTTCCAACGTTTTTCTGCACATATAAACACTAGGAAAGGAATCCTGGGGGCAGTTATTATGAAAGAGAGGTGCGAGCGTCGCGATTCGTCCAGTTGTACTTAAGTGCCACAAGTTTTGACGTGGTAAGAAGAAATTTATTGGTACCTATGTACGTTTTGAAAGCGGTTTGCCGGTATCACGCGCCGTTGTGTTATCGCGACATTGTTATGTATGTCGGCGTTTCTTAGAATTTCAACTGTATTAACACTTCTGTACTGTAGAAGTGTCCACTGCTTCACCTTGTTCGTCAAATATCCCAGAAAAGTGGTTTCAACGGACGAATTTGCAAATATTTACTTGGTATTAACCAAACAAAACCATGTTAATGACAGTGACAAATGTTTTAGTAATGTCGCTGATGCTTAACACATACAGGGTGTCCAGAAAATGACATTAATTTTGTTTTTCATTTGCAATCACGCTGTAAAGTTGAAGTTGAGGGATTTTTTGTTGTAACTTTTTTGTTTCCTTTTAAATTTAGAAAATTTTTGGATAACAGCTTTGTTATTTGAAGCTATTTCTACAGGCAAGGTCCCCTCAGCACGCTTGGCCCTCAAAAACGGTCTACTTTTTAAATTTAGGACTTTTGTATAATTTTGTTGAAAAATGTTTACTTGTTTGTTATCGATGCAATGAACTGTTTTCAAAATAGACGCATTAAACGAAAAAGTTCCGACATATCTTACTTGTAACAAACACTCAAAAACAATGATTGGTTCCTTTTGAAGCAAAATAACGTCAAAAGTTGCACAAATTACTAATTTTTATTTTATTTATTTTTTAAACAAACAACGTTATAACGAACAATCAGTTTTCAACAGACGACTTCAACAGCTAATAACTCCACAGGGTGAGCCCAAAAATAAAAAAAATATGTATAATTGTGACGTTAATTTTTTCTACTCAAGTCTATCTGGACAATGATATCTACAGGGTGTCTCATAAGTAATGGTACAATCATAGAACGCACACTAGAATATTACGATTTAACCAAACTTATCTTAGTCTAAAAGATGCAGGGTGTCAAAATACAAAGTTTATTTTCATTATTTCTAAATAACTTTTCCAAAATTACAGATATTGCACATATTTCGAGGATCGAAAGTTCTTGGAGGCAACTTACTTATTAGAAATCGATTTAAATAGAAGTTTGTTATCTTGGTACAATTCTACTAAGGGAAATTGAATCTAAATCGGTTAATTTTCATCCAAAGAAGCTGCCTTTGAAATATCACTCCTCGTTTGCGAACATTCTGTATATTAAGGATAGAGACTGGCTGACTTTGAGTTTTTCTTAAAAAAGTATTTTCTGCTATTAACTCAACTACGTTTTTTTTATATTTCAATACAATGCACACACTGTAAGAAAACTAACCTCAACACAATTTAGTTATAAACTGTCACAGAGATAGTAACTAGCGCCCTCTATCTGTGGATTAAAAACTAAAAACACTGACGTATTATACCTGCACTTAACTTACCTGCACCAAAATTCACTTCATTCATTATTTTTTTTTTATTTTGGAAAAGATATGATCAAATTTTGATGTTATAAAATCATTTTTTACGTCCTGTATCTCAAAAACGAACGGCTTAAGTCCATAGGAAAAAAATAGTGTTTTATTTTTTGTCTACATTTTTTAAATAGTTTTCAACTTGTTCAGTAATCTGTCATAATGAAACGCCAACAATCATCACCATTTTACATTTTACAATAACTTCATTTCTTCAACTCTCTGTTTTATTATTTCACTTAACTTTATTTTAAGTATACTAATATGCATTTAATTTATCATTTTAATATTTTTAATCCAGATATCTCCATGTCTCGCTTCCCCCTCCTTGTTTTGCAAAATTTTATATTCGCTTTATGTGGCAAATTTTTCCTTCAAATGCGTGCGACTCATTTTGTGTATTTTGCGTATATATTTAGAATTATATTCAGCTAATATCGCTTCTGTGCTAATATTGACCATGTCACAAATTAGTCATCATATCACGGAATTATTAAATTAACATTTACAATATGATTCAACTGCAACATAAGTGTTATGTATTGTCTCTCATTTTATAAAGTACCTATTACCCACTTTTCTCTTGCAGTTATAAAGATATTTAGGCATTTATATTAACTACTTTTCTACTTAAATACAGAATGTCTCATTAAGATCACGTCCTTAAGTATTCATGTTATATTTTTTGTTATAAGGCTGTACTCACTGAACATTTTTATCAGATTCTATCAATTCTATTGAACTGTTAAAGTTCAAACTTCAACTTGTTAGTTACTTACTAAACTTTCTATTTACAACATCTGTAAGGCAAGCTACCTATCTCATTAAAATTTATAGAGGAACTAATATAAGCCAGTAAAGTTACGACTAAAAACTTAATTTATGGTTTTATAACAGTTGTAAAAATAAATAGATAATTCAAACATTAAGATTGTAAGATTTGTGCAAAAAAACACGACAAATTTGACAATAGCAGGGTATTATCAATATTTTTAAAACTGACAACAACCCCCCTCCCTCACGATTTATGCGATTGTATCTTTCCCACTGAGGGAAATATTTTTTAGCCATAAGTAGACATGTAGAAATTGATTAACGCTACTTAAGACACATAAAAAATATATTCTCGATTAAATTCCCTTCGGGAAAATTTAACGTACTTAATTTTACCTAAAAACTAACATTTGAATAAATAAAATAAAGCCCCTTCACCTCTTGGACTCTACGTATGCCACTGCTGGTCATAATCGGGCAGCCGCAACTTCATTCTTATTCAGCCGACCTAGAAACGTTATGCAACTCAGGTGTGTTGCCCGGAGGAACAAACTTGTTTATCGTCTTGCACGACAGTCCCTTGTGGGCACTTTATTGAGGCGTTTATGGTAATGCGGCTTGTTTGTGTTTTTTTCCACCGCCTCGTACGCTTATTTCACTGAAAACAATCAAACCGAAATGTAGGTTAAGTCTCGACGCGATTGCAATCTACATTTTTGACCTTCTGGTGCGGCCATGGATTGAACTGGCTTTGGACGGGTCTCGGTAAAACTTAAAACGATTTAATTAAGTAGAGACTATAACGTATGTTTTTTTGGCCTAGGTTAAGAGTAGGAAAGTCTAAATCTTCATTTTAATAGATATTCAGTTCGGAGCAGTCAATTTCTAGGTTAAACCTATTAGAGGCTTTCCATTTACCTTAACTCAAGTGAACTAAAGTCTAGTTCAGATCTAGATACTTTTGCAAGTAATATACAAAAACATATATATCCAAATTTGGTTAGTGCATCTCTCTCGGTTTCAAAAATTCAATACCTATCATGTTTTCAGGTACGAAAATACAAATATTTCGAATTTTCACCACCAAGTACGGCGGTGACATCATTTTTGACAGTAAAGCGATGTTTCGTATTGTAATAGCTAACGTCCTGTACAAACTTAGTTTCGTGCAACTCTCTCCGTTTCAAATATACAATACCTATGTACGTTTTCAGCCACGAAATTTGAATAATTCCAAATATTTTGAATTTTCACCGCCAAGAACGGCTGTGACATCACTTTTGATAGCAAGGCGATGTTTCGCATTGTAGTAGCTATGTCCTGTCCTTTAATTAGTGCAACTCTCTCGGTTTCGAAAATTCAATACATATAATAAATAATTGAATTTTCACCACGGCGGTGACATCATTTTTGACTTTGCGACCACAAAGCGAATTAATTAAAAATAGTTAATTAAAATAGACATATACTTGATTTTTTTCGACATTTCATAGGAAGCCATTAGTAATTAGACACGTACTACTGTTTTATATCAAAGTATGCAGATTGACAATCTATTCTATTTCACATTAACAATGAGGTGTCATTATCACCACGAATCCTTTTAAATGAGACACATCATTAAGTAATCGATTCTGGGAAATATTTTCATTTGTAGTTTCCTTGAAGAACGTTTTTGATAAACTTACTTCCTCGAATATATAAACGCCATATCGATCGATATTATTATTTCTCGCAATCAGAAGCATAATTAATAAAATTATAATGAAGTTGAGCGGATTGGAAATAGAATGGTTTTAGAAAATCACGCTAAAAAACGTTATGAATAATTAATGACGACTAAAGAAGTGTATTTCATTCAAAGTTCTTGGAATACATGTCTAAGTAGTAACTGCCCATTTAAATGCACAGGTTGTTGGTTTTTTCCAATATTCGCCTAACCTTATCGAATAAATTTAACCGGTAGCGTGAATCACGAAGTGTTTACGGTTTATAGGATACTCTTTTTTTTAAGAAAGGTCTCGCAAGGTCAAAACACAAGGTCACGAGAGTAGAATGACATTTATGAAGTATGGATCTCTACCTTAAGCACTCTAAAATACCTGGAAATTCGACTCGTAAAAGATTAGGGAAGGACCCAGCTAGTACCGATTAATAAAATATGAATCTAGACACATAATTTCATCAATCAGTTTGTTTTGTCGTTTTAGTCGTAGGTGGTTAAGTTATGTTGACCTAGACTTTGGCATTGAAGATGTTCCACGCAATATATATAACCAGTTAGTCATAAAAAGTATCATTCTATGAATTAAGGTAATACATATTTATTTATTTTTTTCTAAAAAATTTTATGTAAAGTCAAAAAAATGTTTATATGTGTACCAACATAAACATAAAATATATCTAACCCCATATATAAGATTTCTAACTGCTGATATTGCAGGAATCAACTACTTTGTGGGCTATATGCCTCAACAATCATTGAATTATACCAGCGATAGCTAGTAAGAAATAATATGCAAAATAAAAACAAAAGAAACCTAGGTTTGTNGGGGGGGGGGGTACTCTCGCTAAAAGAATCGAAGTTTGTACGCCATTGAGTTTTATTTAAAAAAAAATTATCAGTTGTTAATTGTATGTCAAAGAAAAAAGATATTCGAAAGAGTTATTTTCGAGTTACATTAAAAAAAAAAAATTCAAACGGTTTTCCAGATTCATTCAGGCACAGGTTTCTCGCAATTTAAAAAATCCTTTTTGACCTCAATTTTCCATCTGGAAAATGGGATTTCCAACAA